TGGGGGGGGGGGCCCCCTCTAACGCAGACCTCTGCAGGGCCCTCCCCCTCGCCCCCTTCAGGGCTTTACTCGGATGTCATCTTACTGTGGCCTCTCAGAGAAGCGCGCCAGTCCCCAGCACACCCTGAGCCTCTTGCCTGCACTATGCTTTCTCCCAAGCACTCAGCGCCAGCTGACATATGACATGTGGTGGTGATTATGTTTCTTCCCCACTGAAACATAACCTTCCTGAGAGCAGGGGGCTTTGTTTGCTGTGTATCCCCCGTGTCTAGAACTGTGGTCCCTGAATAGCACATGATCAATAAATATTTGTCAAATGAGTGCCGAGTGAACGGTGCCTGTTCTATTCATTGCACTTTTTATTACTTTCAGCTGAAAGCAAATGGTTCCTGGCATGGCCTCCTGTTCTCCACTGTCACCTCTCTGCTCAATCCTTTGGGTCTAATGCTTGCTCTAAAATGACGCCCACTCCAGGCTGAGCATTTGATCGTATGCCCACCCCAGCTCCCAGACACTGTCGTCTGCAGGTCCCCTGGGGACCCGGGATCCCCAGAGGAGACAGCAAACCACATCAGGGCCCAACCTGAGGCTGCAACATCAGAAAAAGGAAACCCAAACCACTCAGCGTGGTGGGATGCGATTCGTTCAGATTTGGTTCCAGCAGGAGCGCTGAGCTCAGACAGAAGAGGGCCTGTGATGGGGATGGAACGGGCTGCTCTCAAAACCTGGGAAGGGGGTGTATTGGTCCGTAAGCACCATCCTGGCCTCCCCGGGCTTTGCTAGATCCTAAAGGGGAGGCAGAAGGAGGAGCTGTTTCCCAATGTTAGGGAGAAAAGACGCAGCCCTAGGCCGAGGGAATAGCCTGGTGTTGGGAGTTTGAAGGAGGCTTGGCCTTGGGGCCTCCAGTATGAAGAATGCGTAGTAACCACGGAGGCGTCTCTGATCTGAGGAAGACAACAGCCTCGTCTGCCGAAGGGGGCATGGTTTGGGGGTAGCCTGGTATGAGGAACGAGGACTAGCCTGGGGAAGGGAGCCCTAGCCTGGGGGAGGAGGCTCACCCCGGGTTCCTGACTTTCCCACCAGCAGCTTGCAGGCCACTGGAAATGCCCCGGCGGAGGAGAGCCAGGGCGCCACCTGGCGGCTCGAGGACGAAGCGGGGCTCGGGGCTCGCGGCGGGCGGGCGGGGTGCTCAGGGCAGCGCCGCGGGGCCCAGGGCGACGGCCAGCGCGGGCAGGGCGAGACGGAGGCTGGGCGCCGCGCCCGAGTGGCACTCGGAGTCCAGGACGGCGCGACGGCGGGAGCTGCAGTCGGGCCGGGGGGCCGGCCGCTAGCCGGGGAGCCCCTGGAGCCCCCGGGCCCCCGCCGGGGCGCGGCACAGAGGACGGGCACGCGGGTGAGGACCGCGGCGTGTGGCCGCTGCCCCCAGCCCGCGCCCCGTCCGCGGGGCTTCTCTGACTTAGCCCTTTCCGGGCAACCGGGGCCAGCCCCGCAGGCTCGCCTGGTTAACCAGGTCAGAGCCCTGGCAGCTGCCAGCCCCGCTGGGGTCTCCTAAAAGAAAAAAACTGTGCCACCTGGAAAAGGAAACCGGCAGGGCCTCCAATCTCCGTCCTCCAGGGAAACGCGCCAGAACGTCTGATCCTCCAGCGGGGGCCCGGCCGCGGCTGCCCCTTTCGTTGTTAGTCTTTACATCCCACGTGTGTGCCTACAGATGTTGCAGATGTGTGTTTGACAAAGATGTTCTCTTTCTTCCATTCAATATTAGTAATACTGGATATATTAATGATAAAAAACTGATGCCTGGAGGCCACTCTGTCTCACACTCCCCTCAACTGGTTTATTGTCTGCTTTCTCAACTTTTTCCTGTGCTTTTTCGGAGCCATATATGACATAATATGATATGATGTGATATATTTATATAGCAATATAAATATATAAGTGTAACCAGTTTATTGAGGACTTGATGGGATATGAAAGTGAATACAGTAATCTTGTTTACCAAAGAAAAACACCTCGCTACAAAGTAGGTTATTTTTAAATCCTTATCTTTTAGAGATAAGGTTGGTTGAAGTGATAGGATATCTGAGTATGCACTCAAACTAACATGGGGCGTGAGTGGAAATGAAACAGAATTGGCCACGAATGGGTGATTATTGGAGTTGGGTGAAGGGTACATGGGAGCTTATTAAACTCTTCCCTCTTTTATTTATCTTTGACCTTCCCCAGAATACAAAAAAACTGAAATGTCAGCCTCACAGCATGGTCTGTAGTTGCCTCGTTTTGCCCCGAACTGGAGTGTACTTCCTCCCAGAGCCATGTTTGTGAGTCACTGTCCCACGCCCACCCCATGCACACACGCCCACACACGCCCACACGTAAGTACATCTCAATCATGTACGGCTCCCCTGAGGCCCCCAGAGGCCAACACACAGTCCACAGAAACACACCCACCCATCTTGTGCGCTGGCATACCACCCCTCCCAGGAACACACACACCTGCACACAGAACACTGAGCGTACAAATCCGAGTTCCCTGCACACCCGTTCCTGTACGATGACTAAGGAAGGCCTGTCCAGTTCCCCCAAACCTCACACAACCTAATGATCACAACCACTGACACTGCATTTTTATCAATTCTAAGACATACATCCTGCCCCCCACTATTTTAACATCTCTTGAGTAGACCTGTCTTCCCATCACTATCATCTAGGACTCGCTGAAATGCCTCACTTCCCTATGTTCTAGAAATAGGTCATTCAATACAGTAGCCACTAGCCACACGGGACTATGGAGCACTAGAGTTGTGGCTGGTTTGAACTGAAATGTGCTGTGAGTATAAAATCCACACCAGATTTCAAAGGCATAGCGGGAAAAAAATGACTGTAAGAGATCTCATTTATAATTTTTTATACTGGTTACGAGTTGAAACAATAACTCTTGGGTTAAAAAATATATTACTCAATTAATTTATTTTTAAACAATTTCTAATGGTTACTTTTCACTTTTTTAGTGTGGCTACTAGACATATTTAAGTTATACAGGTGGCTCACATTGTATTTCTTTTGGACAGCCCTCATCTAGAAGTTTCATGGATTATGTTATTTAATCCTTACAACAGTCTTATGAGTTAGAGACTATAATTACCCCCTTTCTCAGATGGGAAAATTGAGGCACAGAGAGGCAAAGTCACCCACCCGAGGTCACCCAGCTCATAGGCAGTAGGTCCAGGATTTGAATCCAGACAGCTGCCTGAGTGCTGCTTTATGCCTTCTACTCTATCACCTCTCTCATAAACTCACTTCATCCTCATAAAACCATGAGATGCGTGCTTCCACCATCCCTATTCACCAGAATAGAAAACTGAGGCTCAGAGAGATGAAGTCACTTATCTTAGACCACATTAACACAGAGTAAATGATGGAGGTTGACTCCAAACTCAAACATGATCATATACAAAACCAGCGTGCTGAGGCTCCCTCAGGCACATGCACACGCGCACGGACACACGCATCCACGCGCATTACCTTCTTCAGGCATCAGGTCCAGCTGGTCACCCTTGGTCTCCCTGCTGGGACACTGCATGTACGAGGTGGCATTACAGGGCCCCGGGTAGCCCCCAGGACATGTAGGACACAGGAATTTGCTCAGGCTCGTGAGGCTGGCGTACAGGGAAGCGTGACAGTCAGCCGGGAGGACTCTCGGGATCTCCCAGGCTTCTCTGTGCCCTCATAGGCTCTACCACAGGGGAGTGAACTTAGTGGGATTTTTCCCACTGAGTTGGGGTCAGGGTGCTTCAGGGCAGCCTGGTTGAGGAATGGGGGTTAGTGATGCTCCTGTCTGCCTACTTTCCTCAACCCAGGACAACTTCTCCTCCAAAGTCCCCTACCACTTCCTTGGCCACCATCTGACTGTTTTCTGGTGTCAGCGTACCAAGAGGAGTGGGCTCTTGGCAACTGCTTGGCAACAGGTGGTGTTGACCCAGAAGCCAAAGCTGATGTTGTAGGTCAAGGAAGAGATGGAGTTGTCATATTTACACTCCTCAGAGGCCACACAGGAACCATTTCTCCAGGCAAAAGAGTTATTTTCCCCTAAGGCTGGAGAGGGGCAGAGGGCAGGCTTCTGAGGAAAGGTGGTTATGAGCCACCACCCAGCCGAAGCCCCCAGACCCCCAGCTGTCGTTGCTGTCATTCACATTATGTACAAGACCCCCAAAACACTCAAAGTCTGTCACTGGTCATCATGACACAGAATTCAGAAGGACTTCCTGCCCCCGCCTTCTCCCTTTAGGATTCCAGTGAGCAGGAAGGCTCTGGACCTCTGATGTCTCCCCAGCCTGTCTGTGAGCACCTCGGGGACTTAGAAACTTTTCTAGGATCCCAGACAAGCCCAGCGCGGGCCTCGCACTCTAACCTTACTGTTCCTGTTTATGCGTTGGAAGACAGAGCAGAGCTGGTTTCTAGTTCAACTCCTCTCCCCGCTTCTCCCTTTATGGAGCAGACTGACAGGGGCCTTAGGGGACTCCTAGCCCAGCAAGTTGCAGTAGATACTAAGATGGTTGCAACTGCGTCTCCCATTTCACATGCTTTCTTGCAGCATGACCTTGCCATTTCCACATCAAGAGGTGGAACCTCTTTCCTCATCCCTTAAATCTGAGCTGGCCTTGTAACTTGCTCTGATCAATAGACTGTGGCAGGAGGGACACTGTGCCGGTTCTGGGCTCCTCTCTCCAAAAGTTACAGTTCCCATTTCTGCCTTCTCCAAAGCCAGCCCCCATGCTGTAAGGAAGCTCAACCAGTCTACTGACAATGAGAGACCACATCCTCAGAGGCCTGGGAGGGCACAAGAGACTGTATCGAACACTCCAACCCATCAAGTTCCCAGCCAAATGTGGCCCCATAAATAACCGCAGCCTTCATCCCTCAGGGCAGAAGAGCTGCCCAGCTGAGCTGGGTCAGCCTACAGAATGGTGCAAAATAATAAACCATTGTTGTTTTAAGCCATGACATTTTTTTATTGTGGTTAAAAAATGCATACAATAAAATTTACCCTCTTAACCATGTTTAAGTGTACAGTTCAGTAGTGTTAACTATATTCATATTGTGTAACGGATCTCTAGGACTGTTTCCTTTTTGTAAAATTGAAACTACCACCCTTCTTTCTTTTTCCATGATTTTGACTCCTCTGATACCTCATATAAGTGGAATCATACCATATCTGTCCTTCTGTGACTGGTTAAGCCACCACGTCTTGAGCTGATTTGTAAGTCAGCAATAAATAACTATAACAAAGGTGACAGCAGATCTTATGCTTGCATGCTTCGCTGCCACCCAGCTCTGTCCTCCATGGCCAGGGAAAGGCTGACGGGACTGGCGTCAAGGCAGCCGACCAGGAGGGTGAGGAGAGGTTCTGGTGTGCCTCAGGCCCCGTTTCTGCCTCTCCTACCCAATCCTGTCCCCAGGGGCGCTCACCCATGATGCCTGCCATCTGAAGGCAGCTGTTCCTATCTGCCAGGCAAGGGAGAGAGCCGCAGTGGCGGGAGTCTGAGCAGGTGAAACAGGTGATGACCTTAGCCTCGCTGTGGGTCATGGTGGTTTGGGGACCTGACGAGAGAGGAAGAGGAGCTGGCTGCAGGACAACCTGTGTGTGTGCGTGCAGCTCAGGGCACATCAGTGTGTGCGTGTGACTGGGCAAATGTGCTTGCTGCATGTGCACACTCCTGTGATGGCGCAGTTTGTGTGTACAAGCAGGCAGGCCTGTTTCTCTGCGTGCACACATGGTTGTGCATGCCTATGCTGAACTCTGTGCATTCTGGAACTGTCTCTGGAAGGGTGGGGGATGTTGTGTGTGCACCTCTGTGGGCCCCTGTGCGAGTAGGTGTCTCTGTGCATCTCTGTGCGGGCAGAGCACGTGTTTATGTGTATATGCATAAGGCTTATGCGTCTGGGTGTGCTTCTGTATCTTGATGTATCTGTGTTTCCAGCAACGTTTGGATGGTTTGAATGTGTACACTGGGATATAGATGTAAATATTTGTGGTTGTTAGTAAAATGTTTCAGCATGCCTGTGTATATTTTGTACTTCTGTATGTGTGTGAGTGTTTGTACCTGTCCCTTTCCCAGTCTGTGTGTATGCATCTGACAACTGATGTGTCCCTGCCCAGATATGTTATATGTCCATAGGGACAGTATATGCAAAAGGGACAGTATATGCAAAAATTCCACGTACCATGTTCCAGCTATTAATAATCCTACTTTGCCCTTTTTCCTTTCCATATTGTAAATTTTGAGCTCCTGGGTCCCCCTTTTTTTTCTTCATTGTGATCATTAATTTAAGCCACTGCTTAGTTTTGCAAAGTAAAACTCCTAGAAGCTGGTAATCTGAGGAAATCAAAGTGATAATGTTCTTGCTTTGCCTGCAGATTCAATGAACAGATCCTCTTCTGTATCACAGAACTGTCCTTGCTGTGTGGTTTCTAACAAAAGAGGTGCGTCCCCAGAGGCCAGAGAACGCTGCTCTGTCCGGGTTTGAAAATTGCCTTTCTCACCTCTGCAACATTCGCAATTCTGTTCAGTCGTCTCACTTAAAAAGCTGTTGCCCTGGTAAATCCTATCTCAATTAGCATCTCTCTTTTCTGGATGGCAAAAATTGTGTTGTCAACATTCTTTGTTAAGTCAAAAGAAGAGGGTTGGCAAATCTGTCTTCTTTCACAAGGAAGGAAGTGAAGAAAAGAAAGGAAAGAATTGTCAGATTTCTTATTTAAACTGAGTTTAGATCACTAATCTTACTTACATAACAGGATGTTCTTGTTTAGAAATGCATGTTCCTCTGGGGGTGTGTCTTGGATGCTAGAATATAAATGTCGACGTTTGTGGATGTGTGAATATGTGTCGGTGGGAATTTCTGCTTCTGGGCGTGTCAGATGGTGTGTGTGTGTTTTTGTGTGTGTGCATACAGATAATCGCACTCCTGGGGGCATTAATGGCAAGGGGCAGAGGATACCCTCAGAAAACATAAAATTGGGATAGGGATGCGGGACCGAGGAAAGGCGGGGAGGTTGGGGGGGGCAGCCGCAAGGAGTCAGCATTCAAGGCACCTGGCTGGGTGGGGAGAGCCGCATAGTTGCATTCAGGTGCAGTGGTGAGACGAAATCCAGATGCTTCCAGACCAAGGGTGGTGTTCACTTGCAGGTCACAAACATCTGGTGTAGCACATCCCTTCAGGATTTCGGGACCCCCCTGCAGAAATAGGGGAAGCTGCATGGTGAGACTCAGACCCCAACCTTGATGTCTGCTTTTCTCTATCTAGAAGTTCCTGTCTCTCTTGATAATTCTCTGTGATTCATTTTCAAATCTGCCTGATCATTTCTCACAACCTCTTTTTGCCCACTCATTTTTGGATTCTAACTTTATTCCTCTAAAATGTATCACTTATAGTTATGTTACTCAGTGACTGGTAATTACAACAGTTGAGTTCCTAAGGGTCTACATCTTTCGTTCATTGCTTCTGCTATCAGAAGTCAGAAACAAGCCACTATCACAATCAAGCCACTATCCCTCATGGTGGCTTAATTCCTTGTACATTTCCTGAGCTCTGATTGTGAGTTTATATTTGATACATGTTGGTTTCTGGGAGTCCTGGAGGCCTTTCCCTGGAGAGAATTCGCATTTGCCTATACTGAGAGCCAGGAGGCGCTACCAACCCGGGATCATTCCCGTCTCCTCCCAAGGTCCTTGGTTTATGCGAGAGTCTAAGGATCGGCTCTCCAACTGCTGTGGACCCAAGACCCAGTCACCCATAGCAGGCTGTTATCAGCACTTACGTCAGGGTCGTTGTGCCTTTCATGTTTGCTCACTTCACTGCTCTGGTTCTGATTTCTGCTCACATTTTTTATTTTGTTTGGGAATTCTTAGAAATTTCCCAAACTTCCTATAATCCCCCAAAAGCACAGAACATATTTTTGTATAGCATCTAGTTCATCTATAAATAGTGGCATACCAAGGGGCGTAGGGGGGGTAGTGGCAGAAATCCATCCTGAGTCAGGCTATAAGGGGTGTAGAGCATTTAACACAATAATAAAACCAACTGAAAGTCAGTTTATCACCATATTTATCACTGCTATTTACCACCATATTCCAGCACTTCAAAGCAATGGCAGTGATAAAATACTGTCCCCTGCCAGGGTGCACCTCTCCCACCACTCCTGCACTCCTCCCCAGCTCTCTGGTATCCACTGTTTGAAGCAGGAAGATACTTCAGAGGATCTAGTCCACCAGACTGCCTGGCACAGAAGCCCAAATTTCTCTCTGTCACTTTGTTGGCTTCATAGTTAGTCTGTCCTCTGGTCAGTGTAGTTCTATTCTAAACCTTTTTCCCCAAATCTCTGCTTGAACCGTTTTCAAACAAATAGTGGTGATTGTTAAATATGTCTGCACATTCTCCGATACATCAAGAGGTAAAGGGATTTGCCTCTTTCCCTTGAAACCAGATGGACTTCTGTGACCGTTTCCACCAATACAGCATGACACAGTGATACTATATGACGTCCAGGGCTAGGTCAGAAAAGACCATGCATGCAGCTGTCACCTTGCTTGCTGGGACACTCACTCTGGAAGTCTTTAGCCGCCACGTAAAGATTGTGGCAGCCATGTTGTGAGGAAGCCCAATGTAACCAGGGTGGAGAGGCACAGGGACAGGCCTGGAATCTCCATGTATGAGCTGCTCAGCAAGCTCCTGGTTTCTCTCAGCCCTGCAGATCCAGCTCTGGCCTCCTGCTAATGGCAACCAGGTGAAACACCCAGAACTGTAGGCTGAGCTCTTCCTGAATTCCCAACCCACAGAAACCGGGAGACTTAATAAAATGGCTGCTGTAGCTTTAAGCCCCTATAAGAGGGAGTGACTTGTTAAGTAGCAACCGGAACACCCATGAGGAGGAACCGCAACACTTACCTGTGCAGGTGGGCAGGAGGCCCGCCATGCAAATGACCTCCTGAAGGGAACCCTTATCTCCGTGCCACGTCCCGTGGAGGGTGAGACACACGGTCTGCTTCCCAGTGCAGTTCATGACCAAAAGGGAGTCACACAGGACTGACGTGTTCCCGGAGCAGTAGTGACACTTCGCTCCACTGAACTGTGCTTCAGGCTCTGCGTCTAGGGGGACAAGGTGTAGTCAGGGCAGGATGGAGGCTGAGGAACACCCCCTGCCTCCTCCCCCCACCAGCCCTCTGTTCTTGCTCCCTGCCCCCCAACCAAACACCACAACCCAGAGCACTTTCCTCCCAAGTGGGACCAGCCTGATCTCAGCCACCTCCTTACGGTCCCTGTAGGCTCATTCTAGCCCCACACTCTTCATTTATTCTAAATGAACCTTCAGGCTGGATCCTAAGGGTTCTTTTATTCATTCCACGAACAGTTCTTGAACACCTACTGTAACAGGGTAAAAAAGCTGGCATCTCTGCCTTCTTATTGTACCTGCATCCCTGCTGCCTTAATCTCGGGGTCAAAGGCTTCTGCTCAGCCCTGGAGCCCTGCAGGTAGGCTTGTTAATCATCACAAGGAATTTTGCTCATGACTTAAGACTGATGCAACCAGCCCTTCACCCGAAACTTATCTCCCTGGAGCAGATAAAGAAGTATGTATAGAAACGATGACTCAATTGTCAAGGACTTACAGGAACATTGTAACTAGACTCATATCAAAGGGATCCAACCAAGAAAGGAAAGGACAAGTTTCACAACCTCTCAGACCTTTGCTGACGTCCAGATGTGTGAGGTCCATCTCCACCTCCTGACCTTAACCCCATCCTGTTCCCCTTCCCTCAGGTCACAGAACCTTAAAATCAAGTTCTTAAGGTAAGTCAGTGTTTAGGACACAAGACCGCCACCTCCGTCTGCTGGCTTCCTTACAAAGTCACTTTCCTTGCCCCAATACCTTGTCTCTTGACTTATTGGCATGTCACGCAGTCAGCGGCACGAGCTTGGACCCGGTAACACTGCTGTGTGCCAAGCCCTGTTCTGGAGACACAGCACTGAGTGCAGACAAAAGCCCTCCCTGAAAAACCTCGAATTCCAAGTGATTAAAAGGTGATCCTGTTACTTTAGGCTTTAAGATATTGTGGTGTTCTGCAAAAAAGGGGGGCCGAGGCTTCTGGGTTCTCCACCATCTGATTAAGTTTCAGAGCTGTCTTAGAAATCTGAAACATTTAAGAGGAAGTTGTTTAAGCATGTTTTTTCCCTGAGTCAAAACTAAATCATGAATTGTTTTAATGTGGATTTATATTGAGACATGGGCATATACAGAAAAGTAGACTTAAAAAAACCTGGCTATGGAACTGTGTTGGTTAACACGTGACTGCAGTCTACAGGGGGCTACTGAGCACACCAAGTGGCTGGTTCCTTCTGAGATGTGCTGTGAATGTAAAAAAACGCCCCAGATTTCAGAGGTTTCGTTTCAGAGAAAGAAAGCAAAAGATCTAATTAATAATTGTATATCAATTATATGCATGTTGAAATAATATCGCAGATATGTTACCTTAAATCAAAAATATTATTAAAGTGAATTTCACCTGTTTCTTTGTACTTTTTAATGTGGCTACTAGAGAGGTTTTCATTACATACATAGCTCACATTCTATTTCTATTGGACGGTGCTGCAACAGACTATCTATCAAAAGACAATTCCTGGAAGTAGTCTGAAAGTCCCTTCGATCTTTCTTTACACAGAGGGGTTTTGTTTGATGCCATTGTAATCATAACTGGTGTATCATTTACTGAATAGCACGTCCATCTCTCAGCTTGGACCTGGCTGTTTTGTGTGACTGGTGTGCACAATTTGGCAGCAAGGAAAACCCGGTTGTTGGAAATGATGGTTAATAGCCCCACATGTGGAGCTGTCCCAGGTCTTCCCCATTGCTACACCTGTCAAGGCAAATTCCTTCTCTGGAAAAATAACCAAGCTAGAAAAGGTGATCTTTAAAGATCACCGTCCAGTGCCAAGTCTAGAGCGAGGCCAGCAAAGAGTCACTCACTCTCAAGGTCATGCCTGTGCAGAGTCAGCCCTGGAAGTGAATGCCTCCTTGAATTTTGCTCCCTGGCGCCTAGCCGGCCTCACCCTAGACCTGGGCCTCTTGCCACCCATAACACCTCTTGTTCTGCCTGCCTGGCCTTCAGGAGAGTTCCTCTCCTAAGGAGAAATGAGAGGTTGCAGCTTCTCTCTAGTCCCCCAATAACATGGCTACAAGTTTCGGAGAGCCTACTATATGCCAGCTGGACACACCCCTGCAACGTTTACTTCACACTCACTTTCCAGATGAGAAAACGGAGGTTCTGCTACTTGCCAAGGCAGCCAGGCAGAGCTGGAAATCGAGGCCGAGATCCCGTGACACCTCACCTGGGTGTGTGACCCCCAAATCCCGCCAACAAACCTTGTTGGGTAGCCCTGCTGCAATTGCTTTCACAACAGCCTGTGCTGACCTCAGAGGCGTTTGTTGGGGCTGTAGGTCAAGGTGTAGACGCGTTCCCGGCATTCCAGAGGGGCCACACACGACCCGTTCTTGATGAGAGTCCCATTTTCTGGGGATAGAGGTTGAAAAGGGGCGATGACAGATCCCCAAGCCCTCTTGGACCACTGCCCCCTCTGCAGCAACCCCCAGAGGTCAATGTCGTTGGGGTTGACACCACCCCAAACCCCACCCCAGCAGCACCAAGCTGAGCTATGAGGCAAAGCCTGGAACCTCCAGTCCCAGGATGGCTCATCTGCGTGTCTCCTCTCCACCCCTGCCCACCCGCTTAGCTCATCCCTGTGCCCAGTCCCCGCCCGGACACCCACCCGGCTGCATCTGGCTGATCAGGCAGGACTCCTGGATGGAAGGACAAGTTGTCTCCGTGCAGTTTCCCCCGCAAAGAGCAGGCTGGACATGTCCTGGAGGTCCCTGTGGGGAGAGAGGAGCAATCAGGCAATCAGACCTTGCAATCTGAGAAGGAGAAAGAGGAGAAAGACTGCACACACACACACACAGGATTCAAGAGGACTGAGGGCCGGGGTGGGAGGGCTGCCGGGAGAAGCCCAAGGAACGCTTCCCTGGAGGTGTGCGACCGGCATTCTCGGGGCTGACACAGTGTGGGCCGGGGCTTGGAGGTGGCACCCAGTGCCTCCCAACCGGCGCTGCTGGCAGGCTGCATCTCATCTACCCATTCTCAGCACGGAACCCCTTCTCGGAGCAACATTGCCCAGAATGTAACAGATAAAAGCGGAATTTCTCTTTTTTAGGCTGAGCTGAGGAGAAGCACGTCTGTCCAGCCAGTCTTCCTCTTGTCCTCTTTATAAAAGAGGCCCCTGGGGCTCCTCCAGGAAATCGCAAGGCTCTCAGAAGCAGTCTGAAAACTGCTAATCTTGCCTTGTACCTTCCTCTTATAGATGAGGAAGCCAGAGGCAGATGGGCTTAGAGCCGCCCCCAGATCGAGCAGAGAGATCCTGGTGGGTTTCTAGGCCACTTAATTCCCAACCTGGGCCAACAGTGGCAGAATTAGAGCCAAAGGGGAGATAGGCAGGCCAGGGAAGGGAATAATAACAACTCTTGCTGGCTATCAGTAAGAGCTCCCTTCAGACAAGGCTGTCTGTGGCCTGAGACTGTTCTAAGCTCTTAGAAAGCCTCTCAAACATATTGATTCAATGAATGCCCCCAACAGCCTCTGACACAGGGTCATTAGCACCCTTATTTCATAGATGGCAAATGGCACAGAGAGGTTAAGTGGCTTGCAGAATATCACACAGCTAAGAAGTAGCAGAGCTGGGATCTGAGGCCAGGCAGCCTGGCCCAAGAACTATGCTCTTAAACACTCGCTGCAGCTGCCTCTGCTAGGAAAAAAGCTGAGGCAGGAAGGGCTGGGACTCAGATGCTGCAGCCTGGTCCCCACCACCTGTGTGGCCACAGGCCCACCCTCCCACTCTCCCAGTGATCACACACGGGTACCTACCCACTGGGGCAGCCAGCGCTCGCAGGAGCACCCGAGCAGGGAGGAGCCGGAGCATGATCCAGGCCAGACAGGAGGAAGTGGAGCACACGTGCCCTGGCCTTTTATTCAAGGGCCTTGGCTAGGGTGGCAGTTCCGAAAGATGGAGAGCAAATACGCTGGGGAGATAGCGGCCCCTCCTGCCATCCCAGCCACTAGAACACCAAGGTGGGGAAGAGGGCTGAGGGGGCATGGAGATGGGGTAACTGAGTCCCGGGAGGCATGTGCGAAAGCCTGAGGCTACACAGCAAAGCCAAGAAGGACATATGGCCACATTATTATTATTATTATTGTCGCTCCATAGACATGTCAACTCATCAGATCGTTACAACAGTCTTACAACCCCTTATCATTAGTCCCAGGAGGGTTGTTCAAAATATCTGCCCATCAGTCCATATAAGCCAGGCTACGCAGCAGTGACAACTCTGCCCAATTGCTAGAGCAGTGATCTGGTGGCCTCCATGGACATGGGGTTTCCCTTTTAGTTGCTGGGACATTGGGTGTCTGGGAGGATGCAGACATGTCCTGGGGGGCACACGGGATCTCAGGGTAGTGGCCTTTTACCAACCAAATCTGGAGGTCTTTCAGTATTGTGACAACTTTTACCGTTGACATCAACTGAGCTTCTCTGTTTTAAGAGAGGGAAACTGAGGCTCAGAGCTGTTGAGGCCCTTGTCCAAAGCCACAAAATGAGGACATGTATACAACCAGGATGTGAACCCGGGCCTCTATGACCTGACATCCGGGCTCCCCCAACAGGGGAGAGGGAAGGCAGTCTTCCACCCTCACCTGGAAACCGGCCTGCCCCAGCCGGGCGAGGTCTGCCTCTGATTGGGCAGCCTCGATTTACACATTTGTTAGGTGGGAATAAGATCGACGTCAACCATGCAACAAGCAGCCTTCCAGCCCCAAAGCCTGAGACCTCTTCGCGAGCTGGGACTCCCCACTTTCCTCTCCTTTAAGGTATAACTCAGGATGTCCCTTCCCCTATTTTGGGCCTCAGCGTGTTCGCCCACTAAATTGGCACATCCAGGGTGTATGGTGTGTGCTTGATAAATGGTGGTTATGTTAGTGTTGGGGGGATTCATGCTGGTGATGCTCAGGGTTCAAGGAAACCACACACCCATCCAGAAAGCAATGAGCACCTCGGAGCCAGACAGCCTAGGTTCAAGTTCCAGTTCTGCCACTTTAAGCTGGGTGGCCTTGGACAAGACATTCCACCTGCCTGGGCCTCAGTTTCCTCATTTGTCAAACAGGGAAATGAGGGAGGAAGGCATACGTCAAAAGGCCGCCACGAGGATTAAATGAGTTGATGTGTGCAGAGCGCCGAGAGGAGCAGGCGTCGCAGATCAGCACCGTCCTCAAGCAGCGCGCCAGGCAAGTCTGTGGTTGGCCTTGGCTCAGAGGAGATCCCAGGCAAGGGAAAGGACTGATCCAAGGTCAGTCTGCAGGCCTGCCAGGCTCTGAGGCGAGGCCCTTAATCAGCACGTACAATCAAGGAGCTTGTTCCCAAGGGGGAAAGACAGGAGCCAGGGGGTGGCTTTTCCTGATGGCTGCTGTGGCAGGAAAAAGTTTAGGGAGGGGGCCCACTTTCTTCCCAGGGAGACCCAGAACCCCTTGGTTTGGGAAGCATGGGAAGAAGGGAGAGTGGGTCCCCTAGCTTGGAGTCTGGAGCAGGGAGAGGCCCCTGGTGCTACGGAACTAGAAGCCTGTCTCCTCACAGGTGAGTTGATGACTTGGGCTGGGTCAACAGGCCAGGAGCTGCACAAACATGAGGCCTGCAGGGTAAGAGTGGGAAGGGCAGGCAGGCAGGGGAAGGACGTGTCCTGCCTTAATTTGAAACCAGGAGGCAAAAGGACATCAGAGGAGACGTTTTTACGCTTGTACAAGCAAATGCGGGCACACATCCACCTTTACTGCACCAATTAAAGACTGTGCCCCTTGTTTTGTCCACTCATCAATAAAGTAACAATAAAACAATAAATCGTTTCTGCTTTCTTTTTTCCGGTGAAGTTGCCTTTTTTACAGTTAGGTTATCTTCCCGTCACTGGGTATCAAGTCCCAGGCTCCAGTGGAGAACTCAGGGCCTCTATCATTTCATACAGTCACCTAGTTGCCCGAAGTGGTAAGTGGTTTTGCTATGTCAAAAGGTTTTCCTACATCTGTAATTTTCAGAGCAATTGCAAAATGGCCTACCATGGGGCTGTGCCAGTTTACACTCACACCAACAGGGTAGGGGAGTGTCTGCTTGCCTACAGGCTCCCCAGCTCCGTTCAGTCTCACCAAATGTATCACCAGACTGTTCTGTTGTCAGCCTGGGGAAAGGTGACAGGGGTGTGAGTGGGATGCGAATGGTGAAGAATTCTACTGCTCCTTCCTTCAAGACATGGAGTCTGATGTTCCCCCTCCCTCCCTCTCAGCCCATCTGGGCACTTGCTCTGACCAGTAGAATATGGCACGAGTACTGTCCTGGCTGTTCTGAGCCTCGGCCTCCAGGGTCCTTGCAGCTTCCGTTGTTTCTTTCTCGCTGCTGGAAACCCTTTGCCACTGTGGGGGCGAGCTTGCCTCCTGCAGGATGGGCAGCCACTCAGAGAGGCAGCCCAGCCATCCCAGCTGAGGGCCTAGAGTGAGGCCAGGCAAGACCGCCCTGGCCTGGCCGAGCCAGCCCAGGCCAGAGGGGCCCAGCCAATGCAGCCTCTTGAAGCGTGTGTTTGTGGTTTTAAGTGGCTACATTTGGGGGTGGTGACACAGCAAAAGCTAAGTGATGTCCATGGAAAGTGAGTGTCATTTTTATAAGAACCATGTGCGCTTCCCCTTTTGTCCTTTGCTAATTTTTCTGTTGACTCATGGGAGCTCTATTACGTCCTGGTGGCTGCCGCAACCAACTACCACCACAAAGCAAGTGGTTTAAAACAACAGAAATGTATGGTTTCACAATCTGGAGGCCAGACGACCCAAATCAAGGTCTTGGGAGGACTGTGCTCTCTCTGAAGCCAGGAGGGGAATCCTCTCCTGCCTCTTGCCAGCGTCTAGAGATTTGCTGGCAATCTTTGGCCCTCTCGCGTCACTCCACGCTCTGCTTTCCTCATCACCTGGCTCCCTCCCTGTGTCTCTCTTCACGTGGTCCTCTTCTTATAAAGTCACCTGACACATTAGGTTGGGAACTACCTGCTCACACTATGACCTCATCTAATTACGTCAGCAATAACCCTATTTCGAAATCAGGTCAAATTCTGAGTTCTGGGAGTGAACCCTACAACATGTCTCTTTTTTTTTTTTGGATGGGGTTGAGGGTGGGGAGGGGACACAATTCAGCCCCAACAGGGGCTCTTTATATTTGCAATATCAGCCCTTGAGTTGCAATGGTTATTTCCGCCATTGCAGATGAGCGGTGGCGCTTGAGCTACAAAATGCTAGAGGCAGGGTTGCCTTTCCTCTTTGCATAAAGTCAGCACAGTTTTTGCTTCTGTGGATCCCCTCTTCCCCCAGGCACCCCCTAAACCCATGAAGCTAGAGAGTGAGCTGTGGCACAGCAGATTGGTGGAGGGAGGGATGGACAGAGGCTGGGGCTTCGAGCTCCTGGTTCTTGTCCCACCAGGGCAGCAACAGTCAGGGTGGTGGTTATGAGCCTGGGCCGTAGAGCCAGTGAGTGTTGGGTCCGAGTCCCAGCTCTGGGGGTACAGGTCACCACAGGCAAGTGCCTTAACCTCGTGCATTAGTTTGCTTTTGTTGCTGTTAACAAATTACCACCAATGTAGTGGCTTAACACAAAAATTCATCCTCTTAATGGCACCGGAGATCAGAAACCCAAAATGAGGTGCTGGCAGGGCCGTGCTCCTGCGGGAGGCGGTAGAAGCCCAGGACCTCTACCTGTAGAGGCCTTTTTCAGTAGCGAGAGCCCAGCATCTTTGTTCTCAGCCCCTGCCTCCATCCTCAAAGTCAGCAGCAAAGCTTCCCCTCGCTGGGAGCCTGTACTCTCTGCTCCTGTCTACACTCACGTGCCCACTTGCCTCCCTCTGCAAGTATACTTGTGACCAAACGGGGCCCACTCAGACCGTCAGGGTCGTGCTCCCACCTTAAGATCCTTGGCTTAATCGCATCTACAGAGACCCCCTTTTCACACAGAATAACATCCCCAGGTTGCAGGGCTTAGGAGCTGGTTGTCTTTGGGGGCCATTATTCAGCTGGCCACACCTCTGGAAGCCTGTTTCCTCAACCAGCCAGCAGGCTGCTGTGAGGACTCCCCCCGCTGGTTACATCGCTAAAGCCTCAGAGCAGTGCCAGCCGGGCACAGCACCCAGTGAAGTTGAGAGGGACAGCCTCATTTTTAAAGTCTTCCCTTTGGGCCTTAGTTTCTCTGCCTGGGAAATGGGGGTGGTGGTGTGGATTTCAGGGATTCCCCAGCTCTTCCACTCCAGGGCGATTCCTCTTCTGTCCCCCGTTTCTGCAGAGGGAAAGCAGAGGCCTTGGCAGGCGCTGTGCCGCACCCAGGAGGTGGCTGGGCCAGGGTTGGGAAAGCCACCTCAGTGTCGGCGGTGAGACCCCCTGGCCTGGGGAGCCTACACCTCCCGCAGGCGGGCAGCACGGCGCAGAGGGGGTCCCAGCCAGGCGCGCCCCCATGCGTCTGAAGCACTGCCTCTCTGGGTCTCTACTTTCTCACTTTGAAAGCAGTTGGGTGTCGGTCTGACTCCCTCTGTAAACCTCTCTCTCCATCCTTGTCCCTCTGTTTCGCTGTCTCTGTCCTGGGCTCTCAGTTGCTGTGTTCTCAGCCCCCACCTCTCTACCTCTCTGGTTGTCCCTGAGCAGGTCTCCCCTCCCCTCCTCCCATCTCTAGCTTCAGCTTCTCTCTCCTCCCTCATCTGTCTCTCCCCTCTCTGCTCTGTGTCTCTCTCAATCTCTCTCCATCTCTGTCTCTGCATGAAGCTCTCCCCTCCTCAGCCCTGGGAAGCCCCCGAAACCTGTGGGCCTCACCCAGGACCCGGCATGCAGGTAGGAGCCGGGCCAGGCCCAGGTGAGTCACAAGGAGGAAGGAGCTGACATTCCTGCTGTTTTTCTGGTGCGCGGGCCCAGCCCCCTGCCTGCCCCCTCCTGTAACACGTCACTGGGCCTCGCAGGAGTGTGTCACTTGGGGCAGAGACAGAGAGGACAAGTCACAGAGAAGCAGAGGCACAGAAACGGAAAGAGAAAGCTAGGAAGATGGGTGTAGAGGGACAGGAAAGAGAGAAGCAGAGATAGAGACACAAAAAAGATACAGAGACACAAGAAAAGAGAGAAGACACAGAGAGACAGAGTCAGCGAGAGACAGAGACAATGAAACAAGATAATAAAACAGAGAACTAGAAAAGGACAAAGACAGAGAAACACGGAAGGGGAGAGACAGATAGAGATTTCGGGAAACCACTAAAGTGAGGATGGGTGAGCTCCAAGATAATTCCTCCATTCCGTAAATAAAAGAGAAAATTGAAACTATGGCCCTGTGGTTTATGACAATGTGGTCATCCTGCTAGGACGTGGTAGCGCCAGACAACACAGCTCCAGGTGACCCCCAAACCTGGGCTTTCCTTTCACTGAGAGATGTCTCCCCTGATGCCCCAGCCCATTTCACAGCTGCGAAAAGCAAGGATCAGTGGAGTGAAGCCACCTGCCGGGGGCACCCGGGAGCAAGCAGCTGCCTGGACCAACACCCCATCTTTCTGTTTTCCCAGCTCATGTGCGTTAACATCTTGTTCAGTCAACCCCAAAAGGGGCTGTATTTTCCACACAGGGAAACCGAGGCTTGGAAAGGCGGATATCTGCCGGCCCAGGATGACCCAGCCAGGGAAGGAGTAGTCCAGTCCCACAGTCATCATCATATGACCTCAACTGCTGACCTCAAGCCATGACACGTCTCCACCTCCCTTCCCACCCCATGGAGAGGAAACACAGGGCCAGTGCCTAGGGTTCAGCACAACAATCACAGCAGTTTGCTTTTTATTGAGCACTTTCTATGTACCAGGCACTATGGCAAGCACTTTGCCTGTGTTTCTTTTTGTCTCTTGAATGCCAGTCCTGGGAGGCAGGCACTTTTTCCCTCTACTTCCAGATAAGAAGCTTGAGGCACAGGGAGGTTAAGTAACCTGCCCAAAGCCACACAGCTAACAAGTAGCTGGAATTTGAGCCCTCACAGTCTGCTGCTAGCCCCACACTCTTACCCCCAGGCTCTACTGCCTCTTTGAAGAGAGAATTTAGAGGGATTTTTCTTAACCTTATCTTAAAATTCCCTGTTTTGGCCAACCCCTCCTAAGCCCTCCTGTGGGCTAGTGGCTGTTTCAGGCATTTCACCTGCATTAAACTGCTCTGATTGATCAGAAGCCTCCTGAAAGGGAGAGACTATTTTATTTTGTTAAAAAAAACCAGAACATTATGCACCTTTGCAAACACACAGAAAAGGAGACAGAATGGCATGTGAGTTACCCTGATATAATTGGTACAAATACTTTGCTATTTGGCCTTTCTGTTTTCCTAAGGTATTTTAAAGTAAATACAGACGTCAAGGCTTCAGTGAATGAGTAAGAACAATGATGTATCATGATTAGCGTGGCAGAGGTAGCTGCTACTGCTTATTGCCTGTTACTCTCTCCCTCCCTCTTCTGTTCCAGCCACACTGGCCTCTCTGCTGTTCCTAGATCTCAGCAGGTACCTTGGGGGAGAAACAGAGAGAGATTTCAGGAGCCTGGCACTGACTCAGGGCCTTTGCACTGGCTGTTTCCTCTTCCTCAGACTCTTCCCAGACCATGTGCCCTACTTTTTCCCTGATCACATTTCCCCTCTGCTCAAATGCCACCTGCTCAGGGAAGCCCTCCTAGATCACCCCACCTAAGACTGAGCACACTCCACTTGTAACCTGTTACCTCCTCCAACCTGGTTTGTTACTCTCAATTTTGCTTATTGCATGACAGCCACAGATTAAATAACGCTTATTTACTCCCTGCTGTCACAGGGCAGAGACTTCCCTTTGTTTTCTGCCATGGCCTCAGCTCCTGGACCTGTGCCCAGCACAAAGTTGAAGGAATTTGTTGAACCCTCCTTGTGGGCCAGCGGCTGTTTCAGGCATTTCACCTGGTTTGACTGCTCTGATTGATCAGCAGCCTCCTGAAAGGGAAAGACTATTTTATTTTTTTGTATTTTATTTTATTTTAAAAAAGAAAGCTCATTCTGGAACTTTTACAAACACACAAAAGAAACAGAACGGCATATAAGTTACCCTGATGTAAGTGAGACAAATATTTTGCTAATTGGCCTTTTTTCCTAAAGTACTTTAAAGTAAATGCAGACATCAGTGACATTCACCTCTAAACATTTCAATGAGCATTTGTAAAAAGTAAGAATAATTTTCCCCTCATAACCACAAAACCATTTCATACCAGCAGAATCTACTTTTTGGCTAAAGTGTTTTAAGGTAAATTAGAGATATTATAGTATTTCACCCCCAAATATTTCCGCGTGCATCTCTAAGTGATAGAACATTTTTTCCACAATATCGTTATTCCTCCTGACAAAAGGAACACAAATCCTATTATTTAATAATAAATAAAAGCCACAAATTTCCCATGGGGACAAATTTAATCACAGAAGTGAGGTCCCTCGCCCAAGGCGCCGGACCGTAGCAGGAAGGAGAATTGAAATCTGCATCCCGGCAGCCTGGAGACAGCTGTGACCACAGCCACATGAGTCAGAGCACAGCCAGCCCCCCTACTCTCGGCCGCGCCCTGGAAAAGGAAGTTTTTGAGGAGGGAAGGTGACGTGGGGGAGGAGGGTGAGGCACACACGCATCTGGGGCTGACTCGCTCTTTGCAAAACCTCTGGGAGGAGCCCACGGGGCCACAAAACTCTCTTCTTTCCCCGGCCAGCCTGAAAGGTGCAGGGAGGCCCCGAATAGGAGCCGCTGCGCGATATGGGTCGCCTGCCACTGCTGTCCGTGCTTCTTCTGGCTCACGCGTGCGTTCCAGGTAGGGGCTGGCGCCGGGTCCACCTGCGCTGGCAGCCGGGTCTGATCGCGGGGAGGAGGGTGGAGAGAGCGGATTCAGGGTGTGATGAGTTGGATGAGGAGGGCTCAGCCCCTAGTCCCGCCACTCAAACAATTGTCTTGCTATCTGCAGCCCGATGCTGCACGGCACCTAGTACACAGTAGGTGCTCAGGAAATAGTTGAGCAAAGGCATTTAACAGCAGCTACGTTTCAATGGTGCACCCTTTACCCCTGGCGCTCTTCTAAGCACCTTCCTTGCGATTTCAAACTGGGAGGGTAGAACTATTTTACTCTCCTTGCACAGAGAAGGAACTGAGGCACAGAGAGGTTAAGTAACTGGTCCAGCTCACACAGCCAGGCCTGGAATCAGTGGGCTTCCGACCGCGCAGGGGTGTCCCACAGCGCTCTCCACTGTCGGTTGCTCGCTGTCCCACGGAAAACAGGACAGCGCCTCATTTTACGAAAGGTCTAAAGAGAGGCCGAGCGCCGCAGAGCCGGGGGCTGGGGATCCAGGCCTGGCCCTCGAGGAGCCTTCCCCTTTCACTACTACTCGCCGACGCGGCACTCTCGCCTCACTTTCCTGAAAATGTACGGGAAAGGGTTGGAAAGGAGAGGAAGTTGAGAAGGAATTGAGTCAGGGAGGGGGTAACAGGGGAGGGTTTGCGGGGTGGCTTGGCAATGAATAACCCGGAAAGCTCTCCGGACCGTTTGACGCCGAGAATGAGTAGCGGCTCCCAAGGCTTCCGAATTTGGGGTTGGAACAGGGAGATCTGTGTGGTCTAGTGGGCAGGGACACGCTTTGGGGCGGAGCTAACGGGCGGGGCTAGAGCCTAGGAGGAGCCGGTAGGCGGGGACATGGCTTAAGGGCGGAGCTAGTGGGGAATGAGAGCCCTACTGGGGCGGGGCTGGGGCGGGGATAGAATTTCAGGGGCGGAGCCGGTGGGAGGAGAGCACCTCAGGGGCGGGGCTCAGGGGAGGACTTCAAGGAAGAGGACTTAGAGGACGGGGACAGCGGGCGGGGGAAAGGACTTCGGGGGCGGAGCTAGTGGATGGACACTGGACCTCAGAGGAGGAGCAGGTGGGCGGGGAGAGAGACTAGGGGAGGAGCTAGTGGGCGGTAGAGAACTCCAGGGGAGGCTGGCTCCGGAGGGCTGGTGGGCGGAGTTAGAACTTAGGCCTGAACTGCGCGGGGATGGAGAGGCGGTGGAGGGGAGCAGAACGTGGAGGCGTCCGTGGGGGGTGTTAGTGGGGGGCGCGGGGAACCCGAGTAGGATGTAGATCAGCTGCAGTCGGTGGGGACGGAACGTCCTTAGGAGAGCTGGCGAGGCGGAGTAGACCGAGGGCCGGAGCGGTGGGGAGAAGGACCTAAATGGGTGCAAGGCTAAACGCCCAGATGCACAGAGAAGGTGAGGATTGGACTTTCTCGGCACCGTGGGAAGCGAGCGAGGGCAGGACTTTAGGGAAGGACTTGTGGGCGGGGATGGAACGTTGAGTAGGGGGCGGAGATAGAACGGCGGGCTAGAGAGATCCTGGAAGTACCGCGGGTCGGAACCCAGCGTGGAAGCCGAAGAGCGGGCCCAGCTGGGAGCACGAGCCGGACTGGGGGAGCGCAGGGCCTGAACACTTGGTCCTGGTATTGGGGCATGAGATGCCGAGAGCGGGATCCCGGCGTGGAGCTGTAACAACCTCTCCTCTCCTCTCCTCTCCCCCCAGCCTCCTGGGGCCTGCAGTGCATGCTATGTGGGAGTACTGGGAAATGCCACGTGCAAGAGTGTGCCCAAGGCCAGGACCTCTGCAGGACCACGGTCATGCGCATATGGGAAGGTGAGCTCCACTCTAGCGCGACAGGGCATACAGTGACCAGAAACTTATCTTACCAGTAATCAGGGGAATGCAAACGAAAAAGACAGGGAGACCCCATTTCACACTCACTAGATGACAAGCCTTCGAGAATCTGACAATACCAGGGTGGATGAGGATGTGGAGCTGCGCACCCTGCTGGTAGGGGTGTGAATTGGTGCTTCTGCACATGAGGATTAGCACACCCTGCAGCCTAAGCTCCTAAGTAGAAACCCCAAAGAACCCTGGCCACATGCACCCAGGGACACATGATGAGAATGTTTTTAGCAGTCATGTTCATATGGAAAATTGGAAACAACCTAAAGTCGGTCGTCAGCAGAGCCGGGGAGACGTTACGGTATAACCACACGACCCAGGCCTCCTCAGTAGTTTGAACGAAGAAATTAGAGTTGTAGGTGTTAACAAGGATACATCTCAGGTTGAGAGGAAAAAAAGCATGTTGCAGCATATGATACCTTTTAACATAAAGAGTATAAAACAATATGCCATAAGCAAATAAACAATACCCAAATATACAAATAAACAGTAGTATATATCGTTATGCATGCCTATGTAGTGTGAGAATTACCTACACCAGTGTTTGCTTCTGGACAGGGCATAAGGGGAATGGGTTTGGGGGTGTCAGCAGGAGGCTTTAACTATATGTTTTTAAATTTAGTTTCTTTTTAAAAACATCTGAAACAAATCTAATCGCAAAATGCTAATATCTTATAAAGTGGGGTGATGAATACACAGTATTTATTACATCACTCTTGTGCTTTTTGGTAAGCTTGAAGCATATGCCTTTATAAATTCCTATTAGAGGCATCTCCCTGCTAAAATCCCCAGGCTGGGATGGGAAGGAGGGGTGGATGGATCCAGAACGGAGGGAGTAAGCTCCCCGAGGGGGAGGAGGGGGAGGGGATAACTTGAGGAAAGACCGTTGGACCCAAACAAGAGGGAAGTCCTGGCAGGGATCAGCCCTGGGAGTGGAGGGCCTTCTGACCAGAGGTCTCAGAGGCAGGTTGGGCCCAGGGGAGCTTCTGGGGTGACAAACATACATTCGTCACAAGGAGGTGAAGAGCTGGAGGTGGTGGAGAGGGGCTGTGCTCACCCGGAGAAGACCAACAGGACCATGAGCTATCGAATAGGCATGCAGATCATCAGCCTGACAGAGACCGTGTGTGAGTCAAACATGTGCAACCAGCCCAGACCTGGTGAGTGAAACATCCCCAACCCCAGCCCCAAACCATCCCAGCTCAGCCTCATCACCATCCTGCTTCTCCCCAGTCCTATGGCACACCAGCCCCAACTCCGTGCCTTACCCCAGTGCCAACCCCAGCTCTCAATTCCTCCCTGATTGCAAACACATCTCCAGCCCAGCCTCCTCCCCACCCCCATTCCCAACTCAACCTCACCTTCAACCCCATCTCCAATGTCATTTTACCCCCAACACTTTCCAACTCAGACCTCTCCTTCTTCCAAACACCCCGCTGACCCCATCCCCAAATCAACCGCATCTCTCATCAAGCTGTCCACAATCCCACCCCCAGCTGCAAACTCATCCCCCTCTATACGTATGTTTGTTTCATGGTTGTTCTATGTAAGATGCCACACCTGCCCTAAGAAGTTACATGCCCATACACCCACTCGAGGGGTAGGGGAGGGATCTCACTGATGTTTTGCCATCTAATTTTTTCCATGGGACAGGAGATGCTTCAGGCAATAGATGCTAAGGGACCAAGATACAAAGCCCAGAGATACCAGACTCATAGTTCTTAAGGGAAGTCAAAAGAGGAGGGGTTCAGATGGACTGCAGTGAACTTAGAAAGTTCCCTGAACAGATGGTCCTTGACTTGGCCAGTGAAAAAGAATGTGAAAAAACTTCCATAAGCCCTTTTGTTGAGCCTCATGGCTTTAGGCGCTGGTCAGTTTTAAGAAAAAGACTTAGAAAGGCTTTTTAGGGCCCTTGGAAAGGCTCAAATCCCCCCAGTTTCCACAGGAGGGGAAAGGAGGGGAGAAGTGGGTCCACGTTGCACGATCAGGCAGAGGTTCCTCTTTCTGGCCCCGGTGGGGAAGGAAAGTGGCTAAGGCTAGCCCAGTCATAATGACGTCAGCAAGCAGAGCATCTGTGTTTGGTTTTTGTTTTTTTTCCTTCTTCTTCATCCATCCTGATGCTGTTTGATCGTCATCCATCCTGACCTCAGACTTTCATCTGTGGCAGTGACTGAATCGGATGTTTATTTTCGAGGAAGTGACAAGAGAGAGGACATTGCTTCCTCTCTGTTAGATGTGCTTAAGGGAAGCACTAATGATTAAGTAATACTTCTCATCAGAGATCATATTCAAAATGTTTAACAGTATCGGTCAGAGAAAAAGGCATTGACTCATCAGAGCAGACGCCTGGAGGCCCCTTGCTGGGCCTGGAATTCTGCCTTTAGCTGACGGAGCTTGAGGACAGGGGGATTCTAAAGAGAGAGTTGGACATGGTCAAGGGTCCACACCAGGGATCTTAGGGCAGCAGCTGCAATTCAGTAACTTAATAACTGGTAAACCTATGTCAGGCCCATTGCTCACGCCATTTTACCCTGCTGTGGTGACTACAATAGCTGGTTCAACTACATCCTGTACTTATGTAATACTGGGGACACAGCAGTGACCAAGACAGCCTCAGGCCCTGCTCCCCCTGGGGCTCGCCGTCCAGTGAGGGGCGGGGGAGTGGTGGTGGCGGCTACATGGTGACTTCCCAAATTATTCAGAGCCACAACCCTTCAGCACCTGCAGAAGGGTCAGAGCTGTCACAGGGAAGCACAGTCTCAAATTTTGGGGGCTGAGATAGGGACAGCAGAGGCCAGAGTGATCAGAGCTGGGATGAGTGAAGAAGAGGGCTTGGGGGACCCTAGAGGAGACCACCTGATTCAGCCCAGGGAAGGTTTCCTGCAGGAAGCAACAGTCAAGCTGGATCTGGAGCGATGAGTAGGAATCAGACTGTTGAAAAGACAGTGGAAAAGGTTTTCCAGACAAGGAGCAACAGATACAAAGGCCCATTGGTGGGTGAGGGTAGCATGGCTGGAGCTGGTGAAACTGGCAGGGTCATATTACACAGCGCCTTCTAGGCTGTGGAGAGGAATGTAGGCTTCATCTGGGGACCAGTGGGAGGTCATGAAAGGGTGATTTTTTTTTTTTTTTGGCTTGTTTTTGTTTTTGGTCAGAAGAGAATTTTAAGCAGGGAGTGTCATGATCAGATTTCTATTTTTAAACAAATTAATTCTGACCACAGAGTAGAAGATAGATGGGAGGGGAGACTAACTTGGAGGTAGGTGAGGTAGTCCAGATAAAAAAGAGGGTGGCTGGATTGGAGTCGGCCCTGAAAATGAGGAGAAGTGGGTGGATTTAAGAGCCAGTTAGCAGGTAGATGAGGAAGACTGAGGATGAATTAGGTGTTGGGGGTGGGTTTGCAGTTCTGGTCTCGATGGAGTCACTTGTGTCAGACTAACCTACCCATCCCCCCAACCCAACCGCCATGACAGCTATAAAAGCTGGATAAATTATAAACAGTTCCTTGAAGTCAGTGGAAACAGCAAAGGAAGAGAGGAACTTAAGGTGCTGTAGTCTTCGGAATAAGGGAAGCACAGAAGTTGAGCTCCACAGACAAGCCAGCTTTTTCCTCAAGTGCACTTTCCAAGTCACTGCTGTGGAAGGAAACTAGAAGCCAAACCGAGGAGATGACTGCTAGACTGAGAAGATGGAAGCTGGAGTCTGGGGCTGGCAGAGCGTCTGGAAATTGAGAGGTAAAATCCTGGAATGCACTGAACCACAGAAAAGGAAGTCCCCAAATCTGCAAATTTTCTTCAATTCATTGGCAAGCTGTACACGCACAGGGTGAGACTCCAAGAAACTCAGCAGAAAATAGTATCTGGGAAGCTACAGAACTAAGCAAGGATTCCAGCAGGCATGTGATGCTGGGGAGACTGAAGTTGCCCACTTAGAGAGAGGGGCCTTGGTAAGCACCTCCGGCTTGCCTCTGAGACCACAGCCTAGGGGTAAGAGCAGAATTGAAATGGACCAACTCGAAAATGCCTACATCTAACTTTAATAGGAAGGAAACCTAACCCTCTTTGGAGGAAGATAAGATCATTTAAATTCTCATCTATGATGTCTGACATCTAATAAAAACTTACCAAGTATCCTGAAAAAAATTAACAGGACCAGTTGACCGGAAACCAAGAAAGAATCCAACCAAAGAAACAGACTTGTAATGATTCAGATTTTGGAGTATTAGGGTCCTTTCAAAAACTACGATCACTGTATTCAAGGAAACAGAGGAAAGGATAAGTTTCAGCAGAAATATGGGATCTATTTTTTAAAAAGAGTCCAATGGAAAATATAGAAGAGTGGCTGAAATGACGAACTCAAGATGTTCTTAAGAGACCAGAAGCAGTGAGCAACAGGACTAAGGAACTAGAAGCAGGGCAGTAGAAGTACCCAGACTGATGCCTTGATGTGCAGGATCGAGGAACCTGCTGCATTTCTGCCCTGGGGAACTGGCTGGGGCCACCTCAGAGATGAGAGATTTGGGAGAAGGGGCAGTTCGGAGACAGTGGAGAAGATGGAGGGCTTCATTTGGGGCATGTAGAGCTTCAGGTGTTTGAGGGATAGACAGAGGCCTCCTGGAGGCAGGTGGGGAGCTCAGAGAGAAGTCCTGCCTAGGGAGAGATTTGTGAGTTCCCAGCAGATAGGTGGGAATGAGGCCACATCAATGGATAACACCCCCACGGGAGAGGGTGTGTTCCGGGACAAGGGAAAGAGCCTCGGGCAGAACCCTGAAGGTCACCCACGGTTAGAAGAGTGACAGAGGAAGACTTCACAAAGGAGACCCACAGGTGGTACGAGACAGTCATTTTGGCAATGACGGCGACTCGTGTTTTCATTTTCCTGGAAGTTCATGTGAGAAAGCGTGGGTTGTTGGGTGGCCTTGTAGACTTTTTTCTTTGTGGGGAGGGAAGATTTAGCTCTGGATGTAAATGGTTCACCTAATGACAGCTGCTGGCCTGCCAGCTGAGCCTTGGCTGAGACAGCCTTCTGCCTTACCAAAGACTTGGCCCAAACTCAGCTTGGGTGTCTGGGGTTAGGAAGGGACGGCTGTGCCAGGCTGGGGAGTGGCGTGAGCCAGTGCCTGGGCAGAGAGGTGACTGTGTTCCCAGGAAACAGTAACTCATGCACTTGGCCTGGACCAGGAGGTGCGTGTGAAAGCCAACGTCATCACAGATCAATCAAAGGAAGCTTTGACCTGTGACCCAGTTGTCAATTGCGGCATTACAGATTGCCCCCAAAGCTTAAAACTAAAATCAGCACGTATTATTTCATGAAGCTTCTGAAGGTGAAGAATCTAGGAGTGGCTTACCTAGTCATTCTAGGTCTTTCTGGAAGTTATAGTCAAGATGACATCTGGCCTGCAGTCATCTGAAGGCTCTCAAGGTAGCATCAGTCACATAGATGACCCGCCCCCATGGCTTCGGCAAAGGTCCCAAGGTTCCTCACCATATGGAGCTCGCTGTGGGGCAGCTTGAGTGTCCCCACAACACGGCTGTTGGCTTCCCCCAGAGCAAGTGATCTGAGAGAAAGCCAGGAGGAAACTGCAATGTCTTTTATGATCTAGCACAGAAGTCACACACCATCACTTCCACAATATCCTACTGATTGCATGGGTCAGCCCTATTCTTTATGGGAAGGGGCCACAAAAGGGCATGAATGACTACCAGGAAGCAGGGCTCACTGGGGGCATCTTGGAGACTGGCTACCTTCTACAAGGAACAATAGAAGAGCTCTAAGTAACTGTTCATTCATTCATTCATTTAACAAATACTTACTGAATATCATCTCTGGCCCTGGCCCTATGCTGGGTGATGTTGTGACACAGTAGTGACCAAGTTAACCCTGACTCTACCCTTCTGGGGCTCAGAGTCCAGTAAGGGAAATAGACCTGTCCCCAGACAGGGACAACCCACAGTGAGAGGGCTGGGAATGGGGACCCCAGAGGGTCCTGTCCCCAGACAGGGACAACCCACAGTGGGAGGGCTTCTTGGAGGAGGTAAAATTGGAGAAGATGCTGAAGAAGAAGTAGGGAGCAAGGGAAAGCGTTCTAGGCAAAGATGACAGCAGGTGGAAAAGCTGGATGTCAGTCAGCCTGTACATTTGGGGGCTGGGGGAGGTCATGTGCAGTATGAGGGGCTAGTGGAGGGAGATGAGGCAAGAGAGGCAGCCAGAATCCAGTCTTTGATGGACCTTGAACGCCATGCTGAGGATCTTGGATTTTATTCTGAAGGCACCCGGGAGCCATGGAGGGGTTTTGAGCAGAGGAGAGGCAGGGTCAACTTTGAGTATTAGAAACATTCTTCTAGGGCCAAGTGGGGTTACACTGGGTGGGGTTGGGTGGGGGAAGAATGGAAACTGGAAAGCCAGGGAAGAAGCTGGTATTGAAGGAGGTCTGACCTGGTTATAAGACTGGAAAAGGGGATGGATTCTAAAAACATTCAGGAAGAAAGAGAAACAGGACTTGCTGATTGGCTAAAGGGTGGGCTAAGGAAGAATTGATGCTGAGGGGAGTCCTCAAGGAAGCTTGATCTCCAGAGCTCTCCCATGGAGTCTCACCCTTCTGCCCCTCCCCAAACAGGCCGGGCCCCCGTCTTTCCCCGAAGCCGCTACCTCGAATGTGTGTCCTGTGCCTCATCAGACCTGAGCTGTGAGAGGGGTCTGGACCACAGCCTGCAGTGCCGCAACCCTGGAGACCAGTGCCTGGAGGTGGTGACCCACCAGAACCTGCAAGGTGAGCCCCGGCGCTCAGCAAGTCCTCTTTCCTGCTTTGCTCCTCCACAAGGCTGCATTGAACAATCCCAAAATAACAGGGATTTCAGTAAGGTAGTAAGTTTGTTCTCTCACACACAAAATGTCCAGTGATAGGAAGTCCAGGTCTACTAAGCCACTTCCACAGTCACCAGGAACCCAGATGTCTTCTCATTTCTTAGATATTGCTTCAGTTTTTAAGATTGCCTCATGGTCCAAGAGGGCTGCCAGAGCTCCAGAGCTCATGTCCAAGTTACAAGAAGGATGAAGGAGAAAAGAAAGGGCAGAAAAGAGGCATGCCTCCTTTTGCAAGGTTCTCTTTTGTGGAAGTCCCGTAAAGTTTTTCTCCTTTATGACATTGGCCAGAACTTAGCCTCATGACTATACCTATAGAGGCTGGAAAATGTATCTTTTGACTAGATACATAGCTGCCCCAAATAAAATGAGAGTCCTATAATGAAAAGTGAAGCGGAAAGTGGATGGATGACTGATAGGTGGGCAAATCCAGTCTCAGCCCCTTATCAACAATCTGACCTCTCCCCTCCTCTGACCCCGACAGAGAGTCCAGGCGATGAGCACCACTCCCGAGGCTGTGGCAACCTTCCTGGCTGTCCAGGCCCCATCGGCTTCCACAACAACCACAGCTTCCACTTCCTGCAGTGCTGCAACACCACCAAATGCAACCAGGGACCAGGTAAGGGGCAGGGGACCTGATGTGAGGCCTGGGTTGGAAGCAGGGAGGTGCATTCAGGCTGACTGCCACCTACTCACAAGCAAACCCCTCCTCTGGAAAAATGGACTTAGCTAGCCCTTTCTCAAAGACGCATTTATGGGAATTCAATGAGACTACCAAACCTTTGCCAAGACCCACGCTTTATGCTTCCTACATCCCATTGCACCCTTTCAGTGCTCCGCACTCTGGCCCAAGCCACCAGGACCTCTTGCCTAGATTGTTGCTGTAACCTCCTCCCTGGTCCACCTGCTTCTGCTCCTGCCGTCCTACAACCAATGTTCAACACATCAGCAAGTGTGATTTTTTTTTTTATGCCAATCAGATCATGTCACTGTCCCTCCTCAAGTACTCTGATGACTTCCCCTTGCTCTCAGAATAAAACCCGAAGGCCATACTATGCCCTGTATAATCAGGAATCTGTCTGCCTCATGGTCTTCATTTGTTTCTGCAGCTCCAAACTCCATCCTGCCTCATGGCCTTTGCACATGCAGTACCCTCCACCAGGAACATGTCTCCCCCAAGAGTTCACCCCGCTGGCCGGGTCTCATTTGTTAGGTCTCAGCTTTGAAGTTCAGTCCTCAGGGAAACTTTCACTGTCCCTTCCCTCCAACGGGACCTAGATCTTTAGTGTTATTCTGTCTCTGTAATCAGTACTGTCCAACAGAACTTTCTGCGGTGATGGAAATGTTTTATATCTGTGCTGTCCAACATGGTAGCCATGACCACAGATGGCTGTTGAGCTCTTGACATGTGCACTGAAATTTTGAATTTGAACTAGTATTTAATATTGATGAATTTCTATGTAAATGTAAATGACCACATGTGGCTTGTGGCTGCTGTGGGACGACGTAGCTCTGCATTGTTAAGTTCCGTGAAGACAGGGACTGTTTCCTCTTACACAGCAGCTTACCCAGTCCCTGGTCAGATAGGGGCTCAGGGGGAGCTGGGAGTTGAGAATTCTCTCCTGGGTCCTAGAGAAGCCCCCTGGAAGGAGAGTGCCATTCGGAGGCCTGACCACAAGGTGGCTCCACGACACCTCAGGCTGGGAGCCTGAGCCCTGGTCGACAATGAAGGCAAGGAAGAAAGCCCGCCGCCTCTCTAACCCCCTGCCCCGACCCTCCTACTCATTTCCTTGTTTCTGTGTCACTTGTTTTCTCCCAAGTCCTGGAGCTTCAAAACCTGCCCCTGAATGGCTTCCAGTGTTACAGCTGTGAGGGCAACAGCACCCACGGATGTTCCTCCGAGGAGACTTCCCTCGCCGCCTGCCGAGGCCCCATGAATCAATGTCTGGAAGCCACAGGCACCCATGGTGAGCCCTTTAGGAGGCTGGGAAAGGATACTTTGGGGAGCGGCTTAGAGGGTCTGCAGGCTTATGGTTAAGCTGGACCTAATTGAAATGGACCTTCCTGTGGGAAAGAAACGAGACTGGATTCAGGAGGGTGCCAAGTATAGTAAGGAATGAGGATTTGGGAATTAGGAATGGATATTCCAGCAACAGAAATGTGGACTTCTTTAGGGGTGGGATTTCCTGTGGACATCACAGGCTTCCATCCTGAGAGTCCTGCGAAAATCAGTCTATTCCAGTGGATCTCCAACTTTCTGGTCTCAAAATTCCTTCATGCTCTTAAAAACTGTGTATGTCAGTTATATCTATAGATATTTACCACATTAGAAATTAAAATTTTTGAAGATGTATTTATTAACTCATTCTGAAATAACAATTCAAAATTTATTCCATGTGAACCTAACATATTTTTATGAAAAAAGAAAACCAAACATTTTCCAAAATGAAGAAATTTAACAAGAGGATTGGCATTGTTCTTCCGTTTTGCAAATCTCTCTAATGTCTGGCTGAATAGAAAACAGCTGGATCCTCATCTGCTTCTGCATTCAGTGTATTGCAAGATCACACGTCCTGGGGTTTCTGGAAAACCTCACTATACTTATGAGAAAGAAGAGGCCAAAGGGTGTTTTTGCATTATAATGAGAACTAATTTTGATGTCACAGATCCCCTGGAAGTGTCCGAGGGGCCCTCGGGTCAGAACTGCTACTTTCTTTAGGTGGCATCTCACGTCACCCAGTGAGACTTGCAGGCCTGGGCCTGAGGGCTGGGGTCCTCACACAGCTTCCTTCTCTCCTCAGGGCTGGGGGACCCAAACTACACAGTCAAAGGCTGTGCAACTGCCTCGTGGTGCCAAAGCCTCCACGTGGCTGAAGCCTTCCGCCTGACTCATGTCAACGTCTCGTGCTGTAGTGGAAATGGCTGTAACTACCCAGTCGTGGACAGCCAGCACCACGCGGGTGGTGCCCCTGCACCTGGCCCTGCCCACCTCAGCCTCACCATCACCCTGCTTATGACTGCTAAACTATGGGGAGGCACTCTCCTCTGGACCTGACCCCTGCACCTCCCGTGCCCTGGCTGGATCCAGGGGACCCTTTCGTCCTTCCCTTGGCTCCCAGTCCTGCAGACTTGCTGTGTGACTTCAGGCCAGTGTGCTGCCCTCTCTGGGCCTCAGTTTCCCCAACTGTCAAAATGCGTATCTCTCAGTGTTGTGAGAACCAGAGGAAGAAAAATGGAGAAAGGCTGCAGGCCAGCAAGAGAGCTCTTGTTATTAATATTGTTGCCGCTATTGTTATTGTTAATATTTGTTTTATTTAATATTTTATACCTAAATAAAGATTTTTGTACCAGTGAACCAGGCAAGAACTGCCCTTCTCCATAACCTCTGTCTTTGGGAAGATGAATGGGGGTTACCTTTCCTCAGGTTCCTGGAATTAAAAGTCACATCGCAGGACCCAGTATTCGAGGCCCCAGCCAGCCGTAGGAGCAGTCCTGCATCAGCTTCCACTGTAAGCCACCCCCACATCTATTTCTGGGCTCCAAATGCAACCTTCCAACTCACCCAGACACTTACTCTCCAAGCTCCTCTCCCAAACTCCACAGGTCAAGCCTATTTCGTTTTTCTAAGGAGACCTGTCTGCATTTCCTAGGTGGCCCCAAAACAGGAGATGAATTGGAGATAACCTGATGGCCACAACTGATGCACTACAGTGAGGCATGGGGACAGGGCTACATTTCTCCTGGTCCTGGGGCCAGGAGACAAAGGCTGGGCTGTACTTCGTAGGATGCCCTCAGACTGACTGAAGAAAAGACAGAATACCGTTCCAGTGACACTCCTGGAGCACAACACGGAAGAATTCATGTCTCCCATGGTTCCCTGAGGTGAACCCACAGAGAGAAAATTACATTCTCATGGGGCCCTGTGGCTAATGAAAAAGATAGGACGTATGCCATGGTACTAGGGGTCAGTAAGGGACGGTTTCTTTTTATGGCGTCCTCAAAGCACATTTCACCAACTGCTGCTGTGGTAGCTTAAAGTGGGGGGGTCACTATCTCCACCTTTTGAACATGAGTGGCTCTGTAACTGCTTTGACCAATAAAATATGGTGGAAGCTGACAAAAAGGGTGTGAAGCCAGTGTTAGCATGATAGGTCCTTCAGCCTGAAACAAAACAAAACAAAACAGTTGAGAGCTCCCTGTCTGAGGGCTCTGCTGTTTATGGAAATGGCCCCTTGTTTACGAAGAGCTTTTGGGGCACCCTGAGCAAACAAATGGAACTTGCAATGTTTGCTATGAGGCCAGCCAAATAAAAGACGAATACCCTGCTCACCCTTTTCTCCTTCTTAAACCCTCTCTCCCAGACTCCAGGTGGGACGCTTTTCAGTGTTACGCTGGACTGTGTCTCCATTGTTTGCAAACCTTACAAAATAAAGCCCACTTCTAAACCTTCTCTTAAAGGTTTTCTCTCTTAACAAAGTTATCCCATGCCATGTTCTGAGCCCAGGTTCTAAGAAACTGGCTCTGGGGAAGCCCGCTGCCAGGTAAAAGTCCTCCAGCATGGTGACTGTCATGCTGTGAGGACACCCAAGCTACTCATACATGGATGCCAGAGGGGGAGAGAACCCCAGATATTCCAGCTCTCAGCCCAGGCACCAGCCAAGTGGGCAAAGGAGCTACCTGGGTGCGCAGTCCCAGCGGACGCAATGTGCAGGAGCACCAGACGCCCAGCTGTTTTCCTTTCCCAGGGCTGCCATCATCAATAGCTACAAACTTGCAAACTGGACGCCTTCAAACAACAGAAATTTACTCTCTCGGCATGCTGGATGCTAGAAGTCCCTAAGCAAGGTGTCACACAGCCACGCTCCTTAAGTCTCTGGGGAAGCATCCCTCCTGGCCTCTTCCTAGCTTCTGGGAGTTGGTTGCCTACAATCCTTGGTGTTCCTTGGCGTGTGGCTGCATCACTCCAACCTCTGCCTCTGTTGTCTGTGGCCTTCCTCTATGAATGTAGCTGTGCATCTCCAAATCCCTCTCTCTCTTTCCTTACAAGGACACCAGTTGTTGGATTTAGGGGCCACCCTCATCCAGGATGACCTCATCTGAACTTAACCATATCTGCAAAGACCCTATTTCCAAATAAGGTCACAGTTATAGGTCATGGAGATTAGGACTTCAACAATATTTTGGGGGGATACAATTCCACCCACAACACCAGACAACAGCCAGAGCCAAGGTTTCAGATATAAAGGCCCAAATGAACCACCCCATCCCTCTCCAGCCATTCAAGCCAACCCAGTTTGGCCTTGGTCCATTCTGGAGCGGATACCCATTGATCCTGCCATGCTTTGCTCAAATTCCTGATCCACAGAATCATAAAATTAAAAGGTTGTGGTTTTACACCACTGAGTTTTGGGGTACTTTGTTAGGCTGTAATGGTTAACTGGACCAGTCTTTGGTTTTTTGCTACCTCACCCTAGGATAACCACCTTTTGTTCACTCCTGTATTCCTACCTAGAATAGTGCCCAGGACATGGTAGGTGAGGAAGAAAGGGAGGGAAGGAAGGAAGGGAAAACAGCATTGTCCATGGTATCTTACAACGCTGGGCTAGGACTGTATCTCCCAGGATGCCCTATAGCAGAGAAGAGGCTGAGATGACATTTTCTGAGATGCTCTATAATTAAAACTGAGGGTAATTTCACCTTTCCCATGATTCCCTACATCAGAGATTGGAGACTAGGAGTACATTTCCCATGATGCCTTGGCAACAGGATTTGAGGCTAGGACTGCATCTCCCATGAGACCCTATGGCAGAAATTGGAGGCTGGGATTACATCTGCCATGGATTCCCTGCAGTGGGGACCAGGGGCTAGAAATACATGTCCCACAATGCCCCACAGTTGATATTGAGGCTAGGGATGAAATTCTCATAATATTCTTCACCAGAACTTACGATCAGGACCTCATCATTAATGGCTCCCCAGTTTTTGTTCGGGGATCTCAGTTGCAAGAAAACCTGTTTAGGCTGACAAGTAAAAATGACAATGCTATTGAAAGTTTAGAATCCAAACAAGAGCTAGGTCTCCAGGCCTCACTGGGGTCCCAGAACTGAAAACCTGTGTGAATTCAAGGCTGTCTCCCTTTTGCAAAATCTCTGTGTGTGTGTTTCTCTCTCTCTGAATGTGTGGTTTCCCTTGTGGGCTTCCACTTTATTTTTCTGTCTCTCCACAGCCTACCTTATTCTGCTTCACACATAGTAAGCAAATCTGCCCTTGAAATGTCAAGTAGTAAGATCCACTTGTGTCCTGGTTCTAAAATTTTAGTGGACAGACTCTGATGGGGTCCAGCTTGGGTCAGAGCTCTGCTTATGACCCTCTCTACTATGGCCAGGAAAGTTCACATCAAAGCCACCATGGACAGTTGTTCAAGCTGTAAGTGGACATCACCTACTCCTGAGTGAGGGGGTATGCAGCCCACTTGATTAGAGCTGCGAAAACAACCTCTGTGAGAGAGATCCTACCACAAGAATGGGGAGCAACTGAAAATGAAAACTATCATTTAGCATGTTTTCATCTGCAAGCAGAACTGTCTCCAGTATCCTATGGGAATCACAGGCAGTATAGTGGCTAGGGCTATATGTAACAGGACACCTAGTTCAAAGTGGTTGAAACAAAGAGGAAATTGATTATTTCACATAACAAGAGATCATGAGTTAGGGCAGTCCCTGGGTTGACTAACTGAATGTTTCTGCTAAGTCCTAAAGGACCCATTCAGGCTTGTCCACCTCGTGGCCTCAAGATGGCCACTGCAGTTCCAGACATCACACCCACATTCAGAGGCAATTACAATGGGCATCTCTTCTTGGGTCTCTTTTTTTAAAACAAAGAAAGCTTATCCCAAGACTTCCTGACCAACATGCCTCACGTTTTATTCTCCTAACTTGTTTCATATGCCCATGCCTACAGCAATCACTAGAAGCGGGCATGGAGCCACAATAATTGGCATAAGTATATTCATACCCCAACTCCTGGGGCTTCCCCCACATCATCCAGCTGTTAAAGAAAGGTGGATGCCTGGACAAAGTCAGGATTCTCTTAGAAAGGAACAAAGGCGGGGAGGGAATGTCTTTTAGGAAAAAATGTACCCATTCTTCCTCCCATATAGGGGAAAAATCCAGCTCTTCTCTGCTGTGTCTTTTTTCACTTTCACACTACAACCACACTCACAACAACTTCTGGTCACCAAATGTGTGGGGCTTTTTTCTCCATACCAAGCAATTCTCTGTGACACTAGCTGAGTGCTCCATAATTTAACTCAATTCTGACACTGTTTATCTGGAGGTAGCATCAGATCCCACAAGCTCAGTCCCACAAGCCCAGGCACCACTCCAAATGCCAATCACAAGTCCAGGTTGTCACCTGTGTTTCTGACCTATTGGCTATAAATCAGAGGTCCCCATGACCTCCTCTTTGGGTTCAGTTAACTGGCTAGAGGACTCAGGAAAATAATTTACTGTTTACCAGTTCATTAAAGGATATGATACAGGATACAGATGAACACCCAGATAAGAGATGCATGTGGGAAGGGGTGTGGTGCTCCCACGCCTCTTCTGGACACACCACTCTCCCCACTCCTGCACCGGTTCACCAAACCAGAATCTCCCCAAACACCAGACTATTGGGATTTTTGTGGAAGCTTCATCATGGAGGCATGATAGGTCATTCACTCCATTTTCAGCCTTTCTCCCTTCTCAAGAGAAAGGGGGGTGGGACTGAAGTTTCCAAGCTTCCGATCATGGCTTGGTCTTTCCCGTGACCAGCCCTCATCCAGCAGCCCACCCAGAGTTGCCTCATTAGAACAAAAGACACTCCTACCACCCAGGAAATTAATCATAATGGTCTCAGGAGCCCCATTTTAGGAAGCAGGGTCAAAGAGCAAATATTATAGCAAAAAATGCTTCTAATGCTCTCATCACTTAGGAAATGTCAGGGTTTGGGGAGCTCTGTGCCGGGAACTGGGGGCAGAGACCAACCTGTATTTCTGTTATCTTGCAGAATGATACGGAGAAAACAACTAATGAAGTCTGCACCATCCCAAGACTTCAAAAACTCAAGATTGGTCAAGTGATGGCATGCAGCCCATTCCCTCGTCCCCTCCCCGAATAGCAGGCACAGCCCTGTCTCCCCAGAAGCCATGTCTGAGAAAGCTGATTTCACTTCTGACCTGGGTTCATGCCTAATTAAATCAGCGCATTCTCATATGCTGGCCATTGATATTGACTCAGTGACAGGCAGGTGGCGTCTTCCAGACCAGTGAAAACACAATGAGAGGTTTTCTAGGGGCTTCTCGGTGATGCTATTTCCCCATGCTGCTGAAGGAGCTTCTTATAGTCTTGCTCTGTCTCCTTCAGTCTGGTTCTCTCAGTCTGTCTTTTTCTCTCTCTGTCCCTCTCCAAATGTGAAGGACAGGTGCAGCGCCAGGGGTCCTTGCCAGTCATCTTGCAACGTGAAGGGAGCCTTAGGACAGAGAGAGAGACCATGCTGAAGCCAACTATACCCAGGGCTTTTCTATATGTCACCTAATTCTCTTTCTCTTAAGCCAGTTGGGTTGGATTTGCTGTCACTCGCATGAAAACCCTCATGGATGAAGTATGCTGGAGTAGGACAGGAACAGGACCACCACTCTTGTGCTGTTCTCAGGTGGAAACATGGTGGGACCCAAAGAGGACAGCTGAGAAGCAAACCAGTATCTCCCAGGGTGCCCTGCAGCAGGAGCAGGAGACATTGGTTAGAGCTGTGGGCAAGAGGACCTATCGATTCTTGAAAATGACAACTATTAGCTACCTCCCCTGTTCTAACACAGAATGTGAGCTTTGGAAAGAAGATTAGAGATGATCCAGTCTGACGACCCCTAGTTTACAACTGAGACTGGAAAAAAAAGTTTTAGAGCTATGGTCCTGAGGACATAGAGGTAGATGGAAGATTTGGTCCCAAGGATAGAGTGGAGGCTGGGATGCAGGGTCCTGAGGATACAGGAGTCAATGGGAGCTTCAGTCCTGAGGACAGAGAGGATGCCGGGAGCTGGGTGCTGAGGACAAAATGTCGGAGCTGATGTCCCCTGGTGGACCTAAACGTAGAATATTTGGGTAGTGATGGAAATAAAGAATGAGGATTTTCCCAGTTGGCCTATCCCAGTTTACCAGCATGGGAGAGGTTGAGGTCGCCTACTTGCCATGGTTTCTCACTCTCCCTTGCATGGGTCCTAAGGGTGATAATGCTGCACTGGGTCTACAATGTCCAATGGAAGGTAGCTCAGGGAGACCCACTCTCCAGGAGGGACAAGGGCCCAAAGTCTGGAGAGTAAGCCCGCCCCAACGACGGGAGAGGAGTGGGAACTGCACATAGACGGGGACGCAGAGAGACGGACAGGAAAAGCAGAGGTGGGTGGGGACGCTGGGCTCTAGCGCCTGGGAGGCGGCCATAGGAGCCTCTCCCTCCTTAGAGCTTCCTTCCAGTTGGGACACTTTCAGGGGAGCCCCTCCCGGAGAATTATGCGGAAGCACAGGGTTTCGAGTCAAGACAGGAGGAGGGTGGACCTGACCCCAGCTCAGCCCAGCCCTGCCCTGGGCGATCCTGGGCCTCCCAGACACGGGCTGCTGCCTTCCCCCGCAGGTGGCTCAGCTCACGGCGGTCACGTGACACCTTCACCTTCACTCACCTGTCCACAGAACTGCTCTCACACTCAGCTGTCCCAGGAGCACCCCTTCCTCAATGTTCACATTCTCACACACACTTCCCCCTCCACGCACACACAGGCCTTCACACGCCCACCCCGCCACCCGGCACCAGCACCTGCGCACGCCCTTGCCCCCACAGTCTCACACACTCAGCCTCACACGACACACTCATCTCACACTCCCACCTCTTCACGCAACACAGCCATGCACGCCCCCCGCACCTCCCGACCTCTGCGCGCCCGCGCCCGCAGCTCCCCTCCTGCGAACCCTCTCCGCCCCCTTTGTCTCGGGGCCTCTCCGCGGCGCCCCGCCCCCCGGGGCCTGCCCCGCCCCGCCCCCGTCGCCCCGCCCCCGGGCGGGCAGGGGGCGGGGAAGGGGGCGGGGCGGGCGACGCGGGCGGTGCAGGTGCCGGGCCGGGAGCGAGCGGCGGCGGCGGCGGCGGCGGCACCATGGGCCGGGCCCGGCGCTTCCAGTGGCCGCTGCTGCTGCTGTGGGCGGCCGCGGCGGGGCCAGGTAGGGCCGGGAGCCGGGGCCGGGGCCAGGGCGGGGGTCGTGCCGCGGCGACAGCCTGGCCGCCGCGGGGCCGCAGAGGCTAAACAATGCGCGCGGGGCCGGGCCGGGCCCCCTCCCCGGGACAAAGCGCAGCGCGGGCCGGGAGCCGGGATCCGCAAGCGGGGGAGGGGGCGCGGGCCCCGGCCGCTGTGCCGCAGCCCCCCCACCCCGCACAGGCCCCGATCCCGGCGGGGACAAAGGGACCGAAACCAGCCCCAAGCCCGCCTTCTCCCGGCCGGGTCCGCCGTCCTTCTGTCCCGTCTCTGCGTCGCCCTACTGTACGCCTGTCTCTGAGTCCCTCAGTCTCTCTCTTTGCCCCCTACCCTTGTCCTCTGTCCCTCAGTCTCCAAGTCCTAGCCCTCTGTCTGTCTGTCCCCCCTAACCTCTCGGTACTGTCTTTGTCCCCCACCTCTGCCCTTTTTACTGGGTCACTCTGTCCCCCATCATCCTCTCTATTCCCCCTTCTCTGCCCCTCTGTATCCTGCCCTCCCTTTCTACCCCCATTCTGCCTCCCTCTCCCTGTCTGTCACCCTTGTTTCTCTGTCCCCCATCTGTCCCATGCCCTGGCTCTCTGTCCCCTGTCTTTCTGTCATGCCCGTTTCTCTAGCCCCCTCTGTCACCTACCTCCCTCATCCCCCCCCCCCCCCCACTACTGTCTGCCTGTCCCCTGGCCCTCTGCCTCTCCCCTCTCTACCCTTACAACCTCCATCCTGGGATCCCCCTCCTTTCCTTCATTTCTCCATCCCTCTATCCCTCTGTGCCCCGGAGAGGAATTAAGTCAGGGCATCCTAACGGGCCCTGAAGGGAAATGCGCGTGTGTAAGTGTGTGGGGAACCTCGGCATGTGGGCACACACGTGGATTCAGCAAATGCCTGGCAACTGTTGCCCCTCCCCACCCATTCACACACTGGGCCATAACTTACTGAGGAACCCCCTCCAGGACATGTGGGGAGCCCTCCACCTACCCTTATCACACGCTGTGAAAAGCTGGAGACTGCCAAGTTAGGGTGACCCTGAGGCCGGGACAAGGTCAGGAAATGTCACCCACACACTCACACTTCCACCCTATGTGTGCCTCAAACCCACCACAGGTCATCCCCTCCCCGGTGGGTAAAGCCACGCTTGGGAAGAATGGATGATTGGGAGGTGGCCAGGAACGGGAAAGCTGGGTGTTCTGTAGAGATTTGGGAGAGGAGCGTCACCAGGTGGCACAGGGCAGGGGGTCTGGCTTTAAATCCAGCCGCTGATGGCAAGCACCTTCCTCTGTGTGGGCCTCAGTTTCCCTTTCTGTAAAGTGCAGATATTGAACTTAGTGACCTCAGTGAGCTCCAGCTCCAACCTCTGAAGAGGTTTCTGGACAGTTGGGTGCAGCTACACCTTCCCCGCCCCCAGGGTTCGAGGCCGAGTCTCCCTCTCCTCAGGACGAGGAGTTAGGGTCAAAGCTGCCCTCTCCCAATCTGGCTTGCTTTCTTCCACAGCCTTCTGACATTGCTTCAGAACTTTCATCCTTACCTCCTCTCTTTGTGGCAGATGGGCCACAATTTCCCAGATGAGTGCTTTGGTACGTTAACTACATCTCCATCCAGTTTTATTTTTCTTTATTTTTTAGGCCCTAAAAAGAACAGGCTCATAGAATCCTAAAACCAATGAATCCCGTAAACAAAGAACCTGAGGGTGTTTTAGAACATTGACATCTTTAGAATTCTAGAAGCCCAGTCTTTAGAATCTTGGCACCTTTAATATTCTGGAACCTTGAGGGTATTAGCATTTTAGCCACTTAACACCTTTAAAATTCTGAAATCTTGACCTCTGGGAGATCCTGAATCTTGACACCTCTGACCTCTAGAATCTTGTCAGCGTAGAATCATGGGACTTTGGGTTTTCAGAATCACAAGATAGCCTAAGGTGACCACCCACCCAGTTCAGGAATCTTTTTCTCCAGTGCTTCTGGGAGGTAGTACTACAGGCTTGTCCCTTGTTTGATTTTAAAGTCACTGCTGCCTGGCACCCTAATCCCTTCTGTAAACTTTCTCTAAATTAAATGGCGCGGGGCTTTACAAGTTGGGAGGGAGCTAGGTATCACGGGAAGCAGTGTGGACTGGGAGCTGTAAACTAGGCCCCTCCAGTATTACTTTGTGTCTGAGAACCCCATCGTTCTGGGAGCCTCCCTTTCCCCTTCTATAAAGCATGGGCTAGGGAGCTGGGGCGTGTGGTGTCTGGTGTTTTCCTTTTCATTGGAGATTTTTGAATGACCTTGGCCACCAGATTTTACAGGGTGACCACAGTCCCCACATTTTCCTCTTAGTCACCCCCTTTCTCTCTCACTTTGCCCAGCCAGCAGGAGTAGAGATGTGACATGGGGTCCATTTGTGCCTGTTCCAAATCATATTCTCTCTTCCTTGGCTCCCTCATCTGCAAGAATGTCAGGAAAGCGCGATGAGATTTATGCCAAAAGAAAGAAGGGTCCGTGGTGGGCAGGTGAGAGGAAGTGAGGGAGAGAGGGTTGGGTGATCTGCCCCCACGTACACCAGCAGAAAGAGTGAGCCACAGGCCAGGAACTAGATGGAACAGAAAGGAACGGAGGAAATGTATCCAGATACAAAGGAAAGACAGAGGGGCTGGTTAGAACTGGGGGGCTTTGTGTGAGGGGGTTCTTATTGATCCTGAATAATGTTTCCCTCCCAAGTGATTCACTTTTCTCTGCTAAAGTTCTGACTGGCCACTTTGAGATCAGGGGACCTTTCCCCCACTGTGAGTCACCCCAGGGTATAGGTCTCAGGAGGTTTCTGTCACTGACCCCCACCCACCCATGGGCCAGATGCCTGAGTCCCCAAAGTGGGGTCAGGCTCTGAAATGGATTCCCAGACCTTAGACACAGCAAGGCTGGGGCCTGCGGTGGGTTAATGTCGTGCGAGCCTGGACTGTCCCCATCTTGGGGAACACAAAGGCAGCTTTCTCTCTCTTTGGGGGGTGGGGGGGTGGTTGGAGACAGTCAGACTTGCCAGTGCCCAATGGCCTGTGGCACCAGGACCCAATCACCCACTGGTTCCTGCCTGTGCAGACCCCAGGCCCATAGGTCCTCTGGGAAACAGGCTCCCAGTCTCCTCCACAGGCACCCAGTGGGGCAAGAGGGCAGCAGGCTTTCCTGGGAGGGGTGAATAGAGGGCCCTGGGGGTGGAGGAGAGGACAGTGAACACTCAGTGTAGGCTAGCACTCTTCCCAGAGCAGGAATTCCTGCCCTGACCCCACACCCAGGGGAACCTCCGGAGGCCTCCCCCACCCCCTGGCTGGGCCTGGGGCCTGGAATCTGGGAAGTTCCGAGTATCCCAGGAACGTGGGGGCCACAGGCGGGACTTTGTGTATGAGGCTGCTGACTCACCCCTACGCCCCCACCTGATGCTTGGTCCCCAGACAGGGGGACAGAGGGCCAGGGGAAGGCAGGACTGAGGTTCTGGGGGTTGAAGACAGTAGCCCTTAAAGTCAAAAGTTTCCAGGAGAAGAGGGGGCTAGGGGTCTGGCCTCCTGGCTCTGAGGGAGGCAGGAGCTTGGGGCCTAGTTTCACAGGTCCAAGGGAGGCAGGACGGGGGGTCCTGGACTTGTGAGTCAGAGGAAGGAGGAGGCTGGGCTTCTGGACATCTGTGTCAGGGGAAGGAAGGGGCTGGGGTCTTGGACTCCTGGGTTTGAGGGAGGAGGGGACTGGGGGCTTGAACTCCTGGGTTCTGAGAGAGAAGGGGACTGGTAGTTCATACTCCTAGGTCTTGAGGGACGGAGAAGTGGGGGTACAGACTCCTGAGAGAGGAAGGGGTTGGGGGGGTCTCACTTCAGGTTTCTGAGGGAGGAGGGCTGGCTGGGACCCTGATGCTCAGGTCCTGCAAATACAGGCGCCTTCACAAGGCTGAGCTGGGAAGAATTGATGCTTTGTGCGAGGATGTTCGGACTCCGCCATTGATGGGGGGCTGAGGGGGGTTCAGTCAGGACGTAGGGATGTACCACCTCCCAGGGGAGGAAGTAGGGGAAGAAGGCAGGATGCCATAAGCCCCCCAGGGAGCGGATATGGAGGGGATAGCTGTGACCTTCCCGGGACCGTGACCTTGAGACTCCCTTGGTTATTCGCTGACTCAGGACCCAGGAAGTGCTCCCCCCACTCCGCTTGGTCTCCGTGGAAACATCCACCAGCTGTGTACTCTGGACCCCTGGCTCCTGGGTCCTGAAGGAGGAGGGGACTGGAAGCCCAGACGCCTGGGTTCGAAGGGGGAGAAGGCTGGGGGCTGGGGACTCCTGGGGTTGAGGGAGGAGCATGCCAAGAACCCAGACTCCTGGGTCCTGGTGGAGGAAGGGGCTAGGAACCTGGACTCCTGGGGACTAGGAAAGGTGGCATCTGGGGGCCGGATTCCTAGGTCTAAGGAGAGCACTGGATTCTGGGTATCTACATATCACCTGCTTGGCTACTCATTCCCAAGCCCTCCCCAGTCCCTTTTTTCAGGCACCATCCCCATGACGACTCTAGGCTGTCAACACAGTTTAAAGGGCCAGTGCCCCAGTCCCCAGAACTCAGCCCTTTTTGACCAGAAAGTCTGCCTCACCACCCTCCAGCCCTGAAACAAAAGCTCCTGGGACATTAGTATTCCAGGCACAGACACCGTTGGTTACTGACTCCTCAGGAGGGGGAGGGAATATGACAAAAGCCCCCCACCCTCACCCCATGTGCACCCTGAAGCAGACAGCAGGAGGTAAATTTTGGGAGTAGATCCAGAGTTCCTGATGGCCCCCAGGGGAGGCTGAGTTTCTACAACTCTCTTGCATGGGACCCCTGAGCCTCATTCTCCACATCTGTAAAATGGGGGCTAACATTAGGCTACCCCTGAAGTCCAAGACCCAAGGATAGGCTTCAAAATGTTTTTTACAAGAGCCAGAATGTGCAGGCAGGCCAGTTTTCATGTGCATGGGCATGTTTCCGGAGGCTATAACAACAGCAGCTCTGCAGGGAGGGCTCCCTAAACTGCAGGCACTGGGCTAATCCCTATGAGGCAGGCACTGGCATCATCCCCATCTTACAGACAAGACATCTGAGGCCCAGAAAGGTTAGGCCACTTGCCCCAAGTCACACAGAGAGCAAGTGGTGCAGCTGGGATTAGCTGGTTGCTTCAAATGAGAATAATGATGTCACGAAGTCCTTATGAGGCTGGAATGAGATCCTGCCTGACACATGCAATTCATCCATCAATCTGCCCAGACACTGATCAAGTGCCAGGCACATCTAGGCACCAGGGGTTCAGCAGTAAAACCAATGGATTACATCCCATCCTTAATGGGGATGTATATTCTAGTGATGGGGGACAGACAGACAATAAACAAGCAAATTAATAATACCTGTGAATTTTTCATAAAGGAAATAAAACAATAGGGATGAAATAGAAAGCTCTGGAGGTGAAGGGACAGGACGTGAGAGAAAGTCTCTCTGAGGAGGTGTCAATATGAGCAGAGGCCCGAGTGAGAGCAGGAGGCAGCCCTGGGGTGATCAGCGGGGGAGAACACCGATCTGATTCACCTTTACGAAAAGTCCATCTGACTGCTGTGCGGAGAGAGGCCTCTGGGGAGGTAAGCATGGAAGCAGAGGGACCCATGAAGTTCTTGAAGGCTCAGGTAGGATATGGCATTGTTGGACTAGGGTGATGGTAGAAGAAGCAGACAAAGATGAATAGATTTGGGTTATGTTTAAGAGGTAGAATGGATAGATCTTCCTGATGGAGTGGATGTTAGAGGTGAGAGAAAGGATGAGACTTGGATGATTTCTAGGTTTTTGGCCTGAGCAAGCAGGTGGATGGTTGTGACATTTACTGAAATTGAGAAAATATGGGGAGAAAAAACTATACTCAAACGTAAAAGAAGTCCACAAGTAGGCATCCAGGGCTTTTCTAGAGGCTCCACATCATCACCAGAAACTTGGGCAACTTCCAGCTCTTGGTTCCACCATCCCCTGCCCTTGTCCTCATGGTCCAGTATCGCTGCCAGAACTCCAGGCATCACATCCTAGTTCTGGGCTATGTAAAGGTAACGTGGTGGAAAATGGACTTGTCCCCTTTCTTTAGGAAGTCCTTCCCAAATTACCACATGACACTTTTCCTTATATCCAATTGGACAAAACTTTATCACATGGCCTCACTTCGCTGCAAGGGAGTCTGGGAAGTGTCTCTGCTGCATACAGGGCTACCATAAAATGCAATCAGGGTTCTTTTACTAAGGAGAAAAGGAAGGATGGATACTGGGTAGGAAGCCAGCTAATTCTGCCTCCATCCTCCAGAATTCATCTTTTGTACCCCTCAGCCCTCAAAACAGGTTACCTATCCCTCTTACAGAGAATATAAAAGTTTTAATGGAATATTACAGTGATTTGTGACTACTTCCTCACAAATCTTGGAGACCTTCCAGGGCAGAGTCCTCATGTTACTCATCTCTGAGCACCCAGCCCCTGAACACCCACCCACTGCTCGGGAAATACTTGAATGAATGAGGTAGAATGTATGAAATGAAGCAATAGTTATCTAGCATCTAAAGGTAAATAACCAGATCTGATCATGGCACTTTCCTGCCTCAAAACCTCCACTGGCCTTCAGGATTAAAAGCTCATCTCCTAGCTTGGTATCTGAGGTCCCTTCACTAGTGCATCTCACAACTGCTTACCAAGGCAGGACACTTGCCACCTGGCCAGCCAGGAGTGGGTGTGGATGCGGGATATGGAATCAGAGAAAACTGGATGCAGATCCTGACTCTGTTGCTCACAGGCTGTGACCTTGGGCCAGTCATTTCCTCCCTCTGGACCAATTTTTTCATCTGTCAAATGGGAATTGGGAAGAAACTGGGGATTGATAATTGTGCCTTCCTTAATTCAAGTATCATGCTGATTAAGTGGTAATTATATAGGTAATACCCTTAGCACAAAGCCTGGCATGGCAAGTGCCTAGTGAACAGGTAGCTGTTGTGGTTACTGTTACTTTGAAGATGACTGTGATGAAAATGATGGTGATGCCGCTGCTTGGCTTTGATCTTCACTCTCGGCTGTTTCCTCTGCTGGACACAACCCCTTACTAATCCCCTACCTTGCTCCTTTGATCGATTAATCAGGGTAGGTTCACTGCTGTAACAACAGCCCTGAAATCTCAACGGCTTAACAGAAAGGTGCATTTCTCACTCATATCACAGACCTGTGCAGGCAGGTCACAGGGCAGGCAGTCAGGATCCTGGCTCCTTCCAGCTTGTGACCTGTCCTCCTTGAAGGTCCTTGGAGTTCTCTCTATTTAGCCAGCAAGAAGGACTGTGAGCGAGATGAGCCAGGCTGGAAGATGTGTTTCTCTCTTCCATCTATATCCCATTAGCCAGAAATCAGTCACATGGCCCCACCTAAGAACAAGAAATCCTAGGATATGTAGCCTAATTGTGTATTGTATCAGTTAGCTTTAGCAGTATAACAGATACTCCAAAACTTTCTGGCTTTAAGCAAAGATCACATTATTAGCTCATGGCTCAAGGGGTCAGCAGTTTGGACTGGATCAGTTAGGCAGTTCTTCCCTTGGTCTCAACTGGCTTCACTTGTGTGGCTGCAGTCACCTGGTTGTGTAGCTGGGGCTGGATGGTCACATGGCTGGGAGTTGGTGCTGGCTGTTGGCTGAGCTTCTTTCTCCATGTGGTCCCTCATCCTCCAGGAAGCTAATCCAGGCATCTTCACCTGAGAGTCTGAGGGCATAAGTGGAAGCTATAAGGTCTCTTAAGGCCTAAGCTCCAAAACTCATACAGTGTCACTTCTAGCAAATTCTGTTGGTCAAGGCAAGTCACAGGGCCTGCCCAGATTCTTAGGGTCAGAGTGCATCCTTAACGGGAGGGGCAGCAAAGTCAACTTACAAGTGGTACATACAAGGATGAGAATACTGTGGCCATCTTGCAGACAAGCTACATGTATCCAGGTGCGAATGATGGGGTTTGGTGAACACATAGCAGTTTCCCACACCTGGTGAATTCCTGGTCACTCTTTAAACCCTGGATCCAATGGAGCTTTCTTCCTGAACCTTCTCTGGTCACCCATCTCCCTAGGCAGTCTTAGTCTCCCCTTCCTCTGGGCCCCCAGTATGCCCTATGCCACCTGGATAAAGCACATGCCCCTTGATCTTGGCTGCAACTTCTCTAGAGCGGGGAGCAGGTTTCCTCATCACCCCGACTCCAGCACTCAGGAAATGTTTGGGTCTAATGAACTAATGGAGAGTGGGAGGGATTGAAGGTTTGGATGGGAGAGGAACAGAGGAAGAGAGAAAAGACTGAATTTCAGCCCTCAATGAGACTCCTATCCTGCCTATCTTCTGGTCCAGGGGCAGGACAGGAAGTACAGACAGAGAATGTGACAGTGGCTGAGGGTGGGGTGGCCGAGATAACCTGCCGTCTGCACCAGTATGATGGGTCCATAGTTGTCATTCAGAACCCAGCCCGGCAGACCCTCTTCTTCAATGGCACCCGAGGTGAGTGCTGGGGTCTGCAACCCTAAGTCTTGAGGAAGAGGGCTGGAGCCTGACTTCTATCCTGAAAGAGGACAGAGCGGAGCCTGCATTCCTGGGTCTGGGGAAGGAAGGGGTTGGGGGTCTGGACTCATGGTCCTTTGGGTGGGAGGGCCTGAACCATTTTGAGTCCCCAAGGGAGGAACTAAGCGGGCACGTTAGATACATAGGTGTGGCTAGAATCAGAGGCAGAGGGCTGGACCCTAAGCTCCTGGAGGAAAGGGTGGGACTCCTGAGGGCAGGATTCCCCAAGTTCACTCCTTGTGTCTCATTCTCCCTAGCCCTGAAGGACGATCGTTTCCAGCTCGAGGAGTTCTCCCCGCGCCGGGTGCGAATCCGGCTCTCAGATGCCCGCCTGGAGGACGAGGGGGGCTATTTCTGCCAGCTCTACACGGAAGATACCCACCACCAGATTGCCACGCTCACTGTACTGGGTAACCGCCTCCCCCTCCTCATACCCAACACTTCTGCTTATCTCTTGTCTTGAGCTCTGCCCCTGGCTGTTTTTAACCTCCTGGATCTCTAGCCCCAATAAATACAGCTGGTCTTCCCGACCTCCCGCCTCTGTGTTTGACCCCTGCCACCTGGGACCCTTGTTTCCTTTGGTCCATGCGGTCCCGCAGCCTGGTTACTTTTAGCCTATCTGGGTGCCTGTCCTGACTGCCCCGCTTACGCCCTTCTCCCTGAGGCAGTGGCCCCGGAGAATCCCGTGGTGGAGGTCCGGGAGCAGGCGGTGGAGGGCGGCGAAGTGGAGGTCAGCTGCTTAGTTCCGCGGTCCCGCCCGGCTGCCACCCTGCGATGGTACCGGGACCGCAAAGAGCTGAAAGGTACTCCGAACACCTGGGGTGCGGGAGGTGCTGGCGAAGGGCAGGACCTGAGGGGAGGCGGGGCTTAGGGAACGGAGGGACATGCAGGCGGGTCTTGGAGAAGAGCTCACAGACACGGGCCGCTCAACATGCAGCTATTGAGTGAATAGACAGATGGGAGGGCTTGAGAGTGAAAGAGGGAGGAGCTTTGGGGTGAGGCCCGTGAGTTCGAGGGCTGGTTTGGGGGAACAGGAAATGAGGCCTGTAAGGTGGAGCTTGGCAAGTGGCCGCTTTGGGGTCGGCTGGGGGACTCCCTCGGGCGCGGATCCGGAATCCGGGCCTGACATTGTCGGGGGCGGGGCAGGAGTGAGCAGCGGCCAAGAAAATGGCAAAGTCTGGAGCGTGGCAAGCACAGTGCGGTTTCGTGTGGACCGCAAGGACGACGGTGGTATCGTCATCTGCGAGGCGCAGAATCAGGCGCTACCTTCTGGACACAGCAAGCAGACGCAGTACGTGCTGGACGTGCAGTGTAAGTGCCCGGCCCCCGGGGACGGATTGAAGGGGAGGGAAGGTCCCAGATCCGCAGCCCACCCCGGGAGGGTTCCTAGCCCCGCACGATCACCCGACAACCACTCTCTCATATCACTTCTGCCACAGACTCCCCCACGGCCAGGATCCATGCCTCCCAAGCTGTGGTGCGGGAGGGAGACACGTTGGTGCTGACCTGTGCGGTAACAGGGAACCCCAGGTGAGCTCTGGGGCCCGAGACTGCTGGGTCTTGAGAAGAGGATGGGGACCTGGACACCTGTGGCTCAAGAAAGAGGGGATGGGGCTAACAGAGGGTGCTGGGGCCCGGACTTCTGAATCCTGAGGGAGGAGGAGTCGGGTCTCGGGGCTTGGGCTTCTACAGCTTGAGGAAGGTTGTGGGGCCCCGAACGCCTGGATTCTGAGGGCAGAAGTGGGCAGGAGATGGAGGGAAAGCCAGGATTCCAGAGACCCTGGTGATGGGTGAAAACCAGCCCCGAGACTGTTGGTCTTCTAGGAAGGAAATGGTTAGTAGGGGCCTCTTACTGGGAAATACTGCATATTTAGATTCCTGAGAAGTCACAATTGGGTTCTGGCGTCGTCTCTAACTCTCAGTATACTTCACTCCTGCCCAGGCCAAACCAGATCCGCTGGAACCGGGGGAATGAATCTTTGCTAGAGCGGGCCGAGGCGGTCGGGGAGACGCTTACACTGCCGGGCCTGGTCTCCGCGGATAATGGCACCTACACTTGCGAGGCGTCGAACAAGCACGGCCACGCGAGGGCGCTCTATGTGCTCGTGGTCTACGGTGAGAGCAGGCTGCTGCAGTCCTGGGGGCGGAGCTCAGGGCAGGGGCGGGGCCTTAGGAATGGACGGACTGGATTGGAATGGACCAGGTGTTGTGCTGTTTGAGGGCGGGGCCTGGGCATAATTCCGGGGATTCAACCACTTGCAGAGTTCTTAACGGTTCTGGAGCCAGGCTGACGATCTGGGTTCAAGTTCGGCTCTGCAGCGTCCTATTCCGGGTAACTTTGAGCCTTACTTTCCTCATCGTTAAAGTGGAAATAAACAATAACACTTCATAGGGTTGTTGTGAAGATTATGTGAGTTAAATACATAAAGTGGGTTGAACGGTCCCTAGCGCAAAGTAAGTGTTAAGTGTTTAGCTCTTATGACAGTGGGACAGGAATTTTGGACGTTGCTGAGCCCCAGCTCAGCATTTTAAATACTTGGAGCGTTTTAGACACATGGGAAGGGAACTGGACCTGAGGTTCCGTGGAGAAAGAAAACAGAGTCCAAAGAAAAGGAATGTGCTGTTTCTGTTCGCTGGGAGTTGGAGGGAGGAGGCAGGGTACGTATTGGCAACATGACTCAGGGGCCGAGTGGGGCACTATACAAACCAACACGCGTTCCTTGTGGAAGTGGAGCCCTGAGAAGGGGCCATCAGGTGGCAGTAATTTGAGGGGCGTGGCAGGTAAAGGGGTGCAGTCAGAAGAGGTGTGCGAAATGGTTTCAGAGATTGGCATCCATGGGGCGGGCTGGGACCGTCCTCTGATGACCTGGTGCTGCACCTTGTCCCTCTGGCAGACCCTGGTGCGGTGGTAGAGGCTCAGACGTCGGTGCCCTACGCCATTGTGGGCGGCATCCTGGCGCTACTGGTATTTCTGATCATTTGTGTGCTGGTGGGCATGGTCTGGTGCTCAGTACGGCAGAAGGGTGAGTGGAGGCGGGGTTTGAATTCAACCTGGGGTGTGGTTTGGCTATGGGATTTGGAAAGGGGTGGGCACAGAATTTAGAGTTCTAAATCCAGGATTTGAAACCCAGCGGGACCTGAAACCAAAATTACAAAAAGCATGGGCCTTTTGGAGTCTAAAAGGGTATAAATGTTGAAGGTGAATTAAGGCCATGGTTTTGAAACAACTTAACTTCTTAATTGCGAGGTTCGGTGGGTGCAGAGTAAGGGGATACCACCAAGAGAACGGGTAACGGTTGATCCTTCCGTGAACTTTTGGAGTCTTCTAATTCTGCTTTTACCTTTCTCTGCCCCTCTTTTGCTGTTCCCTGGATTTGATTCCTTTCCTCTTCGTGTACATTCTGTTTCTCCCTCTTCGTCTGTATGTCTTGTCTGTCTCCCTCTTCCCACATATTTCTGTCCAACTCCTGGGTCCACATATATGTTGCCTCTGCCTCGGGGGGTCTGCCACCCCTCAGGCTCCTATCTGACCCACGAGGCCAGTGGGCTGGATGAGCAGGGAGAAGCAAGAGAAGCCTTTCTCAATGGCAGCGATGGTCACAAGAGGAAAGAAGAATTCTTCATCTGACCCCACCTGTACCCCAGGCCTGGGCCTGGGCCTGGGCTGGGGTCCACCCCACTGCCAGCTGCAAAGACATTTACCAGAGTCTGGGATGGTGGGCTTCTCCCCCCACCACTAACACCTCAGACACTTGGGCAGGGATGAGGGTGTTGGATGCCTGGGTCTCTGTAAGGGCCCAGAGGTCTGGGTCCCCTGGGAAGTGGGGGCCAAAAGTCCAGATCCCCCAAGTCCATGGAGGGCAGTAGGGATTGGGTTGGGGTAAGAAAACTGGGGGAAAGCCAGGGCCCCTAGGCTGCAAATCCAGGTCTTGTGGGGAGGGCATCAGATTCTGGGAAGGGTGGGGTGGGCAGGGAAGGGGAACAGATTTCTTTGGGGGTCCCAGACCCCATGCCAGCCATTGTAGGAGTTCCACAGAACTCTGGGCACCTCTTTGCAAAGCCATGTTTGCACGGTTGGGGGTATGGGTGGGGGGAGGGCAAGGAAACAGGGATTCTGTGTCTTTGTGTCATAATTTTGATGGGAGTGGTGAGGGAGATAGCCTCAACCCTTTTCTCCAGTCCCCAGGTTCCTGGGCTCCCTTTCCCTCCTCCCCCATCTACCCCACCCATATTTGTCTCTCTGTCTACCCACTCCTGGGGGGGCCTTCCCTATCTCTCCTCCAGGCCCCCCGGGGAGGGAAAAAGAAGTTGGGGAGGGTACATTGGTCTCTAAGGTTTTATATATAATATATTAAAAAAAAATTCAAAAATCTGTATGAAAATATCAGATTGTGCCCCCCTCCCCCTATTCCTGGCTTTTGCCCCCTTTTTCTTGTTAAAAAACAAAAAACAAAAAACACATTTTGTACGGGGCGGGGAGGGGATCAGGGAGGGGGTTTGGCAATCCCACTAACCACCATTAAACTGAGGAGAGAACAAGCGTTTGGGGTGTCTGTGTGTCTGTCCCTTTGCCCAGAGCTGCACCCTGTTGGGAGGTGAACTGAAGTAAGAAGGGAAGGGAGAGGAGTGTGATGGTAGCTGGTGGACAGTACAGACCAGCAAAGGGTCCTTATCTCTCCAGGAGTACCTGCATCTTTCCAAGAAGCCTGGATTTTTTTTCCTGGCCACTCCTTCAGCTAAAAGTCACAGAGTACTGTCTCTTCAATAGCCACTGAGATACCTCATCCCCAACAAAAGGCCTGGCCCTGTCCCTTGGCTAAACCCCACCCTTGACATTGGTCTCCAGCAGAGCTTTCAATTACATCCCGGCCTACCCCAAACCTTTCCCTAGTTCCCCATCACCTCTACATCAAGTCAAAGTGCCTGGCAATCCAGGCCCCTCATTCATTCACCTGAACTTCAGATGAGTGATTCTAATTTTAGATTCAAAAATATATTGACCTCTTATTTTGTGCCAGGTGCTGCTCAAAGGCCTGGAGATGCCATGGTGAATAAAATAGGCAAATGTTAAGTGTTCTAGACAGCTTAGCACTAATCAAAAGCTTGATCCTGTTCTAGGCACTGAGGACCCAAAGTGAAAAAGGGTGGCTTCTTTCTTACCTTCACTGAGCTTTATTGAGGAAGAGATTACAGCATGGAAGCAAAAAAACTTAATTTCAGATTGTCATAGGTACTATTAAGGTAAAATGCAGAGTAAAGGGATGTGGGGTACTATTTTCTTTTAACTTGTTATAGAACATTTCAAACTTACAGAAGTAAATGGACTAGGACAATGAAGGCCTTGCAGCCTTCACCCCAGCTTCAAGAATCATCAACTCACCACCCATCCAGCTTTATCACAGCTCTGCTCACTTCTCTAAAGCAAAACTGGAGGTGCTAATTTAGAAAGTTAAGGGAAAGCCTGTCAGATTGGCATCTGTGCCAAGATATGGATGGTGAGCACAACAGCAGCTATTTGAAGATCAGAGGGAATAGCATTTTCAGGCAAAGGGAACAGCAAGGGTAGAAGCCTGAGATGGTAAAGTGATGGAGGTGTTTGTTAGGAAGTGGAGCTAGACAGGAGTGGGTTAAGAGATGGGTGAAGTCAGATAAGCAGGGCCAGCCTGTGTATAGCTCCTGGGCCATGATAGAGTTTGGAGTTTTTATTAAGCATAATGGGATCTTGTTGGAGAGTTTTAAGATGGAATCTAAGTCACTTCCTGAAAGCCTAAAAAGCTCCAATAGCTTGCTAATTCTCAGCACAGTGTGAGCTCTTAAGGTCACCTGTAGAAAGCCTTTCCCCCTTCCAATTTTGTGTTCCAGGCAGCCTAAACTGCTTTCACTTATTCCATCAAAACACGTTGTTTTGTTTTTTGCCTCTAGGCCTTTACCTTAATTGTCTCCTCTGCCAGAAAGACTCTCATTCAAGTTGGCTTCTATTAATCCTTGGCATAAAGATCACAACATCCTGGAAAACCTTCCAGGCAGGGTGTAGGGCCTTCCTCTGGCTCCCACAGCTTCCTATGCTTCAGTCATCTCGAACCTGACCACTCTAGATTGTGGTCCTGATTATTCGTGGATCTCCCGCTTTGGGGTGCCATGAAGAGATGGGTGTCTGGTTCACTGTGGAAAACATAGTGCTCACTAACGCGGGGCCTGACACATAAGAAAGTAATAAGTATTATCCTGGCTGTGGAGACAGAGTTATGAGGGTTGGTAAAGGTCTTGGGCCTTGTGCCACTTCTCAAATTGAAAACTGACGCTCCCTAGAACAAGGTTACCCTTTTCGTGCAAATCCGCAGTCCCTGTGCGCATGCGCTTTGCTCGCGCGCGCCCCCGCCTCCCGGCATATACTAATCACGACGCTCAGAAATACGGTCCTTCGGGGAATATGCAAATCACTCCTCCAGGGCCGGAGGCCTCCCATTGTCCCGGGCTAATATTATGCAAATTAAGCAGGCCTTAGGTCCTAGATCCAGACCCTGCAGGCGTCACCCACCCCCAGCGCATCCCATTTCTTATAAGGCGTCTTCCAGCTCGCTCAAGCAGGCGCGAGCCCTGAAGTTCCATGTTTCTTTGGGATGCGGACTATACCAAGTAAACCCGGAGAGCGAGGGGCACATTCCGGAACCCCTTGCGCTGGCCTCGTCGACGGCCCGACCCGGATAGCCCCTCTTCCCAGTGGGCAACAGGAACGGTCCATCTCGGCGCGCAAGCGTCCTAGGATCTTCACGCCCCTTGCCCTCCCTCCTACCCCGCTTGCAGCGCAGGCGCAGAGCTCGGGCGTGCTGCTGCCGCCGCCGCCGAGCAGGAGCGGGCGGTCGTCAGCGCCGGTGAGTGTCCGGGAGAGATGTGCGCAGGGCATGCTGGGAAACGGGCGTTACGGCACCGCTGCATGACGGGAGTGATGGCTCCTGTTGCTGAGGAGCCAGCAGCGGTCTTGGGCCATGATGTCCTGAGGGCGAGACCCAGGCTCCCTTTCAACCCTCACGCGGCTCCGTGCCGCTCTAGGGCGTCCTGGGGAAACGGGACGCCCCGCCCTCAAACACCGTGGGGTCGGCTAGTCGCTATGGGCCTGGTGCATCCTGGGAAGGATTATCCTAGCTTCTTGTGGGGAACTGGTGCCTTTTGTCACACACCTTTCGCCGAACGTCTTGGAAGCTTGGAGTGCTTCGAGGCAGAGCACTTTGGAAGGTGATCTTTATAGGCCCGAGGCATCCTGGGAAGAATTGCCGCAGGGCATTTTGGGGACTGGTCTTTATTGTTCCTTATATATAAGGTTTTGCTTTGGCCTTCTTGCCCTAGCACTGTGGGAACGGGTGCCTATTATGTTCGCGCAGGGCATCCTGGGAGCTGGTAGTTATGGGCTCACGACACTGTGGGGTCTCGGGCACTGTGTTTGCCTTGTAATGAGGGAGTCACATTTTTGCCCCTTTAAGATTGTGGGAATCAGTTTGGCTGCCGTAGACATTGCAGGAATAGGACTTGTGCACTAAGGAATGCCTCCACCTGACACCTGGAATACTCTGGACGGGGCCACCATGTATGATAGGGGCTTGGGGAAGGGTGGGCTGGAGTTGTGAGCAGTGCCTCCTGGTAATCTCATGGGAAGTCCTGATTGTCTCTGGAATATGGTTACCAGTTAAAACACTGCATAGAAAGCGAGTTAAATTTGAATTTCAGAAAATAGTTTTTAGAAATACATCCCAAATACTGCACGGAACATACTCTATGTTATTTGTTGTTTATGTGAAATGTAAATTTAAATGGGCGTTATCTGCTTTTATTTACTAAATCTTTTGACCTTATCCAGGTATAAAGTGGAATTCCCAAAATAAATAGGGCCCTACAAGCAATAGGGTGTTATGAGAACTCTCCTCTGCCAATTATGAATCATCTCTGTCCCTAAAGCGTAGATTCAGGTGTCTTTGGAAAGCTTCCCTGCCACTGATGCCAGCCCTCCCATGCCCCAGCCTCTTCTAGGCTTCAAGCCTAATCTTACTCTTTTCAGTCACCAGCATTAAACTGACCTCCAGGTTTTGCAGTAGCTTGTGCTTTCCACCATTATATACCCATTGCCCATCACCAGCCTTGGCACATAAGAGGTGTAGCTGGGGCTTGCCCCAGCCCCTTCATTAACTCGGTCTGCCTGGCTCTCTGCTACCATGGTGTGCAATGAGTGACAAAAGTACTCGGTGTGTGTGTGTAGGGAGGTAATAGTGAAGAGGGAGAGAAAGTACAGAGGTTCTTGTGTTTGAGGTGGGCTTTAGAGGGTGAGTAGGAGTTCTCTAGGCAAACAAGGGGAAAGGAAGACATTCTAGACAGCAATAGTAGGATTTGCTAAAACCCAGAAATATGAAAAGTTGTGGCATGCACAAGGAGAGGTGAAAAGTCTGGAATGGTTTTATAGATGGTTGGAGGTGGCAGTAGTAGCAGCCACTGTTAATGGATTACCTGCTACATACCAACAATTTATATAAATAAGCCTACCGAATCTTCAAAAAATCTTCTCAGCCTAGGGATCATGTTACGAGGGGTAAGATGACGTGGTTTCAAATCCTAGTTCACCCACCTCAACATGATTATGAGGAGTACGAGAGTTAAGCCCTGGAAGCCCTTTTTTTACTGAAAAGGAAACGGGCTAGAGAGTTAGTTATACAGTTAGATTTAGGGTATAAATCTAATTTAAGATCTAATCTGTTGCTGAAGTAGGATTCCATCTAAATGGATACACATCATCTTGCCAAGGTGTAAATTGATATAGAATAGGACTGACATTGACCAATTCGTGCAGCCATACAACTTGTTCAAATACCAAAATACTTCTAGACTGGCTACTATAGCACTGCTCCACCAAGTAATCCCTACCCCCAACTGCCAACTTGGACCCTCCCCCCAACACAGGCTTTGTCCCACAGTCCAGCAACTAAAGAGTTATTGCCTGATACAGGACCAAGTTCCACTCTCAGTTCTGATTGGTGCCCATGTTACTACCTGCTATTAAACATTTGGAATGTTACCATTCCCCACCCCACTGATTAAGAACCACAGAAAGCTTTGTTGCCCACATGGGAAAATTAAGGCCTATGGAAGGTGCAGCGCCTGCAGCCAAGGCCCTGTAGGCAGTCAGGAACAGAGCTGGGACCATCTTCACCTTGCCCCCAGCACTGAGCCCATAGTTGGGTCTAGGAAGGCAGATGCTTTGTAAAAATTTATTAAGTCATCACAGGCCTTTCCTTCCCCTGTACAGCATTCCTCTCTACCTGCTGACATCTACATTAGAGAACTTGGGACTGAGGTGTGGTTGTGGAGAGCTGGCCAGGGAGGGACGCTGCCCAGCTGCTGCTCTGTTCCTGTCTCCTGTCACCTCCCCTGGCCATGACAGAGACCCGTGAGCCAGCTGAGACTGGGGGCTATGCCAGCTTGGAAGAAGATGATGAGGACCTCTCTCCAGGTGAGGCGGCCTTAGGGGTGCTGGTGTTGGCTTGAATATAATCCTGCTGTGGGATTGGGACTCCACTGAAAAATTTTGAGGGGGAATCGTTACTTGTCTTGCTGGGTGTTCTTTTCTGACTTGGACTCTGTGCCCTGCTAGTGGATCCCTTCCAGCTGAGACTTCCAGGGGTTGTAGATTGGCTGGGATTGCTCTCCTTGCCTGGGGTTCTAAATTGACTGTGCTCCCTGTCCTTCTGGGAAGTTCTAGATTGGCTCTGAGCTCTCTCCTTGCTGGGGCTCCTAGATTGGCTGTAATCTCTCTTGCTGGAGATTTTAGATTGGTCGCTACATCTCTCTCTTCTGGGGGTGCTAGATTGGCTGTGATGTCTTTCCTTGCTCGAGGTTCTAGATTGGCTGTGGTGTCTCTCCTCTCTGTGGATTCTAGATCAGCTATGATCTCTCTCTTCTGGGCGTTTTAGATCGACTGGGACCTTTTTCCTGGCTGGAGCTTCTAGATTGGCTGTGGTGTCTCTGCTTTTGGGAGTTTCTAAATTGGCTGTGATCTCTCTCCTTTCTAAGGGTTCTAGATCTGTGATCTCTTTCCTTGCTGGATACCATCTCTCTCCTTAATGGGGACCTTAGATCCTCTATGATCTCTCTCCTCGCTGGAGGTTCCAGAATGGATGTAGTTTCTCTTCTTGCTGGGAGTTCTAGATCGTCTGTGGCCTCTCTCCTTGCTGGGGATTCTAGATTGTCTGCGACCTCTCCCCTTGCTGGGGATCCTAGATTGTCTGTGATCTCTTCCCTTGCTGGGGCTTCTAGACTGGCTGTCACTTCTTTTCCTCCTGTGGGTTCTAGATTGGTTATAACTTTTCCCCTTGCTGCAGCTTCTAGACGGGCTATGTCTTCTCATCTTACTGGGAGCACAGAGATGGGTCAGACCCAGATCCTGCCTTACTGGGAGTTTCCCTCTGGGTACCACCTCTTGCCATACTATGATTTCTCTTCCAACTGTGACTTCTTACCCTGCTCTGGGCCCTCTTCCAACTGTGACTTCTTGCTCTTCTGAGTGTTCTAGACCGGCTGTGACTTCAGGTCCTGCTGGAGGTGATAGACCAGCTGAAATTTTGGGTCCTGCTAGGTGCACTATCCTGGGTGTAACTCTTGACCTTGCTGGACATTTCAGGTGGGCTGAAACTCTGTTCCCTGCTGGGGGTGATCATCTGACTATAACTCTTCACTCTCCTCAGTGATGATGGAGATCGGCTGTAACCTGTCTCCTTGAAGGGAGTCCTAGTGGGGCTGTATCTCTTTGCCCTACTGGGGTTACAGCCAGCTCAGAACTCTTCTCCATACTTGAGGCTCCTGGTGAGCTGTAACTCTTCTCTCTGCTCATCTCTCTAGGCCGGCTCTCACTCTTTCCTGGTTGGTGGTTCTAGGCTGGCTGTGACTCTTGCCCCGACTCTGTTTTTGCTGGGAAGTCGGAGTTCTCACCCTGCCGGCCATGCCTGGTCTGGTGCCGTGAGTTCTCATCCTGCTGCTAGTGCTGGCCCTGCTGGGTGACCTTTGGGAGCCATGGCTTCCCTTTCCACCAGAAGTTCTACCCCGGCTGTGTGTTCCCCTTGGCCGGTGGTGTTTCACCACACTCACTGTGCTGGTCCTGGTGTCCGTGCAGGCCTTGCTGGAGGTGCCTGTCCGGCTGTGGACTCGGGACTTGTTGCTGGGCTGGTTAAAAGGAGCTATCTTTGGTAGACTTGGAGCTACTTGGGCTCATGACTGATTGGGGGGCTGTCGATTGCTTGGTGGGTGCTGAAGAGCTGATGGGCATTGCCGACTTGGTGGTCTTCATGGAGGCAGGAGACTTGGAAGACATTGTGGGCATTGAGAGTCCAGTGGATGCCAGAGACATACTGGACTTTGAGGGTCTCAGAGGTGGAGAAGGCATGGTGGGCACCAAAGGGCTTTTGATCCTGGAAGTCACAGTGGCTGTGAAAGACCTGGTAGCCGTAGATAGGGACCTGATAGCCTTTCACAGGGCAACTGCGTGAAGGCATAGTGGACATTGAAGACGCTGGAGGGTAGGTGGTATGAAGTTAGAAGTGGGAAGAGAAAGGGGCGGGGCCCCAGCCCTAGATCAGAGGTGCTTCGTCTGTGTTTTGCTGATGTGCCCCAAATGGTCTGAGGCTGACTTATGGTCAGCATTGCTGGGAGCACAGAGATGGGTGAGACCCAGATCCTGCTTTCCAGGAGTCTCTAGACCCAGGCTGTCACTGCCTAGATAGTCAGGATGTGTTATGGAGGTCCAGGGGAGCCCAGAGGAGAGAGACACTGACCACTGGGCAGTCAGGGAGGGCGTCACGGAAGAGGTGCCATGTGAGCTGGGGCCTTACAGAGGAGCGGGAGTTTGCTAGTAGAGAAGGAAAAGGTCACTCCATGTGGAGAAGAGCACAAAGGCCAAGGCCCAGAGGAGTGAGATCAGGGCCTTGGGGCCTCCCTTGTTCATTCGACCCACATGTCCTGTGCTGGGCAGCTCTCAGACCCAAGATGAGTCAGACCTGCCCTTGAGGGGTTCCTGGTCTGCTGGGGGAGACATGCTGGGGCCCAGACGGCAACAGCCTCTAGGACAGTGGGAGGGGAGATGCCGGGCCAGGGGGAGCCAGGGTGGAGGGAGCTGAGAGAGACCTCTGGGGGCATCAGGGGTGAATTCCTAGAGGTCAGAGCCTTTGCTGGGTCCTGAAGGATGAGTTAGGAGGTCACCCAGCAAACAGAGTGGGGAACTGGGTTCTAGGCAGAGGGACATTCAGTAAACATATATAACCTATTCTTCGAAGCTGGGTGATGTCAGGGACCCAGTGACGAGTCAGACCAGCACCCCTCCCCCATCCCCCTTTCTCAGTCTGGTGGGGAAAGAACTTTGGATGGGCACATCCCTGAAGGCTTGGGGGTAGAACAGCCAGAGGGGAAAAGAAAGTGACTGGCTGCCTGGGATGGGCCTACCCAGGAGGGACCTATTGGGTCCTAAAGGATGATGGGAAAAGCTAGGGCGAGATGTTCCCAGCAGAGGGAACAGCATGTGTGAAAACCTCAGAAGTTTGTCGAGTTGAATGCCAGGCATAAAGTGTTTGAGATGCTAGGGACACAGCAGTGAACCAGGTGAAGTCCCTGCTTTCAGGGACAGGCACTAAATATATGAATAGATGTTGTGTAGAATAAATCGAGGAGAAAAACACATCAGAGTTGGGGCATAGTGAGTGCTGTGGAAGGACTGCTGGTTAGACAGAGTGACCAGGGGTATCACTGTGAAGGTGACAGAGTGGAGGGAGCAAGCCTTAGCCCAGCTGAAGAAAGGGTAGCAAAGGCCCTGAGGCAGGCACATGCCTGGGCTGTTAAGGGACAGTGAGGAGCCCAGTGTGGCTGGCTCTGTTTACATGATCCCTCTGGGCTGCTGGAGTAAATGGAAGCCGGGGCCTGGACAGGCACGGGACAAGGCTGTGTAGGCCTAGGACATGCTCTTGGCAGGCTGCTACCACTGCGCCTGAAGTATTTCCCACACCACTGCTGTTGCCCTGGCTGACCGGTGCTCAAGTGCACAACCCAGTAACCACCACTGATGTCCCTTTTTCCTGTAGGTCAGCCTCAAACTCTTCTTTTAACCTAAACTTGTCCTAGGCATGTCCTTCAGACCCTGTATCTCACCTGAGGGGGGTTGCCCCCAGGCAGGTTCACTCTGTGTTTGGTGAGTAACAACAGCAGAACGGTTAGGGGCAAAAGGGTTTATACCAAGCTTTATTCTCTTGGTGGCAGTTTGAGCTCTGGAATCACATCTGCCCTTGGGGCAGTCTGCCTGCAGCAAGCCCATCACCATCTCTGTCTCCAGGCTTCCCTGCTGCCTGGCAGCCCCAGAGCACTTGGGTGGAGCTCTTTATATAGAGTCAGTAATAGCTCACTGCCAACACGAGAGCAAGCCTGCGCCTGAAAGCGTTGCACATGTGCAGTGGGCACGCAGACCAGGGTCAGGTGAGGATCCTGGCCACAGGAACTTCATTTTCCCTACACCCTGAAATCACAGTAATATACCTATACTTACAAGTAAATATTTTAGTTCACTTAACTTGGTATATATATAACCATGTATATCAAAGTACATATATGTGTATATATTTTAATTGGCTTAAATACAAATTTGCTTCACATGTTCTAATGTTCAAATGTTTGTCTGCCTCCCTGAAATGATCCAGTATAGGCAGGCCATCAGCCCTGTTTAGCTTTCCCATAAAGCTGTGTGACTGGACGTAAGGGAGTTGCCTAACCATTCTGTGCTTCAGTTTCCACATTTGTCACCGAGGGTTAATAATAATACCTCCTTCGAAGGGTTGAAAGGATTAGGTGAGAGCGTAGAAGAACAGGGTTCTTAAAATAGCAACAGAAACTGCTATTTTTTAAATTATTCCTACTTCTTCTCCTGCTTTGTCCTTATTAAACCCCTAGGATGCAGTTCTTGCAAGATATTCATGTGCTTGACACAGATATACCGAACAGCTGCTGTGTGCCAGGCCCTCCTCTATGTGATGGGGAGTCATTTGTGGGGAAGGGCAGGGTTGTACCCAGGATACCCTTTCCACACTGACGTGAGTCTGAATGGGGCTCTGGGAGGGGGCAGCCCGGCATGGCCCTCCCCCCTGACCCCGCCGTCTTTCCCCATCCGCCCCGCTTCAGGCCCCGAGCATTCCTCTGACTCCGAATACACTCTCTCAGAACCGGACTCAGAAGAGGAGGAGGAGGAGGAGGAGGAGGAGGAGGAGGCCACAGATGATCCTGAATATGACCCTGGCTACAAGGTGAAGCAGCGCCTGGGGGGGGGCCGGGGGGGCCCATCGCGCCGGGCCCCCCGCGCAGCCCAGCCCCCGGGCCCCCCAGCCCAGCCCTGCCAGCTCTGTGGCCGCTCACCCCTCGGGGAGGCCCCACCAAGCACCCCACCCTGCCGGCTCTGCGGCCCCGCCACAGCCCCCCAGGAAGCGCCAGTGCCTGAAGGCAGGGCCCTCGGGGAGGAAGAGGAGGAGCCGCCTCGGGCTGGGGAGGGCCCAGCAGCTGGGAGGGGAGGGGAGGAGGACGAGGACGAGGGCGGCACCTACCACTGTACAGAATGCGAGGATTCCTTCGACAACCTTGGCGAGCTGCATGGGCACTTCATGCTGCATGCCCGGGGGGAGGTGTAGGCGGAGCCCGCCCCCCTGGGGAGCTTGGCGATGGGGTGGGAGGTGGGGGCCGAGGAAGCTGGGGCGGCTGCAGTAGTCACGGGGCATGGGGTTCCGCCGATCTGTGTTGTCTTAGCAGTAGATGTGTGAAGGCCAGAATAAAAGCTGATTTCTGTGTGTGTCGGTCCAGCATGTGTTTGGTGTTTGTGTGTGTGTACGTGTGTAGTGTGCTTGAGTGTGAGGCATGTGCGTGCCTGGGCATTCATCTCCCCATTTCACTGGGCTCCTCGGGGAAACCGTGGGATTGCTGTTGCCAAGGTAATTAATGTTTACTAAGTGCTTATGTTCAGGGTGCTTTACATGTATTAACTCTTGGACCCATTTTGTACAGGCTCAAACACAAAAGAGTGGTGTCGCTCAGTCATGTAATTCCAGGGTGGGTGTTATGGGCTGGCAAGCAACCCTTCACCATTCCTCAGTGTAGGGACCCAGGCCATCCCTTCAGCCTGTGGTTGTCCACATGATCACGGCTGGGTGGCCATGGCCTGGGTCCTGCCAATGGAAGAGGAAAGAGAGCTAGAGAGAATGAGTGTTCTCTTACGAGCCCTGCCCAGAAGTGGCACAGACTGCTTCCATTTATGTTCCGTTGCTGGGAATTTAGTGACATGGCCACCGCTCACTGCAAGGGAGTCTGGGAAAGGTGGTCGAGCCAAGTGCCCAGAAAGCAGAAAATGGTTTGTGGAGGACAGCTAGTGCTCTTTGCCACTTCGTCTAAGAACCTTCATGAAGAGGACTTCTGTTGTATTCATAGCTATGCCTCCTGACTGCTTGCTGGGTGCCAAATGCTGGTTCGGGAGCTTTATATATGTATTGACTCATGGGAGTTATGCATCTAGGAATTTACAGAAATAGAACCTGAATGATAATCACAGCTGCCATTCCCCAGCACTTGCAGAGCGCTGCATTTCATTTGCGTGAGATCATCAGGGCCTTAGCATGACTCTGTGAGGTAGGGACTGCGATCCAGTGATTCATTCAAGAAATATCTTGAGCATCTGCTGTGTGCTAAGCATTGGGAATGAAGTAAAATCCTTGTCCTCATGGAGCTTACATGGGGCGGGCAGGGGCCACTGGTGGGGACAAACACAGAAAATAAAGTACGAAGTAGCATATGCTGGATGGTGGTAAATGCTGTGGAGAAAAATAAAGCAGAGAGGGGTGAACAGTTCAGGAAAGGGTTGCCATTGTAAGTAGGGCAGCCCTCCCTGAGGAGGTGACAGAGACCTAAGCGGACACCTAAAGGAAGGAGGGACCAGGGGGCCAAGCACCTGGGTGGGAGGAGGAAGGGGTCCATGGGTGTCAGGGAAGCCAGAGTGGCCAGATCAAGTGAGGGATGGGTGAAGACAGGAGCAAAGGGCCAGCTCATTACAGCCATGTTGGAAACTGGCTCTTGTGCTGAGATGGGAAGTACTAATTCACAGAAGTTTGGCACTGAAGCTCCTTTGAAAATAGAAGCCTAATTGTAATGATAGCTACCATTTACTGAGCATTTACTGTGTGCCAAGCCCTGTTCTAAGGCGCTTTACGTGTGTTAACTCATAGAAGCTTGGCAACTAAGAACCTTCAAGAATAGAACCTGAATTACCATAATGGCCATCATTAAGTCAGCGCTCACAGAGGACCAGGCCCTGGGCTAAGCGCTTTATATGGACAATCACATCGGATCCTTATGAGGTAGGGACTGTTATTTATTTACTTATTCATTCAACCCTGGTTTATTGAGCACCTGTGAGATGGAGGCACTATTCTGGGGGTGGGGAAATGAGCAGTGAAAGGGATGAACAAAACTCCCTGCCTTTGTGGAGTTATAGTGGGAGAGACAGGTACGTAGATATTTAAGTAAAATGTATAAAATGTATACATGTTCAAAGGGAGTAAGTGCTGGGGAGGAAAGGGAAGGGAGCAGGGAGGCTTGTGTGTGTGAAGCAGTTTCAAATAGACTAGTCAGGAGGCTTTCCCGAGAGGGGGACTTCAGAGCAGAGACCTGGAGGGCCAGAAGGCCTGAGGCTCTGGGCCGTCTCTGGGAAGAGTAAGTCACTAGTGTGTTCTGGACAAGCACGCCAGCCACGAGGCTACTGGTGAGGACGCAGGGGGCAGACTGGTGGGAGGGCCAGGTCAGGGGGGCGGAAGGCTGGGCTGTGTACACCTTCGTACCGACTTGGGCTTTCTCTCTGAGTCAGTCTGGGTGATCAGGCGTTAGAGGCGTAGGGGCTATTATCATGACCACTTTACAGGTGCTATGACTGGCACACAGAGAAGCTGAGTTAACCATTAGAGTGCACACAGCTAGTAAGAAGCTCAGGTTTGATTCCATACAACTGAATGCAGGGCACACACTCTTAGCCACTAAACCGCACACCAGAAATTGGCACACAGCCGCCGTCTAACTTGTAAGTTGGGCTCCACAGAGTTATTCAGGTTTTTAATCATATTGGTTACCAACATTTCGAAATGGGCAGATTTCTTGTAAAAATGGAGGTTTCTGGCTTCTCTTGAAAGCTTATGAGACTGAACCCACAATCCCATGGGGCAGTAATGTGCTGGAGCTGAATGGGGGTCACCTTCTGTTAATGGTGCATTCCTAGTCCCCATCTGGCATCTAGACCCCTCATACCTTGCTGATTTATGGTACCTGCTTGGCCCCAAAGAGCATGTGCATTTTGACACTTGTTACGGGATCTTAGACCAAAACATCTTTTAAAATCCATATTTTTCATCCTAGAAGCTCAGAACCTGACATTTAAACATTCTTTGAACTGAGACTTTCATAACCGCTATAGCTTAGCATCACTGAATCTCAGAATCATCAGAGCAGAAATTCACAGCTATTAACACAGATGGACTTCATTTCCTGGGCAGCACACCTAAGCCCTCTTTTGCCCTGAGACAGGGCTTTGTAGGCACGGATGTAGAGAATTATCCATTGTCAGCGAGAATTCCTAAGGATCACAAGAGACCTGGTCTGCTGCCTGCGGAGTCATTCAGATCCTCAGTACCCAGGCAGGATAAGAAAACTAAGCTAGGAATTCAACAGAGAGGATTTAATGTGGCATCAGTTACACAGGTGTTAGAAGGCTAAACTCGCAGGTATGGAAAAGTGAGGTAACTGAGAAATTAGTGTCATCAAGAAGCTCCTACCTCTAGGACTGGGATACAGAAAGAGAAGTGAGATCCCCAGAGCCCAATAGGAGCTTGGCGGGCAGGCCACATGTGGCTGGTGCAGGGACCAGTGACTGGGTGCCCCACGCTGGTTTAAGCAACCTCTGGAGGGGCACAGTGCCTTGTGCTGAGAGTCTAGAAAGGTAGTGGAGCCAGAGCTGCTGCTGGAGGGCTTCCAGCAGGATCCCGCAGCAAAGGGAGACCCTTCCCTTCTCTTCCTACCTTCTTTCTGCCCAGAGCTGTTACGGGAAGAGCTTACAGCCAGCTGTCCAAGGAGTCTGGGAAATGTAGTTGCAGAAAGCCCGGCATCACAGAGCAGTGTGGAAGGGCGGGCTGGAGGCAGGAAACACCAGGTCAACAACAGGCACAGGCAGCAAGGAGTGGTAAGCGCAGTCCTGGGTGCTGAGGATGAGGCCGTATGGGAGACAACACTTGCCCCCAGGACCTTGGGTTCCAGCATAAGGATATGGATAGTGACATAAAAGTGTGACGATTCCAGATGCTGAAGAGTGCTAGGAAAAAATAACTCGGGGTGAGGGTTGGAGGTGCTACTTTAGTCAAGCAGGGCGAGGAAGACCTCTCTGAAGAGGTAGCATGTGTTGAGAGCTGAATAATGGGGAGGCTGCCTTGCAAAGTTCTGGGTAAGAGCACTCCAGGCAGAGGGAATAGCAAGTGCAAAGGCCCTCTGAGGCAGAAGCCAGCTAGCATGTGTGGCTGGGATGTAGTGAAGAAAGCAAGGGCATGGAGGGAGTTGAGATTGCTTAGTGGGCTGGGGTTCAGTCACTGTTGGGTTTTGGGGGCCTGAGTAAGGTTTTTGGATGTTATTTATGGGATGCCGTCAGAGGGTTTTTAATGAGGAGTGATGTAAGCTGATTTACATACAGTCTCTGTAGTAGAGACTAGAGGGGGGCAGTGATAGCAGTTAGGACTACAGGACTGGGTGAGAAGTCAGGCTCAGTAGTTTAGAAGCGGAGCGTGGCAGTTTCCTAATCTGATGGAGGCTATGGTGGAGGTGAGGGGCTGCAGGAGTCACACTGATCCATTTTAAGTTTGAGATTCCCATTCGTCATCCAAGTAGCTATATAGCTCATGGGGGGAAGTGTGGAGTTCGGGCTGAAGATAAAGATTTGGAAGTCACCGGTACCTATTTAAAGCCTTGGGAATCTGTGACATCTGGAGTGTAGAGAGAACAGGAAGCCAAGGGTGTACTTGGGCAGGCTGCTATCTTGGGAGAGCATGTGGGATTAGATCCTTAGTTTGGGATGGGGGAGCTGCTGTGGAGGTGGTGTGAAACATGTTGGTTGGAAAATTCTGTGCCTTGACCAGGTGCCAGAGGAAATACTAGGCTGCGGTGAAGTTGATACTTTGGAAAAAAGTGATGGCCAACTGGCTCCACCCCAGTTCCCCATAAGTCACCCAGCACCGAGATCCAGGCTAGCTAGCCCTGCCCCAGTTCATACACTCATGCATACACACACCTGCTAGAGGTAGTCTGGAGGTGGTATTTCCCAGGGCAGGCATCCCTGCTTCCAGGCTCAGAGTAGGTTGTATGTCAGTTACACGAGGAGTCAGCAAGCTTTTACTGCAAAGGGCCAGATGGTAACAATTTTTAGGCTTGGTGGGCCATATGGTCTCTGGTGCAACTACTCAGATCTGTTCTATGCCATTTATGTTGCTCTTATGGTCCAAGATGGCTGGATACCATGTCCATGTTCTTTCTGAGGTTTGAGGACTCTACCCAGGAATTGAGCAAGAACCCAGTCATATGGCCACACTGAGCCGCAAGAAGCTCTGGGAAGTACAGTCTTTGTAGCCACATATGCCTGACTACAAATTGGGAGACAGCTATCAGTCTCTACTACAGCTCATCGATTGGCTTTAAAAACATCCCTTGATTCAAACACAGTCTATGATTATTGTATTCATGGCATCAACCATTGTTATCTAGGGGCTGGGCAGGTAATGCAAGAAAGTAAAGCTGGGCTTTTCAAGAGCTGAAAATAGGATCTCAATGGGAAATCTCCCAGTGTTGGCCAAATACAAAAGGAAACAGAAGGTATCTCAGTGTGATTCCAAAGCAGTTTCCCTATAGGGCTGGGCTAACTCTGCCCTGAACTCCCCCCTCCCTGTGTCCTTCCTAAGTTCAGGAATTCTCTTTGAAAAGCCAGAACTCCTTGTTTAGACATTTTAATATAAACCTTCTCTGTTTACAGATACTATTTCTGTTACCATGCTATCTCACCTACACATATAAAAAATACTCCATGACCAGAATGGAACATAAAATTATGCAAACAGGCAATAAATTATCTGTGGGTGGGGGAGCTGAGGCCATCCAACAGCCATGGCCTCTTCTTAAGTGGGAAAGGCTGGCAGGGTGTGGGAGGAGACGAGGACTGAAATTGCAAACCCCACATGACTCAGAGTACAGCTCCCAACTTTGCTGCCCCTTCTGCAAAGACCCAAGTTGCTCCATGTCTGGGACCCACCCAGTGGCATTACAAGCCGGCAGTACTACCTTCCCTGCCCCCATTCAGGCACAAATCCAGGGAAATGTGCTTCTACAGTCCGTGGCATCCTTCTGGGGAGAATTAAAGGTGATTACACAGTCTGCAATTGTGATTTCAAACTATTTAATGGAAATGGCGGGGATACAAATAACAGTTTTTCCTCTTTTCTTGCTCTTTTTTTTTTAAACAAAAAGATCTCACTATTGTCTGATATCACTGTTTCTCTGAGGGCCTCTGTGTCCTCCAAAGACTGAAGCTTTAAATGAGCATCTTCTAGGTCCTGTATCTCAGGAGCCCTTTGCCTTTCCAGGGATGGAAGCAAATCCTGCCAAGGCCCCATCCTGTTGCAGAGGTGGATCTCACTAGCTACAGAGCTCCCATTGCCATGGGGAGGGCTAAAGCTGAACTCAGAGCTCCCCCCGTGCATGCCTGATGTAATGTTGATGCAGCCCAGCTTCCTGGGCAAAGTCCTGACCACACTCAGTGCAGGCGAAGGGGCCAGGAGGGGTTTGGGCCTCATGTGCCTGGCGGTGCCGCCTCAGAGAAGCAGCCTGCCCAAAGGTCTTGCCACAGTCAGGACAGGGGAAGGTGGTGGTCTGGGCAGTGGTGGGTGCAACTGGTGGGGAAGGTCTGGCGGCTGGACCATGGCTGCGCTGGTGGGCAATCAGGGCCTTGGAGGAGGGGAAGGAGCGAGCGCAGGTGAAGCAGATGAAGAGGGCCCCTTGTAGCTTCTGGGCCACGAAGTCCGCTGGGTGCTCCCGCTTCATGTGACGCTCCTGGAACTTGGAATCGGCGAAGGTGATGAGGCAGCGGGTGCACTGTGGGGACCCCAGGTGGCCTGAGGGATGTGGGGAGAGGTCGGGGGAAGCCAGCAGCGGTCTCCAGGACCTCTCCCAAGCCCCAGAGTCATGCCAACAATTAACACTGAGTGCTTACTATCTGCCAGGCTCTATGCCGGGGCAGACTGAGGCTCAGAAAGGTTAGGTACCTGCCCCCAGTCACGAGGCTAGGAAATGAAATGGACTGGAACCCAGGGAGTCTGCCCTTCCCACAGAGGTAGGGGATTAGAACACAGTCTCTGGAGCCAGGCTGCCCAGAATTGAATCCCAACTCTACTACTTCCTAGGCAAGTAATAACAGTTTCCTTTCTGATAACCATATTAGTATTTACCTTATCATAAGTTTGTTGGAAGGAATAAGTGAATTAATTTATTAAAGTGCTTAGAACAGTGCTACTGAGTGGTTTGTAGTTACTACTGGTGAGAAAGGGAAAAGCACCCCAGTGGCCGGGAGCTGGCTGGCGCTCAAAGCTAGGCCTTGGTTCTTCTGTTGAACAAAAGCAGTTTCCATGGAACATCATCAGGCAAGGCCACTCTGACTGAGGTGAATTAAGACAAGACAACATCTGAACACAGACAACGTGAATGTCCAAGCCACAAAAATAAACACCCTGCTATCCTGGCTAATACAGGCATCTGCTGCTTTACCAATCACAGCTTGTGCCTGGCTGTTTCTTCCCACCTTCTAAATAAGATGTATTAAGATAGCCAGCTTTGTACGGTTGCCCCTGCTTCCTGCCAGTATCCAGTCCAGAGCAAAATACCTCTTCCTTGAACCCTTCCCCAAATCACCTACTCTAAGCCCTTGCTGTATAACTGAGATGCCCTCTAGTGCTCCCATTGTGTGTGTGCACTGCAGTGCTGTGGGCAGCAAACCCGACTTTCTCAACTACAGTGTGTTCCTGGTGGTCTTGGGCTGGAGAGCACTGGCATTGAGGTTCTCACTGTTATAAATGCTTAAACTCTCTCGCCTTAGTTCCCTCATCTGAAAGTGGTAATAACCAATCTCATAGGGTCTCTTAGGAGGACTGAATGAGATAATGATGTTAAATTAAACTCTTAGAATGCACCTAGCATATAATAAGCATGCAGTGGAAACTGTTGCTGTTACTGTCTGTCAAACTGGCTACCTTAACATCAAGCTTTCCCTCTTTCTGCTTATAATCTCCACAACAGCCCTGTCAGACAACCCTTTTTGACAGAGAGGCCCAAGTCTTACTCAGAGGCTAGGGCACAGTTGGGAGTGGAACCTTGGCGCTCCTTTGCCCTTTCCCAGTCTCTGACCTCTCCCAGCCACATCTCCCACCCCAAGCCTCTCTGGATGCCACTGTCCCTCTGAACTGCGTCTCATACATGCTTATGTGGACAAAGCAGGGTGGGCATATTTGAGGGTAATATGGTTAAGGGTAGGGAGTGGAGTTGCTGGTATGACAGGGGCCATTATAGCCCCTTCTGAACAGGCAAGTCCCTGCAATTCCCTGGCCACCAAAGTGCTATAGAAATCCTTTCACAATCAGCTTCTGCGCCTAACTCACTTCTGGCCAGCAGTACTCACAGATGTCGCCTCCCGGACTTTGCAGACTCCTCTCCTTGGACGAATCCTGCTGCTCTATGGTCTCTTCAGGCTGTAGGTCGTCCATGATGACTGAGAAGACCCCCCTGTCAGGAGAGGAGCACATGATAGAGTAGTACATCAAGTAAAGTCCCTCATCTGTCGCCCCATCTTAGAGGGCTGGCTAGTCCTGTGACCTTTGACAAGGTCTTGCCAGACTTTGACTGCCACGGTACACCATCTCCGTGAACTCTAACATGATAGAGCTCTCCCTAGAGAAGTTTCAGACCTTCCGCAAGATTCGACTTTAAGGGGGTTTGTAACTCCCCTTAAAGCCATCTCACTGTGTGACACCTATGACTTACGATTTCGTACTTCAAACTAATTCCTTGAACTCAGCACAAGACCCTTGATATTTGGCACCAGCCTCACCCCAGTCTCTCCCACGTGTCTTGAGGCAGGTAGACGTACCCACACATTAGCCCGCCTTCCGGGAGACATCCTTCTCTGACATCCTGTAACTTGTTCCACCTAGAGTCCCCGCCCCCCACGCGCGCTTTCAGCCGCTGTGTTTCGCTGCCCAAGCACTGCCCTAGTCTCCTCCCGAGGTCGGGAGCCCAAGCCTCTCCTTTCTCCAGACAGCCCCGGACTGTCGTTCGTTGCGCCTGTCAGTCACTCGTCACAGCGCCGCCACCCGGAAGGAAGCGGAGTAGAGCCCACCAAGCCCTAAGGTCACGGTAGTTTCCACGCTCTTTCGCCTGATAAACCTCTCAAAGCCGGGTATTGGATTGCCATCCGGCAGTGATACAGTCGCTCAAACCGGGTCCTCAAAAATAACGGAGGGGTCCTTCATTGCGCTGGGTGCGGTATGATGACGTCGAAGCCACCCGTGCCTTACAGATTTATTTTTTGCGCAAGCGTGTTAGGCCCTCATGGTGCGCAGGCGCTTTGGCTCCCTCATTGTTTTAAAAGTCTTGGTGCAGTCTCAGCTCGGGAACCGGCGCATGTAGGCTTTTGCGCAGGCGCTGCGAAGGGCTGTGCTTCCCCCCTACCCCGCAAATCACGCTTCCAAGACACCCCACCCTCTAAAAGGGGTGACGTCAGGTTAGTAGCGCCGCCACCCGGAAGGAAGCGGAGTAGAGCCCACCAAGCCCTAAGGTCACGGTAGTTTCCACGCTCTTTCGCCTGATAAACCTCTCAAAGCCGGGTATTGGATTGCCATCCGGCAGTGATACAGTCGCTCAAACCGGGTCCTCAAAAATAACGGAGGGGTCCTTCATTGCGCTGGGTGCGGTATGATGACGTCGAAAGCCACCCGTGCCTTACAGATTTATTTTTTGCGCAAGCGTGTTAGGCCCTCATGGCGCGCAGGCGCTTTGGCTCCCTCATTGTTTTAAAAGTCTTGGTGCAGTCTCAGCTCGGGAACCGGCGCATGTAGGCTTTTGCGCAGGCGCTGCGAAGGGCTGTGCTTCCCCCCTACCCCGCAAATCACGCTTCCAAGACACCCCACCCTCTAAAAGGGGTGACGTCAGGTTAGAGCCCCCGGAACGTGTCTGGTGTCCCAGCCTCTTTGAGCTCGGTCCGCGGGGCCCCAGGGGAGGGGTTTCTCAGCGGCTGACTGGCCACCACCAACTGCGATCTCCGGTGCGCTGGCTGTTTGCTCGGTTGGTGATTTGGGAGGGAGGAGTGGAAAATAAAAACATGTACCTTTGAGGGTGGAGGGGCTGGAGGCCAGATTTCTGAGTTTCTGAAGCAGATAGGGAAACGCATCCAGAAGGAGGGCGGGCAGGACTCTGGGTCCCCGGAGAATAAGGGCCTGAGCGCTGGATTTCTAGGTCTCTTGGGAGTGATACCCGAGAATGGAAGAAGGGGACAGGGTGAAGGACGGAAGTCTGAGACCAGAGTGGAATGACTTGCAAAGAAAAAGGCTTGAGTGCTTCCTGACTCGCGTCTTCCCCACCCCTTGCTTTCCAGCTATGCCTCCGCCGCGGGGTGATGTGACCGCCCTGTTCCTGGGTCCTCCAGGCTCGGGGAAATCTGCGCTGATTGCAGCGCTGTGTGACAAGGATTTGGAGACTGTAGAGATACCCGAGAGACGGACGGATTCCGGGATCCCCAGTCTACGAGCTGCGGGCCCAGGCCTCTTCTTGGGCGAGCTGAGCTGCCCGCCCGCAGAGCCGGGGCCCTGGGCGGCGGAGGCCAACCTGCTGGTAGTGGTGCTGCCGGGACCCGAGGGAAACGCGGAGCCCTTGGCCCCAGCGCTGGGAGAGGCAGCGCGGGCAGCTCTGGCCCGAGGGACCCCGCTGCTGGCTGTGCGGAATCTACGTCCTGGGGATTCACAGAATGAAGAGCAGGCTCGAGATCAGACAGAGGCCCTGCTGAACAGCGCGGGATTGGGGGCCACATCTCTCTTCGTGCTGCAGGCTGACTGCAGTAACAGCGACAGTTGCGAGGAGCTGGAGCGCCTGCGGGTGGCGTTGCGGAGCCAGGCGGAGTCGCTGCAGAGGTGAGCGCGGAGTTTCAGGGTGATTTGGCAGTCTGGTGCTTTAGTTTTAGACCTCACACCCCTAAGATGCTCTTTGAGGTTCTAGGGAATATCATCCCCTGGGAGTCTGGGGCTAGTCTTAATGGGATAGCTGCTGGAGGCCCTCGTTCCTCATCCATGTGCTGCCCCTCCGCGCAGTTTTTTGAGGTCAGCGAGCATCCTGTGCTTGACCCTTTTCTGTTATCTAGGCTGCGACCCAGCCAAGGGCCAGCTAGCGGTCCTGACCTGTTATCCAGGTCCCGCTTCCTTGTAGGTTACAAGCCCGGCTCCCTAGCTAGAATTCTATGAGAGGCCAAGACTTGTTGCCTTAGATACTGCCCCCAGACAAAAGTTTGAAGGAGGGCTCACTCTCTACATAAGCTTGTGATCCCCACAGATATTTTTCCCAGTCGTCACTGTCCAGTTCTGTCCCCCTATCCCAGCTCTCCAGCGCTTTGCCCTTCTGCCCTTGGCCCCGTCTCTCCCTTTCTCCGCAGGCTTTTGCCACCGGCTCAGGATGGCTTCGAGGTACTGGGTGCAGCAGAGCTTGAGGCTGTACGGGAGGCCTTCGAGACTGGTGGCCTGGAAGCCGCGCTGTCGTGGGTTCGCGCTGGCCTGGAGCGACTGGGCAGCGCGAGGCTGGACCTGGCCGTAGCGGGCACAGCTGACGTGGGCCTTGTGATGGACACGCTACTCGGGTTGGACGCAGGTGCTGAGCCTGCTTCAGCCCCCGCGGGGCCCACGCCCTATCCCGCCCCAGAGCGTCCCAATGTGGTGCTCTGGGCTGTACCTCTGGGCTGCGTGGGTACTGCTGCTACCTCCCACCCTACCCACTACGACGCCCTCATCCTCGTCACCCCTGGGGCCCCCACTGAGAAGGACTGGGCCCAGGTCCGACCCTTAGTACAACCAGATGCGCCGCTGGTCTGCGTGCGAACAGACGGCGAGGGCAAGGATCCAGAGCCTCTGGAAGAGGAGGAAAAGGCGGAGAAGCCTAGCGGCGAGTGCTTAAAGAACGCAGGCGGAGGGGGGCTGGAGAATGCGCGCAGGGAGGGAAGCGAGAAATGTGGCCCTGGAGCACAGAAAGCAGGCAGCGGGAGTTTGCGGCAGGTTGGCGTTGGCGTGAAGAAACCGGGCAGCGGGGACTCCGAGAGTGCGGTAGCGCTGAGCCCGGAGGATGAGTCGTGGGAGGTGCTGGAGGAGGCGCCGCCTCCAGTGTTCCCGCTGCGGCCGGGCGGACTCCCCGGGCTCTGCGAGTGGCTGCGGCGAGCGCTCCCCGCGGCCCAGGCTGGTGCGCTGCTGCTGGCGTTGCCTCCCTCGTCGCCCTACGCGGCCCGAACCAAGGCTGCGGCGCTGCGGGCCGGGGCGTGGCGGCCGGCTCTGCTGGCTAGCCTGGCTGCGGCGGCAGCCCCCGTACCGGGGCTGGGCTGGGCATGCGACGTGGCGCTTCTGCGGGGGCAGCTGGCGGAGTGGCGGCGGGCGCTGGGGCTCGAACCCGCGGCGCTGGCTCGACGCGAGCGCGCGCTGGGCCTGGCTCCTGGGGAGCTGTCGGGGCGGACGCGCTTCCCCGGCCCGGTGACGCGCGCCGAAGTGGAGGCCAGGCTGGGCTCGTGGGCGGGCGAGGGCACGGCCGGCGGTGCGGCGCTGGGCGCGCTCTCCTTCCTGTGGCCGGCGGGCGGCGCGGCGGCCACCGGCGGCTTGGGCTACCGCGCGGCGCACGGCGTCCTTCTGCAGGCGCTGGAGGAGATGTGTGCCGACGCTGAGGCGGTGCTGGCGCCCCACCTGCCCGCGCAGTGAAGGGGGTGGGAGGAGGGGACGGGGCTTCCGGGGTGCCCAGCGTCCCGGCTGCTTGGCTCTGCCAGGGGCTTAGGACTCCAAGTCCCGGTTGGTGGGGGGTGGGAGGGGTGGGGGGCCCAGACTGAGGCCTGGGACGTCTGGGCCTCTGAGGTAACAGCGGGGGCCCGAAGGGGATGAGAGCTCTGACTACTGTTGGGATGTGTGACTTCCTGAAGGGGAATCGAGTCTGGGGGACAGGACTCCTGACTTCTCTGGGGACCACAGGGCATGATTCCCAGATTTGTGTCTGAGAGTTGAGGGACTAGACCCCTAGAAGGGGGCATGTATTGGTCTCCAAGGGAGTGGAAACTGGGTCTATTCACGTCTGCCTCTCCAGCGGTAGAGGGAGTGATAGCCCTGATTTCCTGATGAGGGGGTTTCCATCACATGGTGGGTGGGTGGGGGTCCAATATGGAGGAGGTGGTTTGAGCATCCCCAGGGAGCTGGACTCCTTGGGCTTCTGAACCACCAAGGGGTATGGGGTCTAGGTTACCTGGGGGGTTAGGCCTGCACACAGCCTCCCAGTACCTTGAGAGGCAGTAAGCTTTGAATCTTCATGCAGGGGAGAGGGGTCTCTGAGGTCTCACAGTGGTGGCTCGCAAGAAGCAGTGCACATTGGTTCCTAATTCCTGGGTGGTGGGTGCTATCCATCTAGAGGGGAAACAGGCTATGTAAAAAAGCTGGAGACCCTTTGTCCCCTTGAGTAGAGGGGTGTCTAATATTTGCTCCTCCAGTGGCCTGGTGACCCAATCTCTTCCAGCTCTTGTGGGGAGGATGGTCCCACAAAAACGAGGGAAGGAGGTCAGAGATCTAGGCTTGGTGGCTCTGGGATGGCCAGAGACCAGGCAGGAGGCCTTCTGGGTGTGGGAGGGCAGGAACCCATACCTCAGAGGTATCTCCCACAAGTCCCTAACAGATTTGGATCCTGGCAATAGCCTCTCCCTATGTGAGTTTGGGAAGGGATATTACTTCCCTTTTATAGGTTCTGAGTAATTCAGGGGAACTTTGAGGAGTCTGTTCCTCTGTTCTTTTCTCCTTTAGGGGTTTCTGTCTTCTTTTGGTCATGTTTCTTTCTGTCATTAAACCTTAACCCTTTCTGGCCTTGGTATTTTGTGCACCTGCCTTTTGTTGAAAAGCAGCTGTACCAATTCAGACGTTTCTGTGTTGGCTTCCTCAGGTATCCCCAAGAGGCTCTGCCTTCTGATGTGCACAGAGTGTGTGCAGTGAGCAAGAGACCCACAGAACAGGTAGGTAGTGGTCCAGACCGTGGGAATGTGCCACTCGTGGGCAAGGGCAGAAACCACAGTGCCTGGAATGTTCTAGAGTGCCAACTACATGTAGAGAAGACATCACAGGTCACAAAATTCTTCTGTCAAATACAGGAAGGGGGAACCTGAGAAACCATCCAGTAGAATCTCTTTTGTGACAGATAAGGGAAAGCAAAGCCCAGAGAGGGCAGGCTCTACGCCTAACAGCACACAGCAAGGCCCTGTGTGGTCTGGCCCCTGCCTATTCTCATTCCCTGCCCTGCCGCATCCCTAACCAGCCTGATAGATCTACCTTTTGGTGCTTGGGTTCTGCATCAGGACCTTTGCACTTGCTGTTCTGCCTAGCATGCTCGGCCCCCAGATCTAACCATGCCTCTTTCTTTCAATGAGGTCTCAGCTCAAATGTCCTCTCAGAGAGGCCTTCTGTGACCACTCTAACTGAAGTAGCTCACATGCCTCTATTATTTATCTCAGTTGGTTGATTTTCCTTGTAGAATTATTACTATAGAAATATTACCTTATTTATTTATTTATTTACCTGTTTATTGGCTATCATCTCCTTGCCTGTCCATTCTCTGCTGTATCCCAGGCACCGAGGAGATTGCTTGATATCTAGCAGGCACTGAGTAAGTATTTTAATTCAATCAGTGGCAGACCTAAGGCTGGAATTTAGATTGTTGGCCTTTACAGGGCAGGGAAAAGGAGTGAGATAGAGTGAAAACAAGCATCTAAGGTCAAGTCCCTTAGGTCCCTAAAGGTCAAGGGACCTGGGAATCAAGTGTAGTTTTACTGCTGTCACTCCAGGTGACTTGGACCAGTGCCTTATTTTCCATCTGTGAAATAAAAGGGCTGAATAAAACCCATAAATACTTCTGAGAGCCTGTTGCCTTTGACAGCTGGAGATAAGAGTGACTGATTTGAGGAGCAGACCCTTGAGCATCTCCAGCTTGAATGCCCACCACAGCTACAATCTGTCCCATCAAAACTGAGATGGCCAAAGTCGGGGGGAAATATTTGACTGTCTACAGAATGGCTCCATGAATAGTCTGAAAGCTCTTTCAACCCTAGGGAAATATTATTCATCCGTATCTTTAATACCGAGTACAACACTGTCTACCCCTCTCCTCAGACCAGTATTCACACCTCTTGGTCAAGCAGGCCAGCCATGTGAGAGAGCAGGGGAGGTGCAGAGCTGCGCTAATAGCAGTAGAATATGAGCCACGTATGTAATTGTAAATTTTCTAGTGCCACATTTTTAAAAAAACAGGTGGAACTAATTTCAATGTTTTACTTAACCCAGTATATCCAAAGTATGATTATTTCAACAGGTAATCAATATAGAAAAGTTTTAGTGAGATATTTTACATTCTTTTAAGCTAAGTCCTTGAAGTCTGGTGTGTATTTTACATCTAACAGCACATCTGGTTCAGATGATAACACTTGCATCAGAAATACTTGACCTTGATTTGGCTTTCAGGAAATTGGTAATTGGAGAAGTAGATTTATATACCCAAGTTGTCCCAAATATAGTGAACAGTTTTCCAATAACTGAGATACATATCAGTTTTTAAATTAATTAAAAGTAAAAAATAAAATTCCACCTTCCATCTTGTGCTCAGTAGCCAGGGGTGGTGAGAGGCTCCAGCACTGAACAGCACCAACCTAGAGCACTACCATCACCGCAGGGCCTTCTCCTAGCATAGCTCTGGGTCAGACTGCCCTTCGGACTTCGGGGGTGACCTTGGGCAAGTCACTCAGCAAATGGCATCTGCCTCACAGGGCTATTGTGAGAATTCGGTGTGTGCGTGTGTGTACACACGTTCTCCCTCACGCGTGCCAATGTACTGCGGCCCTGAGAAGCCCAGCACACTGGGAGCCCCGCCATTCGTCGCCTTGCTCTTGCCGTTTGCCCTCAGCCCCAGGCAGCACCCAGACAACTCCAGTCTGGGTACCTTCTGTCTCACCCCCATGCCTTCATGCCATTTTGACGCCATCTCAGATTTGGGCTTGGGTTGTATCTCTGCTTCCCTGTTCCAGATTCCCTCTGCCCTCACACCAATGAGAATTACAACAGAGATCATATCTGAGAAAGCAAGACCCAGTTTTGTTTGCACGTGTCTCTGTATGTTTGGAAGTGCTGATCGTGTGTACATGGTTATGCACGGTCACGCTTGGGTGTTGTAAGTCTGGGGAAAGGAAATCCCAGGGCAAAATACCTCTAAAACTGAAATCAGTCAAAGGGAGAAATAAAGTTTAGAATCCGTTTATTGGTTACAAGCTGCAGTCGGGGGTCGTCTCTCTCTCCTGCTCCTGCAGAAGCAAAACCCCCCTCCCCTCCCCTCTCAGGTACAGATAAGCCCTCCCTGGCCCAGGTCATTACCCACTGATAGGGAGATGACCTCTCCACCCCTGAAAAATGATGCAAATGCACTAAAGCCATACTTCTCTCCACCCTTGAGCGCCTGTTGATATGCAGATATACTAGAGGTAGGTGAGATATTTTGGAAATATTACAATTTTACCCACAGGTGTCAAGACTACTTTTTGGGTGATTATTTTGTAAATCATGACTTTCGATAGGATTGAATTTTATCCTCTGTGGAGGCATGAGGTTCCTAGTGAGGCATCTGTCTCTGGGAACATCCAAGTAGAAAAAGACTATAACTCCCTTGTGGCTGCCATCAGGGTGTGTCTACGTGGCACCTGAAGGGGCTGAAAGACCCTTGAAGGCAAGAACTCAAGGAAATATATGATAAATCTAGGCATTGCCATCGCCAGAAGCCGAATAATCACAAAAAACATGAGTGGGTGAGACAGTCTCGCTGCCTGAGCTTGAGTTTCATACATTTCTGGAGAATGATAATGGCATTGGTGTCCCTCGAGGGTGTGGTCAGCCTGTGGTGGTTCTTGGAGTGAATAAAATGAGTAGAAATCACATTATGTGTCTGTTCTTTTGTAGTTTGAAGGGGAAAAAACATGCTTGGGATTTTGAAAAGCTGGAAGCCTGAACTCCTGGGTTGAGGGAGGAGGAGCAGTGGGGGGTGTATAGGAAAGAAACTTTGGCAGGAATCTAGAGACTTTATCTGTGTCAGTTTTGGGGGGCAGGGATGCAGGTGGGCCAGTGACTATTTAGACCTTGGGGTGTCCCGACCTGCAGGACTATCAACGGGGGTCGACGACCTGGAGGAGAGAATTGAAAAAAAAAAGAATGGGGCAAGGGACACAAAGAACGACCAGCAAGACAGGATGTCCGATCAAGCTGGCACAGTTTATTGTTTGCAGGCTCAATTTATACAGGTTAGCAAGTAAGGGGTGGGTCAGGAGATAATTGGACCTTAGGTGGCGCCGGCGGGGAGGTGTAGAGGGGTGATTGGGTCTTGGATTGGGAAGGTGCTCCTGCCTTAGGGCTTCCTCTCTCGCTGCCCTTGGGACCCCTGCCATCACTGCCAAGTCAAGCCCCAGCTAACTTGCTGGGTGATTAGAGACATATGGCCCAGTCAGTCTTGACACCTCAACCAACAGCCAGCCAACCCTCTGCAACAGCTGCGTAGCAGACAGGCAGCTGAGACCGGAAAAAGCTGAGACCAACTGCAGACCCAATTGCCCACCTGCAGAATCATAGGCCAAATAAAAGTTGAGTGTTCTAAGCAATTACATTTTGGTGTGGTTTGTTAAGTAGCAAAAGATAACTAACAGAGGCTCGTTCCCTCTCTGATGTGGTCCTTTCTTCCCCTCAACGTGACCCCATGATCAGAATCTTAAGCCCTGCCACTTTTTAGCTGTGTGACCTTCAATATGACATTCCTTCACTGAGCTTCCAATTCTCCTGAAAACGGGTGAGGGGAATAAAAGTGCTGACTACAGGACGTTGCTGTGAAGATAAAGTGAGAAACAGTTCCTGGCAGGTCACAGTACTGTTTATGAAACATGGGCATGTCATGGGACACGACTACTTCCTGGCGCCTATGGGGTTTGGTGGGGCCATGTGACTAGCTCCATCTGATGAGCTGTGTCAAGCCACCTTTGGGTCACAGCATTTAATCACCCACATGAGACTTCCCTGGCCTCTTTTCTGGGCACAGGAATTGTCAATGTTCAAGTTTCAGTCCGTGCTCTGATTGTGACAAGCAGAACACCCTGTGGACGGTGCTAGACATGTAGGGTGAAGGAAGTGTCAACCTCTGTGAATGGGCACCTGATCATTTCAGCAAATACCAGTCCTCTCCCTCGCACTGGAGGGGGAGTACACTTTCCTGCTTCGTTGGTGTTGGCTTTGACTGCGTGATTTACTTTACTCAACGGAATGTTAGCACACCTGACCTCAGCAGGAGGGCCTTTAGTGCACCTGCTTTTTGTGTTTCTATCATCTGCCATGAGGAGAGCATTAGCCAGAGAGCCAGTGATCCTCAAAGATTGTGGAACCCCGTGGAGGAGAACTTGAATCCTCCTCCCAGACTGGAGCCAAGCCAGCCAATGCACGGCCAGAAGCAGAGACACTCCAGCCCCCAGCCAACCCTTAGAGAGAAGAACGCTGCTTGTTACCTCTGTTCGGGGCTGGTTTGTGACCCAGCACTACAGCAGCATTCGTTGACTAATATGACTTTGTTGTTTTAAACAACTGAGATTAGGAACTTCATTACTGTGGCCTGTTCTCATCTGCCCTGGTTGATGACAAGGTTTAGCACCTGCCAACTAATAGTCAATAAGTGGCAGCTATTAATGACGATTGCTATTTACTCAAATATATTGTCTCTAGAACCTAGCACAGCCTTAAAGGTGCTGGGCACAGCCCTAAGCACTTTCTTAGCTTGGTGGGTGGGTGGGTGGTTTTCCACTTAACTCTTAACAACCTAGTGAGGTTATAATGATTAATATCCATATTCTGCAGACATGAAAACGGAGGCAAGAAGAAGGAGATGGTTCATCAGGAGAGGTGATTATAGACTCTGGAGTCTGAGCCTCACTTGCAGTTTGACCCAAGGCAATAGTGACCACAATCTGTACCTGTTCATTCATTTGTAAAATGGGGACAGTAATTCAATTTCATGGTTGGGATCATGAAATGAGGTACAGCATGGAAAACAATTAGTATGTGGGCCCAGCAGGGAGTAATCCCTTAATAAAAGGCAGGGTATTCCCTTCCCTCTCTTCCTTGCAAAAAGGGGGTTCCCAAGGGTTGAAACCCCTGCTTTCTGCATCCCACCTACCCGAGATGTATCACATTATCAGGACTCAGGTCTGCTTTGTTAGCCTGTTTAATTTATAAGCACGTGGGGAGCTGCAGGCTGAGGCCACGTGGAAACCTCAAGCCACATATTCCTCGGTTCTTCACTCAGCCCTGTCAGGGGACTGGGGGGCTGGAAGACAGTCTGCTCGGCGGAGGAAGTAGAGATAGGAGGCTGAGGGCACCTGGGCCCCAGCCTGAGCGAGGCAGGCACTCTCTGTAGCACAGCCCCGAGTGGCAAATTTGGTGTTGATGATACCTGGCAGGGGGGTTTCAGAATGGAGTCATGGCCTTCCTCGTGCCCTAGAGGTCTTGTCCCCTCCCACCTCCTCACCCAGTTCCCTGGAGCCACCATCTCCCCTAGAACCTGGAAGTATGGGTTCTGGGGCCCCAGCCCCCTCCTCCAGAGATCCAGGTGCCCCCCCCCTCACCAGCCTGCACATTGCCAGCGAAGTAGATGCAGCGGGTTTCCTGGCCAACACAGCGGGCGGCCTGGGTCCCCTGACATGTCTCCTGGAAGGGCACGATACAGGCAGGGCACTGCAGGCCATTCTCAGTACGATTGTTCTGGGGAGCTGGTAATGAGGGCGAAGCATAAGGTGCAAAGGATCTTTTAAACCTTTCCCCAACCGCACAACGTCAGATGCTAATGGATACTGCACTTTAGAGGTGAGAAAACAGGTTCCGGGCAAGCAGGATGCTTGCCCACCATTGCATCAGTGGCGTGCATCAGTGCAGGCCAGTGTACCCAGAGTGGGCTCTTGGGGTGGGCCGGAGGGGCCCCCGATGCGGGCTGAACTGGCACTTACGGGGCACAGAGTCATGGTTACAGCCATCACTCTGGCAGCAGCGTGTGTTGGACACCATGTAGTCCTTGGGCCCCATGGTGGTGGATACGAAACCCGAGTAGCAGTCACGGAATTTCATGCAGGCCTTGTGGGTGTTTACTGCGTGGTGGCCCTCTACAAATGAGGGACAGGAGGGAAGGACTCAGGAGGAGCTGGCCAACCTCACCCTGGCATTGACCCTGGCCTTAGGGTCTTTCCCAACCCTACACCACCCCTGCCTCACCACCACAGGACCGTCTAGGGTGGTCTCTCCCAGCCTCCCAAAGCCATGCTCCCTTACCAGCCTAGGGTACAGTCTGGAGTGGTTTATTAGGTAGCCTCCCACCCCCACTTCCATAGCCCAGTCAGCCTTTGGTGGTCTCTTGCAGTTCCCCATTGTCAAGCTCAGGTGCCCAGACTCGGTCCCTTCAACCCCACGGCACTGCCATCCTCTGAGTCCTTCTGGGAGCAATCTCTTTCAGGACGCCTATGGCTCCCCACATGCCTGTGTGAAATGGTCTCTTCCATTCTCCCCTCTCCCCACCTTGTGGTGGGCTCTTCCAACCCAATCCTAGGGTTCCCTTCTTCACCCTCCCAAAAGCTGTTTTTACCCAGCTTCCTCTACTCCACTCCCAGGATCCAGATCTCCCCACTAAATGCCTGGGGTGGTCTCGTCAAGCCTTTCAAATCCTTCCCCCAAGCTGCCAATGCTTGCTAGGTGGGCCAGGGAACGTGCAATCCTCTCTGCGGCCTTCGTTACACACCTTGTCCTGCCAGGACGGTTTCTTCCACACTCAAGGTTACCTTTCCTCTCCTGCTACACCTTCACTCCCGCAGCATGCCCAACATCTCTTCTGTGACTAAGGGTCTCTTTGAGCTTCGAATGAGCGCACCCCTCCCCAGGCTTGAGGCCACACCCACATACTTGTGCTTGACTCCCCCACGACGACCACGCATGTGTCCTTGCCGGCCTCACAGGTCTTCATTTTCCCGCTGCACGTGGGCCCGGAGCCCTTGCACACCTCACAGCTCAGTGGGCATCCTGCAGCAGAGAGTGCAGTGGTCAGGAGTTCTGTGGTCTGTGGACCACAATTTCGACTTCGGAGTCCAGAAGGGAAGGGGAGAAAAGGGGGCTGGACTTTTGGGTCCTGAGGGAGGAGGGACAGGTGTCTGCCTACTTGCTTGTGGGTGGAGCATTGACAGCTGTCTAGGGAACTGTCAAAGCCCTGACAGGGACGCAGTGGTGATGCCATCACAGCTGCTTCCAGGGGCGGGAAGTGACTCCACTAGGCAGCCTGTTTACCTAATTACAAGGCTGGAGACTTTGGACGCGAGGGTCCTCTGAGAAAGCCTGGAAACAGGAAGGGTCTTGCGAAGGTTTCTACAAAAAGGACTTTTGTGAAGCTTCAGGCCCAGTGGGTTTTGGGATGTGAGACCCTCCTCCTTGTAGGTACAGCATGAAGGTCTTGTAAACAGCAGACACTCAGACAAGGGCGTCTGGGACTGGGATTTCATCCCGGGTCAAGTAGGGAGAGCCAGGATGAGGAGGGCTGAGGCATGGACTCCTTGGTCCTGAGAGAGGAGGCAACTGGGGGCTCAGACACCTGGGTCCTGGGGAAGGTGGTGCTTGCCTGAACTCCTGCCTCTCAGGGAGGAGGGGGCTGGGCATCAGCACTCTGGAGAGTCCAGGGTGAAAGCAAATCTCTTCCCCTATTCCAGATTTTTTTTTTTTTTTAGATCTCCTTTTCCAGTTATGCTTTAGTCTGATTGCCTGAGGGACAGAGGATTCAGAGCCCAGCAAGTGCTCTTTTTTTCTCAGGGTTCCAATCACAGGAGCTTTTGAGCTTTTCCTCCCGTGGGCCCCAGGCTTTCTCTTCATTTAGCCTCTGCCTCTGCCATAACCTGAATTCCCAGGACACCTTCTTTCTCCCCCTTAAGGACCTTACTGAATGCTCTTTCAGAGTCCTTTTTCCTCGGAGTCCCAGGAGTCCAGGCCCTTAGTCACTTACCCAGACCCAGGAGGATGCAAAGCAGTGTGAGGGCCAGCAGGAAGGACCCGGGGCTCATGCAGGGCCTCATCGTGTGTGAGCCTGCCCTCCCGGGTCCCCAGCCCTTATAGGAAGCTGAGAAGGGGCGGGTCTGGATCCACCTTCACTCTAGGGTGAGAAATAGCTGAGGTAAGATGTCAGGGCAGTCGTCTGTTGCGGAGGCGGAACCAGAACGCAAAAAGGTACATGGGCATCCGTGCCCAGCACCCTGCTCTGCAGGGACCCCAGGAGTCTGGGCTTCCAGCCCCCTCTTCCATCAGGATCCAGGAGGTCACTTTCCTGTTTTCTTACATTCCCTCCCCCCCCTTTTTTTCTGGCCTGAAGCCCAAGGTCGGAGTCGGGTCATTAGATTCCCTGTAGGTGTAGAGCAGCTGCAATAACTGAGAGCCTCTTTCTCATCTCTCTCTTCCCAAGGAGGCGCTCAGCGTGGGTGGGGCCCTACCCCGGAGCGCCCAGCATGTTCAGGCTCGTTCTGCGGGGGTTCAGGCGCCCTGTCTCCCATGCCTTCTTCACGTGTTTGGCTCATAAACCCTGTTCTGTGTTCGGCTGTCTCCAGCTCCAACACCGCCTGGGGCTGCACCCCAGGATCTCACGGGAACCGAAGAGAGGGGTGCCTATGAGCAGGCAGGGGCAGGCGTGGTGGGAGACAGATGCCCACAGGTCACAGATTGGGAAACTGAGGTATGAATGGAAGCACTTAGGCTGGGCTTGTATACCTGGTTTGGGCGCATGCTTTGTATTTTATTTACGTCACTGACCCACGTTCTCTTGACCTCAGGCATAACTCTGAGAGCGATTAGAAAGTTTTTCGTGTATGTGCGGTTGGGGACGTGGGATAGAGGGGAAGAGTGCAGCTCCAGGAACCGACGGTGGGGATCCTATCGCGGTAAGCTCCGGGCTCCCTGCAAAAACCCACTGAGGTTCAGATCCTTCTGCTTTCTAGGCTACAGTTTGGGAGGTGACTGCATCGTCCAATGAGAATTGCTAATTTCTTCTAGGGACCAATCCCGGAAGGTGCTCCTGTTGCTAGGTGCCCAGAAAGCACAGACCAGAGAAAGGCGGGGCTAGAGGAAAAGCTTGTTGCTAGGGTACTCAGCGCCTCTTTCCGGAGCGCCACGATTGCGCTTGCGCAATGTCGACGCGCGCGCCGGCGCGCCGCTGTTTGAAAGGCCCACAGCCTCGCGCGCTTGCGCACTGAAGTGTGCGCGGGGAGCAGGGGAGCCGCCCACTCTGGGAGCAACCCACTCCTCGCCCCACAAACTCGAGCCTTCATGCTTTGGGCCAGGCGAAGCGCACGACATTGACATGCCGGAGATCCGCTTCCGCCATGTGGTGTCCTGCAATAGCCAGGACTCGGTGAGGGACTGGCGTGGGGGAGGTTGGAAGACGTAAGGGAATTCAAGAAGGGGCTTTATACGAACTTTGGGAGTGAAATAGGGAACTTCACGGAATTCTGTAGAGGGTCATGGGGAATTTCCAGGAGGGCATAAGGGAATTCTGGGAGAGATGTGGAATACGGGAGTCTGTGGAGCTTTCAGAGAGAAAAGGAGGAAGAGGGGAGCTTCCATGGAGAGCCCATAGGTGAACTTCCAGGGGAAAATGTAGGGGACTCAAGGCAGCGTGTGGTGGGTTAACGGGGACTTTTAAATTTGGGGGATGGAGGAGGGCCCAGGAGCACTCAGGAATAATCTGAGAGCTGGGGACCTAGCTTTCTCTCCCCCTACCCTAACTTTTCTCTTCCCACTGTTATTTCCAGACACACTGTGCAGAAAACCTTCTCAAGGCGGACACTTACAGAAAATGGCGGGCAGCCAAGGCAGGCGAGAAGACCATCTCTGTGGTGCTCCAGGTGATCCTGCTCTCCCCCTAGCTCCTTAATAGGAATCTGCAGACTCAGGGTCCAGACACTGCTCCTGGCCCAACTGGCAGTGGTTTAGGGCACTTTCTCTACTGGAATTTAGCTTCCTTACGTGGAAAATGGGTAGCGTGATCGCTGTGCCCCTTAGCAGAGGAGAAAGGTAATCCAAGGACTAGATCAGGGATGACCAGAGGAGTCAGTGTGCAGCCTGGATAGGTTGCTTCTACCTTCTGGGCCTGAGTTTTCTTGACTGAACCCAACTGAAACATTGCCATGGATCCTGTCTCCTAAAATCAGTGTGCTCAGGGCTAGAAGGTGTCTCTGAAGATCAACTAAGTCAATCAACCTTGTTTTAAAGGTGGGGAAACTGAAGTATAGGGAAGAGAAGTGAAGTGGCAGGTCTAAGCTACCGTTTCTGCAATGCCTGCCGTTTCTGCGTGTCGTACTGCTCTCACCCAATCTGCACCATGGCCTGTGTAGTTGGAGGGAGGCAAAGAGGAAAGGGTGGTCTGACCCCAGATAGTTACAGAATTCCAAACAGGCTGTTTCTATGAGGGGCAAGAAACTGGTGGGAGAAGATAGCTATATGTGTCTTAGGCATCTGCTCTTTGCCAGGTACCATTTTACCTGCACAGTCTTATTGTACTGGCCTGTTCTACCTGCACAATCTAACAGTCTTCACAGGAGCCATGTGATGATGGGGCCATTGTCATCGTTAATAAATGGCAGTGCTAAGACTCTCCCATTGTTGGTGCTCTTAACCACTTTGCATACTGTTTTGTGTTTGCATGCTGGTTTGCTTGATTTTGGCCATATTCCTTACTTCTGAATATAGGAGTCTTTGGAGAGGGATATTGGGGGGCAAGGCTTACATGATCGTGTTGAACGTATTCTTGGTCTCTCGCCTGCTGGTTCTGGAAAAGTTTTGGGTCATAGAGCTTTTTGAGAATTAGAGAGAAGCTGAGGTTCTCTTCCCAGGAAAAATATACAGACCTATGAGTCTCTGAATGATTTAAGAAGTTTAAACATCTCCTGAGTCCCTGATATAGTAATAATAATGAGAGCTAACATTTATTTAACATTACAGCTGCCAGTCATTTTTCTAAACACCTCACATGGATTAACTCATTGAATCCTCATAAAAACCCTATGACCCAGAGTCTGTTATTATCCCTATTTCACAGATGAGAAGCTGAGGTCCAGAGAGATTATGCAATTTGCCCAGAGCTGATGTTTTAAACTGAGGGGGAGACAGGTTGCTGAAGATTTAGTCTTGGAGCCTGGATTCAAGTCCGTATCTCTCCTTTCTATTCACTCTGTGACCTCAGGCAAATTTTTCATTTCTTTGAATGTGTTTTCTTCTTCTGTTCATTGGGAATGATGAGCTCTAAGCCTGGGGTTATTGTGAACATTTGGTGACATAATGTCTGCAGAAGTGCTCTGTCAACACGCAGGTGTTTGTGCAAAGGGAGGGATTCATGTTTTTATTATGTTTTTGTTATTCATGTTCTTATTATGGGTGACGATTCTGCCGGGCTCTCATCTGATCAGGTGACCCCAGGAGAATCACATTCCGTTCTCTACCCCATTTGCAATGGGAACAGAGGGACGAGAGGCAGAAGAGACAGGCCATGGGGCTGAGAGAGCCCGAGGGGCCAGAGCGGCATAGTGTCTCTGGGAGATGCTGCAGGGAGATTTGCAGCTGTCACTAAAATGGGAGAGGATGGATGAGACATTCTGTCGGGATGGCCAGGCTTGATGTGACATCAGAGGTTTGGGGATCCAAGGGGTGGCATCTAAGAGGTGGGGATTGGCGTTGGGGACAGAGGTGTGGACGTTGTCAGCACAGAGACAGGACTGTAGGCTTAGGAGTGGGTGGAGTCATAGGTTCATTCACTCATTTTAATAATTATTTATGAAGCATCCTTTCTAGGCAGGCACTGTTCTGGGTCCTGGAGCTAAATGGCAATGGACACCTCAAGACAAAAATGCCAGTCCCGTGGAGCATGAATGTGTTAGTAGGGAGAGACTGGGAAATCTACATAAAGCATACATCAGCTGATGAGTACTGTGGAGGAGAATGAAACAGTTACCAGTAGTAGGGGATGCCTCAGCTGGGGGAGGAGGCAGTGGCAAAAGGCTTGTATCTAAATGGATCTGGGGAGACCTCCCCGAGACTATGACATTTGAGCAGTGAACTAAGCAAATTAAAGAAAAAAAACATCTAGGGAGGAAAACCAAACTCCAAGACAGGCAGGTGCCTGGAGTGCTGGAGGAGCAGCAAGGAGGCCATTGGGGGTGGAGGGGAGCTGGCCAGGGGAGAGGGGTAGGAGCCGAGTTACTGGGATCAGGGTGGAGGGCCCCCAGCACACTGAGGCCCAAAGACCATTATACGGATTTAAGCTTTGACTCTGGTTGAGCCGGAAATCACAGAAGGGCTCTGAGCAGACAAAGAACAGAATCTGACTTAGGTTCTCACAGAATGCTTCTGCTTCCACATTGAGAATAGACTGTAGGGAGCAAGTATAGGACCAAGCAGCATGGTGGCGGTTGTTAATTTACTCCACGTTAGAGACCCTTCGGAAAATCAGATTGCACCTGGTGGTTGCCCATATGCAGGGTGACCCCAAATTCACCCAATTCTAATTTTGATTCTTTTGAAGCAAGTGATAAGGCAGAAAATCTGGACACCAAGACACGTAGACTAATCTGTGGGTTTTTCTACTACCCTGTAGTTTTTCCTCCAAACACTATTACGCAGCACCTGGATAGTACCACAAGGATAATACCTCTCCTGTGACAACCCCACACACCTGGTTTCCTTGTGGTAGCCAGAGGAGGCTGTGGCACAAGCCCAACACCTGCTCCCAGGAGGGGAGTTCCAACCTCTTTGCTAACCACTCCTGGGCTGGAGGGGATGGATGGGACCTGGTGCCCCGCTGGAGGTGTGTTCTTTAGAAGAAACGTTCAACAGCAAGGTGGCACAGTTTCCTCTTTGTATTTCAGTGGTTTCTAATCACCGAGTTTGCCATCATGGTGTGTCAGAATTTTTTTTACCTTCTTTTGATGTGTAACGTGGGCACAGTGATGTGCGTAGTTGATTGAACCCTCAGACGCCACACCAGATCAAGTAACAGAACGTGCCCAGCCCCTCCCTGTGCTCCTTTCTGTCACTACCCGCCACCAGGGCAACCACGATCGTGACTTTTAACATCCAAGACTGGTTGTGCCTGCTTTTGAATTTTATATACATGGAATCATGCAGTATATACTTTTGGGTCTGGCTGCTCTCATTCAGTGTTCTGTGTCTTATTTTTATCTTCATTTCTGTATAGTATTCCATTGTGGGAGATACCATTATGTGTTGTTAACTTTCCTTTTTGAATGGGCATTACATGCATATGATACAAAATTCAAAAGAGGATACACTGGAAAGAGAGTCCGCTCCCCCGTGCTCCCATGCCCTCACGCTCCCTCCCAAGACTCCTGCCACCCAGTTCTTCTCCTGAAGCAGCTACTGTTACTAGTTTATCATGTGGTCCTCCTGGGTCCCTCTGTACACATGGAAACACATCTATCCACCCCCTCCACCCCTTTTAAAAAGTACAGAGTATACACACTTTTCCCCCTCTTGCTTTTTTCCAAATAGTATTTCTTGGAGACCCACTGTCTTTGCATAAATTCTGCCTTGTTCTCTTAAAGAGTGCATAACATTGCCTTTCACGGATGTGGAGCGATTTTTTACCAAGATGTCTTTCAGGAACTTTGCAGGCCTTCTGGGTCCTATTTGTTTCATTGTTGTGAATCGTGTCTTCCTGAGAAATCGTGTCAACTCGGCCACACATGACAGTCATCTTGTGCTTACGTCCTCTCCTAACATCTGACACATACTGAACACTCTCCCTTTTTTTTGAGATAAAATTTATGTAACACAGTTCACCATTTTAACCACTTAAAGTATACGAATCAGTGGTTCTAGTCTATTGACAGTGTTCTGTAGTTGTCACCACTGATTTAGAATCTTTTTATCACCCCCCACAAAAAACCCACAACCATTGACCGGTCACTCCCCGTGCCCGCTCCCCGCTGTGCTCCTGGCAACCACTGATCTGCTTTCCGTCCCATTGGATTTGTCTATTCTGGGTGTTTCATATGAATAGGATCGTCCAATATGTGGCCTTTTGTGATTGGCTTCTTGCACTTAGCATGTTTTGAGGTTCTTCCATGTTGCACATGCATCAGTATTTCATTCCTTTTCACAGCCAGATACTGTCCTCCTGTACGGGTGTGCCATCCAGCATGTATCCATTCCCGTGGTGGTGGATGTTTGAGTTGTTTCCATGTATACTTTTATCACAACCAATTTATCAGAAAGAAGAAACACAGGGAATATTAGTGTACATTTAAAGTAGAAATAGTTACACATGCAAAAAGAATAATTTAAAATACAAATATGGACATCCCACTAGATGTAGGGGCTTGTACTTTATAATGTGGGAGAGGTGAAGATGTTGAGTTTTTATCTCAAGGACTGAAACAGGAGAGTTGAGAAGGAGTGTTGGTTTATAGTCTGAATTTCTCTGCCAGTCCTTAGCTGTGTGTCGTGATCTGAGCCTCAGTTTCTCCATCTGTAAAACTTGGATAGTAACAGACCCTTCCTCCTAAGGTGGTTGTGAGGATTCAGTGATGCCTGGCCCAGGAAGAGCTTGGCCAACTGTGGTAGATAGATAGAACAATGGCCCCAGAAAAGATGTCCATGTCCTAATCCCCAGAACCTGTGAACATGTCACTTTACCTGGCAAAGGGAACAATTCAGATATGATGAACCTAAGAATTTTAAGATGGTGAGATTAGCCTGGATTAGCTGGGGTGGGGGCAGAGTGACCACAAGTCTCCTTACAAGGGAAAAAGGAGGCCGGAGAACCAGAGTCACTGCAGCAGACGTGACCGTGGAAGCAGAGGCTGCAGCGATGCCTGGGCTGGCTTTCGAGGTGGAAGAAAGGGCTTCTAGAGCTGGAACCCTGGCAGCTTCTAGAAGCTGGAAACGAGGCAAGGAGACAGTCTCCCCCAGAGCCTCCAGAAGGAACACAGCCCTCCTGACACTGACTTTAGACCAAATTTTAGACTTCTGATCTCCAGGTCTGTAAGGTGTGTTGTTTTGGGCCAGTACGTCTGTAGTGGTTGTTACAGCAGCAGTGGGAAGCTAATACACTGAGCACTGGGCACACAGCGAGCATTTGAGGGTGTTAACCCGGATGATCCCTTTGTGACAGAAGGCGACACCGAGGGGATGACTCACCAAAGCCACTTGCCCAGGAAAGGCAGAGCCGAGTTACAGCTCAGGGGGCATCTGTTCCTTTGGCAGATGGTTACTGGGGACTCGCTGCCTGTCTGTCCATCCATCCATCAGGAATGTACTTGAAGGACTTCCATGATAATAGTATCAGCTGACATTCTGGAGTGTTGGCTCTGTGGTAGGCACTCTTCAAGGGCTTTGTGTGTATTGCTTGTTTGAATCTTAACAATACCTCTGTGAGGTAGAAGTTGTTACTATCCCTGTTTTACTGGTGAGGAAACTGAGGCACAAGGGGTGAACTGAACCCATTTGCTCCAGGATCACACAGCACTAAGTCAGCAGACCTGGAAAGGACCAGACACTTCTGGGTGTTCAGGACATTATAAGGAATGACTTAGATATTATTTTAAGCCTGTTCTCACAGAGCTTAAAAGTCTGGTGGGGAAGACAAATGCTAGACAAATACAAATAAAAAATGGAATGATGTAATATATATCAACTGGTGAGACTGAAGACACATAAAGCAGAATTAGGAGATAGGGAGGCTATTTTGGTTGGTCTGAAGAGGTGATATCAGAACAGACCTGAATGACGGAAGGAAGCTGTGGGAAGGCTGAGGGGAAGAGTAGTCTCAGCAGGAGGAATGGCAGGTGCAAAGGCCCTGTGGTGGGGGAAGACCTGGCTTTTTCTCAGGACAGAGGGAAAGCCACTTTGGCTGGAGGAGAGCCATCAAGTATGGCAGGAGGCTGAGAAGTCAGACTAGGACTTCTTGTAGCCTGGACAGCAGCACACACTGTCCCTGGTGCCGAGAGCTGGAAGCAGCAGTGGAGGCGGGAGTCGCCAGGAGGCCAGCCTGGCTCAGCCTTGGGAAGGCCCTTCCCTTAGCACCACCTCTTTCTCCAGCACACCCGCAGTGGGTGGAGGAGCACACGTGGCCTCTAGCCAGCCTACCTGGGCTCCAGGCCCAGCTCTGCCACTCACCAGCTGTGTGACCTTGGGGAAGTTACGTAACCGCTTCCTGCCTCCATTTGCTCATGTGTTAAACAGAGATAATAATAGCCTCTGCCTGGCAGAGCCGTTGTGAGGAGAGAAGACACAGGTGTCACGCATCCGGCACGACGGGAGCGCTCAGGTGTTTGCTGCAGCTGTGGTGTTATTCTGTCATCTCAACTCCCTGTAGAAGGAGGGTTATTATGACAAGCCTCCTCTTTCACACCAGAGGAAACTGCTGCTCAGGGAGCTTATACTTCAGGGGTGCACAGCTTGGACATGGCAGGGATGGATTTGAACCTGAGCTTGCTCGCCCCAAATCCAGGCTTCTTCCTCCCACGTGGGATGGTCCTTTTGTAGCCATGTGCAGGTGCTGTCGGGGCGACCTCCTGACTGGGAGGTGACAGGGCAGATCGGAGCATCAGATCATCCCAGGGGCAGTGTGCGGTGGTGGACTAGGTATCTTTGAGGCCAGTGGTAACTTGTCATTCTAGGGTCCGGGTGAAAGAGCCCCACATTGAGAAGCAGGGCTCTTGCCCAGCCATTCCTGACTGCCTCCCACTCCCATTCGGTTTTCTTCCTGTGCCTTTAACTGTCAGCAGGATGGCAGGACCTTTGAAGGAAGCCTTCCTGCAAATGGCTCTTTTCTTCTTTTGACAAATAATTATTGAGCACCTCCTAACTGACAGTGGTAGAGTGCCTGCTACAAGCCATGTCCTATGGCCCTAGTATTTATGTGCCTAATCCTAGATCTGATTATCCCTGTTTACAGGTGAGGAAACTGAGGCTCCAGGTGGTTAGCTCACAAGGCCATAGAGCTCGAGTGTGGCTGAGCTGGGATTCAAACCTAGGAGTCAGTGGTACAAAAACCTAGACCAGGCCCCCACCCTCAGGGAGCTCCCATGGAGGCTGGTGTAACAGGGGCTGGGGGTGACAGGTGTGCCACTTGTCTGCATGGGCATTTTGATTAACTCTGGCCCATGGCCTGTGCTGTGTGCAGGAGACTCAGTAGCACCACTCCAGCCTGGCGCCCAGTCACAGAGTTGACACTGCAAGGAGACATGGCAGCCCAGGAGGGGCTCCTCTGGCTCCTGAGGTCCCACACTGAGCCTAGGGGCAGAGCAGGCACTGACAGTGGGTGTTCTCTCTCCTGCAGCTGGAGAAGGAGGAGCAGATACACAGTGTGCACATTGGGAATGACGGCTCGGCGTTCGTGGAGGTGCTGGTGGGGAGCTCAGCCGGAGGGACAGGGGAGCAAGACTATGAGGTAAGCCGGGCCTTCAGATGGGCCCCCTGCTGATGCCCACCCCAGATGCCCCCAACACTGCTTCCCCCTGGGCCTCCCGGGTGCCAGGCAGGGGTGGAGATGAGTCACACTGGCCGCTGTCCTCTGGAGGAGCCCAGTGTACAGAGGAGGCAAAGAGCAGACAGATGATAAACTGCATGGGCCAGGGGAGAGACCAAGTTTGCATCATGGCTGCATAAACAACCAGAGGTACTTGTTTATTCCAAGATTCAGGCACTGCTTGGGGGCAAAACTGTTTTTCTCTGGTCCCAGAGGTTCTCACAGATGCCCTGGCAAATTGAGATTCCGCAGTGTTTGGGACGCTTGTGTTAGTCACTTTATTTGTGACAGATATTTACAAGAAGGAATGCCTTTTGCTCTATTATGAATATTTAAAAGGCATCATTCTTTTTATACTGGTTGAATTAGAGCCGGATGGGTGTGATCATAGTTAGTCAGCTGGTTAATCAATGAACTGTTTCTGGGTAAAAATAAACCTACTATAAAAAAGAGAGTTTACCAGTTTTCTACAAGATAGGCTTTTTTTTCCTTGCAGTGAGAGATTGTTTTTAATTGAGGTATATTTTGCATACAGTAAATGCACAGATTTTAGTGTACAGGTTTTGAGTTTTGACAAATGTACACACCTGTGGAGCCATCCCCCAAATCAAGACGTAGAACCTTGCCAGCATCCCTGAGAAGTCCCCCATTCATTTATCTTATTTTATGAAGAGTCTGTTTGAGTCTTTTGCTTACTTTTTATTGAGTTGTCTTTTAGTCATGGGTGTCAACCATGTGTGGTTTGTTTGTTTTTAGAAAAGTATTGAGCCTTCTGCCATCAAACACGATGTTAGCTCGAGATTTCCTTATAGATTATAGATGTTGTTTGTCAGTTGGAGGGCATTTTGTTGAGACCCTTTTTTCTCATGCGTGTGTGTTGCATTTCATCAAGTACTTTTTCTGCTGTACAAGGTACATTTTTAACAGGTGAGGTTTTCCTGTAACAAACATTGTTACTCTCAAGGTTCTGTAAGTTGTGAAAAGGTAAACTGAAGCACATTCTATTTTGAAGAGTTTACTTAAGGAAACCATTTGAATCAGGCAGCCCACACTGAAAATGATCAGGGGTGCTTGGTGGGCAGACTCAGGCAGAGGATTTTATAGAGAAGACACAGAAGCAAAGCAAAGCAATGACTGAATTGGCTATACCTTAAAAGGTTGCCTTATTTGGGCAAATCTAGTTATTTGGCTGTTATGATAGTTGTTCTTGAATTTCATTTTCTCAGATTCAAGAATTTAGTTGGCTGTTTTATGATTAGTTCTTGCATTTCATTTTCTGAAATTCGAGTGCACTGACTCTGGCTTAGATTTCGGTTCTGCAGAGGCTACCTAGGCACTAGAGTCACTCAGTCTAATGACCTCCTGGTTTAACTATTTTAACAAAGTCAACAGTCTATTAAACAGGACTATTAAAAATTTTCCCCATCAGCAAACATTTAGATCAAAATTCTACTTTATAATGATGAAAATAGGATAAATTTAGCTAAACTTCCATCATCTCTGGTAGGTGAGTGCTTATGATTCACTCTTATCTGTCTAGCAAGACGGACCAGCTAGCACAGGGCTTTGTCTTTTTCAAGTCTGAAAATGCCTTATGCCAGTAGTCTCCAATTCTTTCAAGGCTTTTAATTAAACTTCTGCTGGAGTCTTGCGTTTCTGTTTTAACTTCTAGCCAAGACTGAATTAAAGACTCTGGGGCTTACAATGTTTGGTTTCCCCACCCAGACACTAGGCAGGGCTGGAGGAGCCAAGAACACAAAGGAAGAAGGGCAGAGCAGGCTGGGCAGTGCTGCTGCCATCTGTGCAAATCAAGTGTAAGGCACACATAGTAACTGATACCATTTTCTACAAAGTCAACAACTTCTTTTTTATTCCCCTCCAAATTCCATAGGGGAGATCTATATATAGGCTTTTGAGATTAACAAGCTCTAGAGAATAAAGGTTTGATTCTGGAGCCTCCAAGACACTGTTGGATAATAGAACAGTCTGATGACTGGAGTTATTTTCTCCTTAGTGAATAGGAGGAGAGTATGTTCAGAGGAAATCTGCCTCTTAGTGTGGGTAGCAGCTGCCAACCACAGTTTGTGCCTGCCCTTCATTTTAGTCACTAGATGATAAATTCAGCTCCCCTGTCAGCTCCAATCAGGTCTTTCATGAGCAAGTCAAGGACAGGAAGATGGCTTCCCTTCTGTATAATTTTCTTGGTCTTTGTTTCCTTTTCGTAACCAGAGCTGAGCACAAAGAGACATATAGTTAAATTCTCTGTATTTCTCCACAAAATACTTTTGTTTTCTAATTTTGCAAATCTCACAGCACGTCAGTTAAAAAAGAGACTAAGTAAGTTACAGCACATACCCAATTAAAACTGGCTTAATGCATTAGAACATTTGTTGTGGGCTTCCCTTAAGAGAGAGGTCTAGGCAGACCCACAGCTGATTCAGTAGCTTGACAAAGTCAGTGTGCTTGGTTGGCACCCTTGATTCCTTTGGACTTGCCCTTGAGGTTACAAGAAGATTGCTGCTGCTCCATCCGTCACCCAGTAGCATCCAAAGCAGGAACTGGTGGAAGTGGAGTGGTAGAAATTCAGTGGCTCTCTTCTGCCCTCTGTTTCTCTTTAATGAAGAAGGAAAATCTTCCCCAGAAGCCTTCCTATTAATATTACATTGGCTGGAACTGGTCATGTGCCCTTGAACAAGCCATTGGCAGAGGGATTGGATTGATTAGACCAGTCCTGGTTGATCTCATAGTGCTGGGCACAACTCTGTTCAATTCTTTTAAAAAACTGCCTGATTATGATGAACACACATAATGTAGGAGGGTCATGGGGAAGGCAGTATAGCACAGGGAAGATAAGTAGTGACTCTGTAGCATCTTACTATGTTGTTGGACAGTGACTGCAATAGGGGGAGCACTGGATAATATGGGTGAATGTTGCTCTTGTGAAACCTTCGTAAGATTGTATATCAATGATACCTTAATAAATAGATAAATAAAGCAAAATTCTATCAATTTTCTCCAAACCCCCCCCCCCAAACTGCCTGGTCAGTTTTGATTGCTGTTTGTTATGTTATCATACTGTCAGAATATGCTCTTATTTCTTTAAACTATTAAACATACTTTTATACTGTGTGTTTGATCATTTCAGTATACACAGCCTTTGTGTGTTTGAGTCTGCAGTTTGTGGTTTCTGTTGATGGAAAGTCATAGCAGCTTGTTTCCGTGGGCCTCATGGGGATGTGTGTGTGTGTTTTTAATTGTTAATTTCTGTTCTTTGGGAATGTATCTGTGGGAAATCTTTGAAGACTTGGTTTGAAGTACTTTCCTCCAAAAAGGATTTGGCCTGATGTCAGGTGATACTGTCTGTGTACATGGGACCAGTTAAAATGTTCACTATGGGTTTTTCCGTGCAGATAGCTAGTATGAAATTTTGCTTCAAATCCTTGAGAGTACAGACTTAGGAGTAGGGGTTCTCCAGAATATTTCATCTTTTCTCTCCTGTCCTCCTGAGCTAACACCTCCCACTCTCTCCACAAGGCACATATATCCCCCTAATATTCCCATGGAGGGTGTTGCCCCCCCTTTTTTAATTAAAATGTCATTGATACGCAATCTTATGAAGGTTTCATATGAACAACATTGTGGTTTCAGCATTCACCCATATTGTCAAGTCACCCCCCTGCCCATCGTAGTCACTGTCTATCAGTGTAGTAAGATGCTATATAGTCATTACTTGTCTTCTCTGTGCTGGACTGCCTTCCCCGTGACCTACCTATACTGTGATTGCAAATTACAGTGCCCTTTAATGAGGGTGTTACCCTTTTGGGGGCCCAGCTCTAGGTGATTTGGTGATAGTCTCTGAGATAGTTCTTCCTTGCATGGAGCCCAGGCTTTGCCCTCTTTCCCCACTGCTGCCACCACCTAGGGCCCCTTAAAATCCAGCTCAGGGTCACCTGCTGTATCAGTCAGGGTCCCACCAGGATACTGAAACCACACTAGTTATTTTAGATTCGTGGTTACCAAAGGTTCATGGTTAGCTTCTTTACTATCTTACAGTCTAACTTAACTGACTTAGTATGCTATTTCAAACACAATCTAAAGTGGTTTTTTTCCCTTTTTTTTTCTTTTTTTTTTTTTTTTGTTTTTTTTTTTTTTTTTTTTTTTTTTTCCTTTTTTTTTTTTTGGGGTTTTTGATTTAATTTTGCAGTTGCTTAGTAATTAATTGGTCTACTTCCTTTACTGTGGTTTTATTTTCCCTGGTGACAGCTATTTAGCCTTAGGAACACTTCCATCTATAGCAGTCCCTCCAAAATACACTGTAGAGACGGTTTGTGGGAGGTACACACTAGTTATTTTAATAGAGAGAATTTAACATAAAGAATTCGTGACTAGGTATTGAACTGAAGAGGCCAGAAGACCAAGTCCCGACGAAGCAGCAGCTGCAGGGAGCGGCCCCACCCCTGGGGCTGAGGGAACAAAAGGATGAGGATGGAATTACTGAAACGCAGATGTTTAGAAACCTGGAGGTGGAGATTCGCTAAGCTGAAATTCAGACCCTAAGCTGGGGGACTCATTCCTGCTGGTGTCCCCGAGAGAAGCTGTTTCTGCAAGCATTAGGGGAGGTGCCAACTAGATTCATCAGCTGCTGCAGCGGAGGAAGCAGAAGCACGTGATGCTCAAACGAGCTGCGGGAAGGAGCACCTCCCTCCCTCCTGCAGCCCGTCGGCCTCTCTCTAGCTCCCCCTGTTGGCAGAGCCCGATAAGGAGCCGCTGGAGAAGCAGAATATGGCCAGACTTGGAAGAACCTGGAAGAATTTAGAGAAGGATCATTCAGATCTGGTAGTGGAAGGAGCCCCCTGGGGCCTGTGTCAGGGAAGAGCTGATGGAGGCCCAGAAGCAAGGGAAGAGCAGAGGCGTTAGGGCAGCTGAGGTGTGGGCTGGATCTGGCAACTCCCCACTCCCTGTAGGGGCCCCTCGGAGGTGTCAGTTAAACCAGCCAGCCCTGGGTTAATATTTACTGTGCCTTGTTCCAGGTTCTGTTGGTCACCTCGTCTTTCATGTCCCCTTCTGAGAGCCGCAGTGGCTCAAACCCCAACCGCGTTCGCATGTTTGGGCCAGACAAGTTGGTCCGGGCAGCAGCTGAGAAGCGCTGGGATCGTGTCAAAATCGTTTGCAGCCAGCCCTACAGCAAGGTACCTAGGGTGGGAGCTGGGGGTTCCGGGTCCCTGGTCCTGGGCAGGGAGAGAGGTGGGGGGCGAATATCGAGTCCCAGCTGGCTGGGAGGACTGGACAGCCGGTCTCCGCTTGGGATTATGAGGAGGCTGGGTCCTGGCATTCCCAGAAATAGGTTGTGATCCTCCCTGTATGTGAGGCTTCTTTCCTGGAGGATGTGTAGGAAGGGTGAACGTCAAGATCTCAGGGGAATCGCAGGAGGGGGCAGCTGACTTGTTAGAAGTGGCCTAATCGAGTAGGCCTGGCGGCTGACATCGTGGGATCTGGAGTCATTCGCTGGGTTCAGAACTTGGCTCCACCACTTCCTGGCTGTGTGACCTTGGACAGGTGGTTTAACCTGGCCTCAGTTTCCTCATCCTTATAGGGTTGCCGTGAGTTAGGGATGCTAAGCTGTGGTAAAAAGGAGACCTGAGTGCATATGCCACCACCCAGGGTTGGTATGCTTCTGACCCATGGACTGTCCTGGGGGCTGTTCGGCCAGTCATCCGGGCACCCAGGCTCCTTCCGTCTTCTGGCTCTGCATCCAGCTGGCAGAGGGGGAAAGAGCCTGGAGCACTTCTGTGTCTCAGAAGTCGCACAGCACTGGGGCATGCAGGAGTGGATTCGCTTGGATGCCCAGCAGCCTCTGCCGGTTGCTATGAGGCAGAAGAAACTGATGCACGGAAAGGGTGTTGAGCTAAGCCTGGCCCAGAGTTAGGGCTTAATAGCAGCCCCACATTATTATCATCATTATCACCCAGGCACCTCCCTAGATGTGTGTGTCCCTAAGAGGGAAAGAGCCAGAAGGGGTTTTCCCCAAGTGAAAGGGTTTTTGGGCTGGGCCTCTGTTCTTGGCCAAACTCCCTGACTCCCACCCTCCTTTCCCAGGACGCCCCCTATGGCCTGAGTTTTGTACGCTTTCACAGCCCCCCAGACAAAGAGGAGGCAGAGGCCTCACCCCAGGTAAGCTGTACCCACCGCCCCCGAGAGCCTTCTCCCTATACCTCTTCACCCCTGCCTGCCAACAGCCCACCCATCGCACTGACCTTGTGGGACCTTAGAAGGTGACCAAGCTTGGCCAGTTCCGCGTGAAGGAGGAGGATGAGGGTGCCAGCTCCCTGAGACCGGGGGCCCTCTTCTTCAGCCGGATTAACAAGACACCCCTTGGTGAGTGCCGAAAACCCGAGTCCTGGGTGAGTACAGGTTGGGACGTGGGCGCCTGGGCCTCAAGGCGGAGGAGGCTGGGCCTGGACTTTTGCAGTGAACATTCTGTGTCCCGTAGGGTAGAAGCTGGAGGGCCTGAGGGCCCAGATCTCATCCTGGATCCACTTTCTCCCTCTGTAGCCACAGCCAGTGACCCAGCAGGACCCAGCTATGCAGCTGCTACACTGCAGGCCTCTAGTGCTGCCTCCTCAGCTGCGCCGGCCTCCAGGGCATTAGGCAGCATCTCCAAGGTGGGAGCAGCGGACCCTGGAGGGGTGGAAAAGGAGGAGAGAAGCTCGAGGACTCACCTCATCCCACCTTCTCAGCCTCCGGAGCCCCCCAAAGGGAAGAGGAAGTTGGATTTGAACCAGGAAGAAAGGAAGACCTCCAACAAACCGTCAGCCCAGCCCTCACCACCCGCCCTCAAGAGACCCAAACGTGAGCAAACTGGATTCCTCGTTACCGTGGGAGCCCGTGCTCCTGTGTCCTAGGGGAGGTCGGAGCTGGGGGCCTGGAGTCCTCAGTCTGAGGGAAGAGGGGTGGAGCCTGGGCCCCTGAGACAGGGAGTTGGGGCTGGGGGTGTAGTCCTAATGCCAACCGAATCTACTCTTTGGCTTCCCCAGTGCCAGTTCCCACCCGCACCCCAGCCACTGCCCCAGCACGGGGGGCAGTGCCGGGGAAGCCCCGAGGAGAAGGCACGGAGCCTAGGGGATCCCGAGCTGGCCCGCAGGAGCTGGGGAAGATCCTTCAGGGCGTGGTGGTGGTGCTGAGTGGCTTCCAGAACCCCTTCCGATCAGAGCTGCGGGACAAGGCCCTGGAGCTGGGGGCCAAGTATCGGCCGGATTGGACTGCAGACAGCACTCACCTCATGTAGGCCTGGGCCCTCCTCCCCACCCGCTCCCCCTGCTGCTGTGTCACCCTGTCTTCTCCGTCTTACTGTCTCTCTCCCTGTCTGCCTATCTCCCTCTTTCTGTCCCTGACTCTGTGTCCGCCTCTTTAGCTTCTGTATCCTCTGCCTCTTTTTCTTCTCTGATTCCTGCATTTCCCCTGATCTCCTATGTCTTTTTCTGCTTCTCCCATTTCCATCTCTTCTTTTCTTTCTTTTCCATTTCCATCTCTTTATCTCTTTCTCCTGTTCTCTGTTCCCCTTGCCTGTCTTTCCCCTTCACCCCCACATCACACTTAACTGACACCCTCCATCTGTCCCCTGCCAGCTGTGCCTTTGCCAACACCCCCAAGTACAGCCAGGTCCTAGGCCTCGGAGGCCGCATCGTGTGCAAAGAATGGGTGCTGGACTGTCACCGCATGCGTCGGCGGCTGCCCTCCCGGCGGTGAGACCTCTCTGCGCACGGGTGGAACACACATGTACACACACGCTCACACACCGACTCTGCCCCTCCCTCATGCTGGGCAATGCCAGGGGTCTGGAGAGAAACCAGACTAGGGCCTGCCAGTGGAGAACACAGGTGGGCCTGCCCAGACTTCCCAGAGGGAGGGCAGGGGCCAGAGACTGCAGAGGGGGGAGGGAGGACTTGCGGGGTCCATGGAGGGCGTGCTGAAGCCTGCCTAGGGGAGAAGAAAAGGACACTGCAGGCTGGAGAAAGAGCATGTGCAAAGGCTTGGGAAACCCCTTTTAAGTGTTAGCTGCTCTTGTAGTTATAGAACTAGCAGGATTCTTTTCCTAGAGTCAGTGTCTGAAGGAACTATGAATGTAGTAGCAAAGTCTTTAAAAATGTATTTGCTTTTGTGAATTTTCCCTTGATTGGCAAGCATTCTCCAAATGAGAAACGGTAATTCTCAAAGGGGAAAATTATTTCTGATTTTCTTCCTTCCTGAAATGGGGCATTTCTTCCCCAGGAGGGGTGTGCTCAGTCGTCTAGTGTGGGTGGCTGGGGTGACTGGGGTGACTGGGGGTCACCCTCTGGAGCTGGGAGGGCGGGCGGGCTGGAAGAGAGCCCATGGCTGCGGCCCTGAGTATTTAGTAAATGACAGCAGGGCCTGTTGCTTCCTGAGCCCCGCCCCCCACCCCCCTGGGACTCCACCATACGCTGTTTAAGGACCAGTTCCTCTCCTAGGTACCTCATGGCAGGGCCAGGCTCCGGCAGCGAGGATGAGGGGGGCTCCCACAATGGCAGCAGCGGGGATGAAGCCCCCAAGCTTCCCCGAAAGGTCTGGAGCCCCCTTCCCGGGTGGGGGAGTGTGGATGGGGGCAGGACGTGGCTCTGCTGCGGTACCCACACTCTCCACTCCTGCCTCCTGCAGGCATACCCCCCACACATGCACAGCCACGCTGCTGCTTCCCTCCTGACTGACCTGCCCTGTCTCCTCAGCGCCCCCAGACCAAAACCAAGCCCCCTCAGGCAACAGGACCCAGCTCGCCTCAGAGACCCCCAAGCCCCGAAGAGACCAAACCAGCTTCACCAGGGCCCCAGAAAGATACCGACACTGAGGGGGAGCAGTCAGGTCAGAGCCTGAGGGAGGAGGGGGCTGTGGGCCTGGGCTCCGTTCTGGGCCTCTGCTGGGAGAAGGCTGGAGGCCCACATTCCTGTATCTCAGAAGGGAAGGAGCTCCAAGCGGGAACTCCTGGGTCTCAGGGAGGTGGGGCTGGGGCCCGGATGATGGATCTGGGGGACAGGGTGGGGGGCCCATAAGATCTGGAAGGTGACTGAGGCTGGGGGCTGGGATGCCTGCATCTGTGCTCCGGTGGGAGGGAGCGTCGTCAGTGTCCCCAGGAAACAAGGCAGGTGCCTCGCGTTGACTAAGCTTCTACTTGCAGAAGGACGGAACAATGGGGCGGAAGATTCTGGGGACACCGAAGATTCTGGGGACACCGAAGATGAGCTGAGAAGGTGGGGTTGGGGCTGGGGAACAGCGTGCCCCCGGCCTTGGGTGGAGGGGGATCTGGTCACACGCTCTTCCCCCGTCCCTCTTGGCTCTCCCAGGGTGGCTGAGCAGAGGGAACAAAGGCAGCCCCCAGGCCAGGGGGAGAATGGCGACGACCCGTATGCGGGGTCTACAGATGAGAACACAGACAGTGAGGGGCCCCCGGAGTCTCCCAGCCTGCCGGTTCCCGAGCTCCCAGGTGGGAATGCTCCCTCCCTCCTGAAGTGGGATTTGTCCCGCAGTTCTCAGCTGTGACTTGCCCCACCTGCCCTGGGATCGCTGCCACTCCTGTGACTTGTCCCCCGTCTCCTTCCCCTGTGCCCCCTGCCTTTGCTGCCACCTCATTCTCTTTGGCCCGTTCCCTTCCCTTGCACACCCTCTGTGACTTCCCTCTCTGTCCCTGTCCGGACCTGCTGTGACCCCCTCTACCCCAACCAGCACCAGGTGTGACCCTTTCTGCTTCCCATTCCAGGTGCAAACAGCAGCTCCCTCAGACAGGGCTTCACCCTCCCTGGGCCGCAGGATCACCTGGGGGGCCTTTAAAACCTGCGGGTGCCTAGGCCACACCCCCAGATTGCATTTGTCAGTGGGGGTGGGGCTCTGATCGTTGTTGGGACCAGCCATTTCCACCTGGTTCCTTGCGAGTGATGGTCAGCAAAGTGCTTCGACCCTCCACAGCCCCTGATGGCCTGGAAAGCCATGTTAAAATAGAACGGGGGGCCTTCCTGAAGGTCAGAGCCAGAGAAGGAAAGGAGTGAGGCAGCCAAGGTGAAGTGACAGACTGTAAAGTTTCCAATTCAGGCCATTCCAGGCTAATTAAGTGGCACCAGCCCATCTGTGATTTACCTCATGAAAGTATACACATTGCAATGATAATAATTGTGTCTTTCACCACTAAAGAAAATTTGAAAAGCTCTGGGGAAGGCTCTGATGGGCCCGGCTCGGGACCACGTGTGTCATCGATTTCCCTGCTGGGGTGTGCGTGAGCCTCTCCAGCTCTGCGCCGGCTTCCCTGTCTTGCCTCCAAGTGTTCTGTGGCTCCTGGCTGGTGCCTTGGAGCTCCAGGGGCCTCCCTCTGGGCTCTTCTGCCCTCTCTCCTGCAGACTTCTTCCAGGGCAAACACTTCTTCCTGTACGGGGAGTTCCCTGGGGAGGAGCGGCGGAAGCTCAGCCGATATGTCACAGCCTTCAGTGGGTCAGTCTCTGCGTGGGGCGAGGGGTGCCAGGCCCAGGGCAGGGGGTGTGGCAGGTTGTGGGAAGGAAGGCAATGGGAGGATGGGGAAGGGCATGTGGCTGTGGCAAGACGGTGCATGGGTGAACGGGGATCCACAGGCAGCCTGCAGGGGACACAGGTGGAGACACAGAGGACAGCCTTTGAGAATGGTTGGGGAGGAGATCAAGAGACAGGACAATGATTCTCTGCCTCTTTTCTTCTCCCACCAGCGAGCTTGAGGACTATATGAGCGACCGGGTCCAGTTTGTGATCACAGCACAAGAGTGGGACCCCAGCTTTGAGGAGGTAAGCCCCAGAGGGGCAGGGAGAGGGAGACCCAACCCACCCTTGCATCCACTCCACCCCCTCCTCACTCACGTGTCCCACATGCACTCCACCCCACCCTGCAGGCCTTGATGGACAACCCCTCCCTGGTGTTTGTCCGCCCACGATGGATCTACAGTTGCAACGAGAAGCAGAAGTTACTTCCCCACCAGCTCTATGGGGTGGTGCCCCAGGCCTGAGGGGTATGCTTACCACCTGTGTGCACACACCGTGCAGGAAGAGTTTAATAAAGGTGACTTGGTTTGGAGCAGCTGCCCCTGCCACTCAGGAGCTCCCAGAACCTCCAAATGGCTTTTTCAGTTTTCTGCCCTAAGTTTGATTTTTGCTTCCTTTCTGAGCGCCAGGTCTCTGGGCGGCCTTAGGACTTCTTTCCTGGGGTCCTGGGAAGAATGAAGGGCTCTCTGCCAGGAGTCTGGTAGGGAAGGAGCTCTTGAAATTTCTCCCTGGCATTTCTCCCGTATGGTGGCAGGTGGCAGGGAATTGGGGATCTGCCACTCAGCACTACCTCTCAGCTGGTTCTGACCCTCTGAGCCCATTCCTGTGTCTTGGTGGGTCTGTGGGTCCTGGCTGGAAGCCTGGATGCTCATGGGCTGTGCCTCTGTCTTGAAGACTTAGCTGCCCTGCGCCAGGAGCATCTCCCTTCTCCAGGGCTTTCAGAAGCTGTATAACTGTCACCAGCATGGCTTTATATCACCTCATTTGGAGGTAGAACGGGGAAAGGAGTATTTCAATCAGCCCGCCCGAATCCTGAGCCCCCTTCCAGGCTCCACCATGTTTAAGGTGGGAACTGAGCTGTTTGAGAGTCAGGGCAGAAGATGGGATGGTGTTCTAGGCTGGGGCTGGCATGGGCAAAGGTCAGGAAGTGGGCACTAGCCTGGTGCCTGGGAGCAGCTGAAGAAGCACTGCCACCTTGGTGAAGAGGCTGGAAGGGCAGATCTAGCTGGATAGGTGGGCATAGTCCTTGAAGAAGTAGTCACTGGACATGGGTGGCTATTTAAATATTCAGTGAAATGGAAAATTCACTTTGTCACTCTGGCCACATTTCAAGTGCTCTGTGGCTACTGGAGTCTGTAGAGAATATTTCTATCTGTAGAAAGCAAAAGGATACTACCCTGAAGGGCTGTGAGCACCATACCGTGAAGCTTAGACTTTATCCCGGGGGTGGGAGGGCAGGAAGGGGTTTGCTTGAGTGGGGCAAAGGGCAGGGTCAGGGCTCTTTAAATTACCACAAATTTAAGTACCCTAAAACAATAGGAATTTTCAGTCTTCCAGGTCTAGAGGTCTGAAGTCCTAACTGTCTCACTGGGCTAAAACTCAAGGTGTTGGCAGTGCTGAGTTCCTTCTGGAGCCTCTGGGGGAGATTCTGCTTTCTTGCCTTTTCCAACTGCTAGCAGCTGCCCACATTCATTCCCTGGATATTCAAAGGCAGCAATGGCCAGTTGTGTCTTTCTCACACTGCATCACTCTGACACGTAAAGATATACTTGTGGTGACATTAAGCCCACCTGAATAATCTCTGTTTTAAGATCAGCAGATTAGCAAATGTAATTTCTTATGCTACATTAATTCTCCTTTGCCATGTAACTGGTCATTGGTTCTGGGGATTAGGGTGTAGACATCATTGGGAGAACGCTATTCTGCCTGCCACACCCACCATGTGTGAGTCACTGGGGCTGCAGTGCAAATAGGGGTCCTCACTCTTACGGGCCAGACAGTCTGCTTTGTAGAGAGACAGTGAGTGTATCCCAGTGAGTGTGTCATGCAGCACCGGGAAGTGACAAACGCCATAGAGCAGATAGAGCAGGGCAGTGTCATACACTGATCAGAGTGATAGGCAGGGTGGGGGTGGTTTAGATTGGGTCATTGGGAAAGGTGTCTGAGGGGACTTCGCCCTCTGCAGGAACTGGGCAGAAGTAAGGGAGTGTCTGGGGGAACCATTCCAGGCAGAGGAAGAGCAAGTGCAAAGGTCCTCAGGCAGGACATGTGAAAAGGTATCAAGAACCCCAGGATCCACTCTGACTCAGCACTGTCCCAGTGGTTGTGGGAAAATCCCATCTTTCCTTGCCTCAGTTTCCCCATTTGTACAAGGTTAGGCCAGATGAACACCTCTCAAAGGAGTCTGTGTCCTTGAAACATTTGTTGGTGGTGGTGTTGCTCTGGAGGAAGTATTCCAGTACAGCTCTGTTTGCAAACATGGATACAAGCCATACTGCAGGTTCGGAAGAGGGACTTGAATCCTTACCCTCCCTTCCCGTTCCCCTAAGGCCTTGCTGACCAGCAGTGGCCTGCTGATTTCCATTCTCCTGCTTGGCTCCACGCCTTATGTTGGAGATTCCACTAACCATCTCTTATGCCATCCTCCACGTTTCAGATCTCAGCTCAAACATTGCCTCCTCAAGAAGGCCTTGCCTACCCCTCTATGTAATAGTACATGCCAGGTGTACACTCTCATAGCACTGTGTTTCTGTCATAGTTGTAACTTGATTTGTTTATAGTGAAATTTACCAGTCTTTGCCTCCATGGTTTGCAGTTTTTGAGTCTTAAAGATACTTTCTCTACCTTGAGGTTACTAAGAATATTCTTTATTTCCCTCTAAATTTTTTAGTTTCTTGTTTCGAATTTAGATCTTTAATCACTAGAAACTTATTTTTGTGTATGGTGTGAGGTAGGGATTGATACTAGTTTCTACAATGCTATAATAAATTGCCACAAGATTAGTGTCTTTAAACCACATGTCTGTAGTCCAAAATCAGCCTTAGGGCTAAAATCATGTTGTTGACAGGACTGTTTCTTCTGGATGCTCCTGAGAAGAATTCATTTCCTTGCCTTTTCTAGTCTAGAGGCTGCTAGAATTCCTTGGCATTCCTTGCTCCCGGCCCCACATTACTCCAGTCTCTGCTTCCATTGTCACATCTCCTCATCTGACTCCTGCTTCCTTCTGTGATTACATTAGGCCCACTCCAGTAATCAGGTAACTGTCTCCATCTCAAGATCTTTAATCATAGCTGCAAAGTCCTTTTTGCCTTGTATAAACTAACAGACAGGCTCTGGGGATTAGGAAGTTGACATCTTTGGGATACCATTGTTCTGCCTACCACCGGGCCCCATTTCATTTTTTTCCATATCTCTGCTCATTCACAGTTCAGCCTGTCCTTTCTGCACTCATCTACAGCAGGAGTTGCAGACTACAGCCTGTAGGCAAAATCTAGCCCACCTGTTATTTTTTTAGTTTCATTGGAACATAGTCACATTCACTCATTAACGTATCACAATGTGGCTGCTTTTGCTCTACAATGGCAGAGTTGGGAAGTTGTAGCACCCTCAAAATGTGAAAATATATACCATGTGGCCCTCTACAGAAAAAGTTTGCCAACCCTGATCTACAGGTGGGTATCGTCACATGGCAGGACCTCCGGTCTGTTCCAAGTGCTCAGTTCCCTTCTGCTGACCTGTTCCCAAGCCAGCGCCACAGGCATCATGACTACAGCGTTGTAGTAATTCCTGGTTCCTGGAGGTGAGGAGAGGGGACAAGGCTCTTGTGATTCCTCACTTGTTCTTCAAAATGGACTTGGCTCCCCGGGCCCCACTACTTGCTTAGTGTTCCCTTTCCTCACTAGACCATGTCTGTCCTGTTAACCACTGTGTTCCTAACACCCTGTGCAGGGCCCAGCACATGGTAGGTGCTTAATACATATCTAGAGTGAAGAGCAGTCCAGTGTTAGTGTGATCATCCTTACTTTATAACCAGAGAAACAGGAACTGTCTGCCGGAGACAATGCTTATGCCATTACAAAGGCCATATAGCCCACCCAGTTTATATATAAGGCATGAGTCCAGAGAAGTGGCAAAGCTTGTCCAAGGCTCTGTGGCTCATAAGTAGTGGATCAGGGCTGACTCCAAAGCTTGTGCTTTAATATTTTTTTATACTGTTTATAGTATCTCCTTTGTTCTGTCTTGCTTTTATTATTTAGTATATCTTGGGAATCTTATAGTTCATATAGAGCTGACTTTTTCCCTACAGCTACAATCCATTTTATGGCTGTATTGTAATTTATTAGCTGGTCCCCTCTTGATGGGCACTTGGGTTGTTTCTCATCCACCACATTGCAGTGAACATCCTTGCCCTTATGACTTGTTCACATGCTTGAGTTTATCTGTAGGATAAATACCCTGAAGTACAATAGTTGACAAGTGCATATGTGCATTTAGAATTTTCTGCAGCCATAGTCAAAAAGCCAAAGTGGAGGAATCAGTTTAAACTTAGAACAATGAGAGAGCCTGTTTCCTCACACTACTCATTAACCCACCGTGCTAGCCGACTTTTACCTTTGCCATATGAATAGGTGGGAAAAACCAGAGCCGGGACTTTCGGACCGCACCTCCAGGTCCATGGTTTGGAGTGTACTGCTCTACGTGGGTGGCACCTTCCTTTACACAGAACAGCTGAGCAGAGCTCCTCTGCTACCTAGGTTTGAGCCCCGTCTGGGGTCGACCTCCCTGTAAGCCATCCCGAAGAGGCAAGTCTATACAGCATTTCTAAGCCACTTTATTGACCGGGGCTGGCGGCAGAGGGGGCCAGTGAGCCAAGGGCAGGGCTCACTGCCGCTCCCCCTGACTCTCAGCCGGGTGGTGGCTGCGTTGGTGAAGGAGCAGCTGGCGTCTCTGGCCAAAGGCCTGGCCACAGCTGGAGCAGCGATGCCGGGATGTGGCCTGGCTGCCCGGCGCTGTCGGCGGGTCGTGACATAGACGATGGGCGGCCAGTTTGGAGGGGAATGAAAAAGCCTTGGGGCAGTGCGGGCATGGATAGGGGCGAGATTCGGTGGCATGGTGCGTGTGGCGGTGGGCTGCGAGCTTGGAGGGGTAGCAGAAGGACTTGGAGCAGTCGGGGCACGGGTAGGGGCGGGCAGGGGCGTGGGTCCACAGGTGGGCTGCCAGCTTGGAGCGGTGGCCGAAGGCCTTTGGGCAGTGCGGGCATGGGTGTGGGCGGGCGCCACTGTGCGTGAGGCGGTGGGCTGCCAGCTTGGAAGGGTAGGAGAAAGCCTTCGGGCAGTCGGGGCACGGGTGGGGGCGGGCGCCGCCGTGTGCCAACCGGTGCGTGGCCAGCTTGGACGGGTACGAGAAGGCCTTGTCACAGTCGGGACAGCGGTGCAGGCGCTGGGGCTGGGGCCGCCGGCGGAGTCGTGAAGGCGCCCCCGCGGAGGTAGTGGGCCCTGGAGCCGACTGGCCCGGCTTCTGCGGCGGGCCCTGGTGGGGAGCTTGGGCACAGGAGGGCTGGTGGGCTCCAGGAAGCAGCCAGCACCCTTGAATATAGGCCAGGCTCCCCCGAACTCGGTATTTGAGTGCATCTGAACACCTCAAGGGTCGTATTGAGATTCCTGCACCCCACCCGCTGCCATGCATCATCCTAAGGGGCTCCGAAGGGTTACTTAGCTGGAACCCTAAAACTAAAGCTTCCCCAAAGGTACTGAGGTGTCGTTTCTAGTATCTAATCAAACGATCACCCTGATATCCTGTATGTCATCTCCCCTGTCCCTCCTGTAATTTCCTGAGCCCTAGAAATGGTCACTGAGGTTCTCCAAAGCCAACGAGGATTCTCCAGAACATCGCGTTTTCGGGAATCCCAAATGGTCATCACGATGTGCCCTCAAACTTTCATCCTGAGAGTCCCTCCGAATTTGATCCCCTTAGCCCCATTCCCTCAGGCGGGGCCGCTCTCACCTCCTCCCGTGGTCATCGGTTGCTTGCCAGGGGGACTAGGATTGGTGCCCCGGGCCGCGGACTCGGCATCTCGTTCCAGCATCTTGCTGGCCCAGGACCTAGAGGAAGAATCTAGGGCGGGGGAAGGGGCGACGCCGGTGATTATCAAGCTAATAGGCCTAAAATTGGCCATCAGTCTTGTAGAATTGGTGACTATTTTAGTCTGGGATACTTGAGTCAAGAGCGGGTTTTGCTGGATGGCGGAACCTAAGAGCATAATGGGCAGCGTTTATGCAAATCTGTTCCAGAAGCAGTCCCTTCATAATTTAGAACAAGGATTGGAGCCTCCGAGCCGAGTAGGCGGGGCCTCTACAATTTATATTCGGCGGCCGCCCTTAGAGCAGAGCGAGCGGGACGTCTGTCCAGAGTGGGCGGGGCCTTCCCCCTCAGAACCTCCCCGCCGCGGATTCTAAGACGGAATGGGCAGGGCTACACAAATAGACCCAAAGCCGCCCAGACCCGGGGGAGGGGCCTATTAGCTCAGTGGGCGGGGTTTCACGGCGAGCAGGTAGATTTACCCGGCTCTTGGCTTAGTCGCAGTCCATTGACACCTCCCGAACAGTTTTCTTCTGATGGCTAAATTTCATCCCCCTCATGGAGGTGCGTCCGTAGAGGGTAGAGGGGAGACCTGGAGAAAGACAGCCACAGATGGAACGTGGTGTGTGTTGCTATCTGAGACCACAAATGGCCTTCTCCCTCGGGGTCCCAACTGTCTGGGCCTCAATGCACCCCTCAGGATCATGGCATTTGGGCACCAGTGCACCCTCCCAAGGCTCAGGCCAATGCAGTCCCTTCAGGCATTATGCATCAGGACCCCAACCGATCCCTCTCCTGGAGATCCTGGCGTCCAGCCCCCAATCCAATTCCCGAAGACCCAGGCATCTGGGGTCGGACCCCTGTCCCCCCTCACCTAGGACGGCCCCTCCCCGGGGGCGGGGCTCTGGGCTTCTTCAGCGGTGGCCGCTGCAGCTGTTGCGCTGCCCTTGGTCGCAGCGGAGCTGCATCACCCGGCGCGCGCCCAGCGAGAAGAGGGGAGGGAAGGGGGCGCGTGCGAGCTGCTTGGCCCAACCTCATTTCCAGCCCCTTCTCCCACGCCGGGCCGGTGGGGGAGACAGTACTCATGCGCAGTCGCGTCCAGCGGAGGCTGCTTGCTGGGAAGACTGAGTAGGAGGGTGCGCACATCAGGCAGATTGTTGAGCAAGCGCGGAGCTACCGGCCGAAGGACAGCAGGAAAGTGTACAGAGGCTTGTGGGGCCTACGGTGGCTGACAGGAGTCAAGTACGTACGGGACCTAACACACCTAAACTGTGCTTAGAGAACACCGAGACAGCGCTCAGCACATGCATCTTCCCCTTTTCATGTCCCGCTTCTTTTTGAGAATTTCTCTGGGTGCCTGAGTTCCCTCTCCGGAGGCAGTTTCACCCGCTGTTCATTTCACCCATCAAGGCGTTTGCAAAAGGTCTGGCCAATTCTTCTGCACAGCGCGGGGCGGGACTCCCGGCTCTAGCTGAAGCCCAATAAAAGGCACGTTATTTGCATAGCGTCCCCGCACGTTCGCCATTGGGTAATTTAAGGTTTTCAGCCCCTCCTACCCCAGTGCTACGGCCCTTAGTGGGAGCCCGCGGTTCGCGAGGTGCCTGGCGGGTGTTCCCTGGATGGTCAGAGCTCCAGGTGCCAGGCCCAGGGTAGGGGTGGGGGGCATGCTTGGCATCCTTCCCGGGGCGGTGACGGTGCACTTTCCCTCCTAAACTGGAATGACCGTGAAGTGCCCATAAAAATCCCCTGCGTGGGTGGGTCTTAAGGCTGATAACTCACAAGGCCTGGCGAGCCCTCGAGCTATGGGTGTTATAAGGCAGGGGGTTATTTGGGCTCTGGAGCCAGACTGCCTGGCTAAGTGGTTTGGAATCCTAGCTCTGCCTCTTTATAGCTGTGTGACCTTGGCCAAGTCACGTCATCTTTCTAGGCCTCGGTTTCCTCATATATAAAAAGGAAGGTTTTTAGGATTAAATTCAATAATCAATGGGAAGAGTTTAGAACAGTGCCTAGAGTGCTCAATAAACGTTACCGAACCAATTTTTATTTTTATTGTTTATTGAACTAGGTCATGACGGGGTGAAGGTTGTCCCAGGAAAAGCAAGTGCAGAGACATCAAGGTGGGAAGGAGCATGCTGTGTTCAGAGGATCTCTGCTGTCCTTTCATGCCATGCTCCAAACTCACTGACCTAGTTTTTGTACTTGCCATGGGCAATCCTATCTCAGGGCCTTTGCACCTGCTGTCCCCAAGGCCCTTGCTTGCTGGATACCTTCCTCAGTCTCAGCTCTAACATTACCATTGCAAAAGGCTTCTCCTGCCCACCCTAGCTCATGGAGCCCCCTTCCTTCTATTACTCTGCTTCTCATCCCCCTTGTATGCGCTTAACACTGTATACTTGTTTTCTGGAGAATGTATGCTCTGTTAAGATGGACAACCTTCTATCTTGTTCATCTCTCTGTCCCCAGCATCCAGAACAGAGCTTAGAACACAGTAGGTGCTCAATAAATCTGTATCAAATGAATGCTTGAAAAAAATTAACAGCCAGAAGCTCTCTTGTGATGGATAGATAGAATGATGGGGGCAATATAGAACTTGAGTTCAAGGAGTTAGAAAGAAGCCTAAGCTGAGTGGGAAAACAAAGGAGGTTTTTTTTTAAAATCAAATAGTAGTTTAATAAAGCAAAGTACACCCTCAAGGTACACCCTCAAAGTACACCCTCAAGGAGAGAGTGTGGGCATGCTCTAGAGGTGAGCAGCCCAAGGGAGGGTTTTAAACAGAGGGTGACATGAAGTGGTTTAGGTTTTCATATACTCTCATTTTTAAAAACCTTTTTTTTTTTTTTTTAGATTATGGAAAATTTCAAACATACCTAAAGAAGAGGGAGGGAAAGATATAACTAACTCCCATATGCCCATCCCCCATGTTCAGTGTGGCCACTGTTGTTTCATTATCCCAACACCCCTTCTTGAGCCCCTTAAGTTATTTTGAAGCAAATTCCCCACATTTCATCCCAAAACACTTCAGTCTGTGTCTCTAATAAGAGGACTCTCTCTTTTAAACAATATCATTATCACACCATTCAAAATTTAGAGTCATTTTAAAAATATTACCACATTTCCTCCGTGGTCCCATATATATCATTTCTTTTTTTCCTTTCCAAGCACCTTTTGTTTTATTTCAAACATACAAAAAAGTCTACAGAGTAAAAGAATTGTTTTCTGCATTAATGATAGAATTACTGTTATCCATTCATGGCCAACGTTGTTTCAATTCCCCCATCCTCTCCTCCCAGGTAATTTTGAAGCTACATGCCAGACATCATAAAAATAAAAATCTTTTTGTTACACTTAGTTTGTTTGAATTGGGATCTCAACAAGATCCACACATTGCATATGTTTGTGTGACTCTTCAGTCTTTCTCGTTGACATTTTAAAAGGCTCAACTAGGTTGCTGCATGGAAAATGGATTGTAGGGAGGCAGAGTGAAAGCTAGAAGCCCAATGAGGTGGCTGTCATATGTTAATTATAATATTACCTTCCAGTGTTATTTAGCACTTATTATGTACCAGAAACTGTCCTGTTTTGTATGTATGCATTTCATCCTGACAGTACCTTTTAAGAGGAGGTCCTACTATTACCACTTTTGTACAGAAGAGGGAAATGAAGTACAGAGCAGAGGTCACTTATCCAAGGTCCCACAGCCAGGAGGTAGCAGAGCTAGGATTTGAACCTCTGCAGTCTGGCCCTGGAGTCCATGCAATCTGCATTTAAGCTTTGCTGCCTCTTGACTAGGGCAGAGGGCATGATAATGGGAAAAGTGGCCTTATTGGAGAGGCTGACTCAATAGGGCCTAGCCATGAATTGGGAGAAGGTGGCCAGAGGAGGCAGGAATCAAGGATGGTGGTGAAATGATAGTAGCTCTCCTGAGAGCTTGTCTGTACCAGACACTCTCCCAAACTACCTCCAATGAGTGAAGAACCCACTGGATCTTCACAAGGAGAGAGGAACTATTTTAACCTCATATTACAAATGAGAAAGCTGAAGCCCAGAAGATATGTTTTGAGCCTGAGGTTACACAGCTGTGAAGGGTAAGGACAAGGTTTCTAACGCTTCGGACATCTCACAGCTGACCCTATAAAAACCCCAGAGGGTGTGTGTTCCTTCAAGGGACAGGTGAACAGTCTAGCAATCCTGTGCAAGCAATAGGAATGGGCTCTAGGGGTGAGGAGGTCTTATTTGGGGGATGCTCACTGTAAAGAGGGCCTGAAAGTCCCCGTTTCCTTGGTCTCCCCCTCCCCAGAGCTCCTGGCAATCCCTGAACTTCCCCTTGTTCCAGCCCTGATGTCTGCATTGTTCTCTCTCACTAACCACATTGAGGACTCANGGCTCTGATCGTTGTTGGGACCAGCCATTTCCACCTGGTTCCTTGCGAGTGATGGTCAGCAAAGTGCTTCGACCCTCCACAGCCCCTGATGGCCTGGAAAGCCATGTTAAAATAGAACGGGGGGCCTTCCTGAAGGTCAGAGCCAGAGAAGGAAAGGAGTGAGGCAGCCAAGGTGAAGTGACAGACTGTAAAGTTTCCAATTCAGGCCATTCCAGGCTAATTAAGTGGCACCAGCCCATCTGTGATTTACCTCATGAAAGTATACACATTGCAATGATAATAATTGTGTCTTTCACCACTAAAGAAAATTTGAAAAGCTCTGGGGAAGGCTCTGATGGGCCCGGCTCGGGACCACGTGTGTCATCGATTTCCCTGCTGGGGTGTGCGTGAGCCTCTCCAGCTCTGCGCCGGCTTCCCTGTCTTGCCTCCAAGTGTTCTGTGGCTCCTGGCTGGTGCCTTGGAGCTCCAGGGGCCTCCCTCTGGGCTCTTCTGCCCTCTCTCCTGCAGACTTCTTCCAGGGCAAACACTTCTTCCTGTACGGGGAGTTCCCTGGGGAGGAGCGGCGGAAGCTCAGCCGATATGTCACAGCCTTCAGTGGGTCAGTCTCTGCGTGGGGCGAGGGGTGCCAGGCCCAGGGCAGGGGGTGTGGCAGGTTGTGGGAAGGAAGGCAATGGGAGGATGGGGAAGGGCATGTGGCTGTGGCAAGACGGTGCATGGGTGAACGGGGATCCACAGGCAGCCTGCAGGGGACACAGGTGGAGACACAGAGGACAGCCTTTGAGAATGGTTGGGGAGGAGATCAAGAGACAGGACAATGATTCTCTGCCTCTTTTCTTCTCCCACCAGCGAGCTTGAGGACTATATGAGCGACCGGGTCCAGTTTGTGATCACAGCACAAGAGTGGGACCCCAGCTTTGAGGAGGTAAGCCCCAGAGGGGCAGGGAGAGGGAGACCCAACCCACCCTTGCATCCACGCCACCCCCTCCTCACTCACGTGTCCCACATGCACGCCACCCCACCCTGCAGGCCTTGATGGACAACCCCTCCCTGGTGTTTGTCCGCCCACGATGGATCTACAGTTGCAACGAGAAGCAGAAGTTACTTCCCCACCAGCTCTATGGGGTGGTGCCCCAGGCCTGAGGGGTATGCTTACCACCTGTGTGCACACACCGTGCAGGAAGAGTTTAATAAAGGTGACTTGGTTTGGAGCAGCTGCCCCTGCCACTCAGGAGCTCCCAGAACCTCCAAATGGCTTTTTCAGTTTTCTGCCCTAAGTTTGATTTTTGCTTCCTTTCTGAGCGCCAGGTCTCTGGGCGGCCTTAGGACTTCTTTCCTGGGGTCCTGGGAAGAATGAAGGGCTCTCTGCCAGGAGTCTGGTAGGGAAGGAGCTCTTGAAATTTCTCCCTGGCATTTCTCCCGTATGGTGGCAGGTGGCAGGGAATTGGGGATCTGCCACTCAGCACTACCTCTCAGCTGGTTCTGACCCTCTGAGCCCATTCCTGTGTCTTGGTGGGTCTGTGGGTCCTGGCTGGAAGCCTGGATGCTCATGGGCTGTGCCTCTGTCTTGAAGACTTAGCTGCCCTGCGCCAGGAGCATCTCCCTTCTCCAGGGCTTTCAGAAGCTGTATAACTGTCACCAGCATGGCTTTATATCACCTCATTTGGAGGTAGAACGGGGAAAGGAGTATTTCAATCAGCCCGCCCGAATCCTGAGCCCCCTTCCAGGCTCCACCATGTTTAAGGTGGGAACTGAGCTGTTTGAGAGTCAGGGCAGAAGATGGGATGGTGTTCTAGGCTGGGGCTGGCATGGGCAAAGGTCAGGAAGTGGGCACTAGCCTAGTGCCTGGGAGCAGCTGAAGAAGCACTGCCACCTTTGGTGAAGAGGCTGGAAGGGCAGATCTAGCTGGATAGGTGGGCATAGTCCTTGAAGAAGTAGTCACTGGACATGGGTGGCTATTTAAATATTCAGTGAAATGGAAAATTCACTTGGTCACTCTGGCCACATTTCAAGTGCTCTGTGGCTACTGGAGTCTGTAGAGAATATTTCTATCTGTAGAAAGCAAAAGGATACTACCCTGAAGGGCTGTGAGCACCATACCGGGAAGCTTAGACTTTATCCCGGGGGTGGGAGGGCAGGAAGGGGTTTGCTTGAGTGGGGCAAAGGGCAGGGTCAGGGCTCTTTAAATTACCACAAATTTAAGTACCCTAAAACAATAGGAATTTTCAGTCTTCCAGGTCTAGAGGTCTGAAGTCCTAACGGTCTCACTGGGCTAAAACTCAAGGTGTTGGCAGTGCTGAGTTCCTTCTGGAGCCTCTGGGGGAGATTCTGCTTTCTTGCCTTTTCCAACTGCTAGCAGCTGCCCACATTCATTCCCTGGATATTCAAAGGCAGCAATGGCCAGTTGTGTCTTTCTCACACTGCATCACTCTGACACGTAAAGATATACTTGTGGTGACATTAAGCCCACCTGAATAATCTCTGTTTTAAGATCAGCAGATTAGCAAATGTAATTTCTTATGCTACATTAATTCTCCTTTGCCATGTAACTGGTCATTGGTTCTGGGGATTAGGGTGTAGACATCATTGGGAGAACGCTATTCTGCCTGCCACACCCACCATGTGTGAGTCACTGGGGCTGCAGTGCAAATAGGGGTCCTCACTCTTACGGGCCAGACAGTCTGCTTGGTAGAGAGACAGTGAGTGTATCCCAGTGAGTGTGTCATGCAGCACCGGGAAGTGACAAACGCCATAGAGCAGATAGAGCAGGGCAGTGTCATACACTGATCAGAGTGATAGGCAGGGTGGGGGTGGTTTAGATTGGGTCATTGGGAAAGGTGTCTGAGGGGACTTCGCCCTCTGCAGGAACTGGGCAGAAGTAAGGGAGTGTCTGGGGGAACCATTCCAGGCAGAGGAAGAGCAAGTGCAAAGGTCCTCAGGCAGGACATGTGAAAAGGTATCAAGAACCCCAGGATCCACTCTGACTCAGCACTGTCCCAGTGGTTGTGGGAAAATCCCATCTTTCCTTGCCTCAGTTTCCCCATTTGTACAAGGTTAGGCCAGATGAACACCTCTCAAAGGAGTCTGTGTCCTTGAAACATTTGTTGGTGGTGGTGTTGCTCTGGAGGAAGTATTCCAGTACAGCTCTGTTTGCAAACATGGATACAAGCCATACTGCAGGTTCGGAAGAGGGACTTGAATCCTTACCCTCCCTTCCCGTTCCCCTAAGGCCTTGCTGACCAGCAGTGGCCTGCTGATTTCCATTCGCCTGCTTGGCTCCACGCCTTATGTTGGAGATTCCACTAACCATCTCTTATGCCATCCTCCACGTTTCAGATCTCAGCTCAAACATTGCCTCCTCAAGAAGGCCTTGCCTACCCCTCTATGTAATAGTACATGCCAGGTGTACACTCTCATAGCACTGTGTTTCTGTCATAGTTGTAACTTGATTTGTTTATAGTGAAATTTACCAGTCTTTGCCTCCATGGTTTGTAGTTTTTGAGTCTTAAAGATACTTTCTCTACCTTGAGGTTACTAAGAATATTCTTTATTTCCCTCTAAATTTTTTAGTTTCGTGTTTCGAATTTAGATCTTTAATCACTAGAAACTTATTTTTGTGTATGGTGTGAGGTAGGGATTGATACTAGTTTCTACAATGCTATAATAAATTGCCACAAGATTAGTGTCTTTAAACCACATGTCTGTAGTCCAAAATCAGCCTTAGGGCTAAAATCATGTTGTTGACAGGACTGTTTCTTCTGGATGCTCCTGAGAAGAATTCATTTCCTTGCCTTTTCTAGTCTAGAGGCTGCTAGAATTCCTTGGCATTCCTTGCTCCCGGCCCCACATTACTCCAGTCTCTGCTTCCATTGTCACATCTCCTCATCTGACTCCTGCTTCCTTCTGTGATTACATTAGGCCCACTCCAGTAATCAGGTAACTGTCTCCATCTCAAGATCTTTAATCATAGCTGCAAAGTCCTTTTTGCCGTGTATAAACTAACAGACAGGCTCTGGGGATTAGGAAGTTGACATCTTTGGGATACCATTGTTCTGCCTACCACCGGGCCCCATTTCATTTTTTTCCATATCTCTGCTCATTCACAGTTCAGCCTGTCCTTTCTGCACTCATCTACAGCAGGAGTTGCAGACTACAGCCTGTAGGCAAAATCTAGCCCACCTGTTATTTTTATAGTTTCATTGGAACATAGTCACATTCACTCATTAACGTATCACAATGTGGCTGCTTTTGCTCTACAATGGCAGAGTTGGGAAGTTGTAGCACCCTCAAAATGTGAAAATATATACCATGTGGCCCTCTACAGAAAAAGTTTGCCAACCCTGATCTACAGGTGGGTATCGTCACATGGCAGGACCTCTGGTCTGTTCCAAGTGCTCAGTTCCCTTCTGCTGACCTGTTCCCAAGCCAGCGCCACAGGCATCATGACTACAGCGTTGTAGTAATTCCTGGTTCCTGGAGGTGAGGAGAGGGGACAAGGCTCTTGTGATTCCTCACTTGTTCTTCAAAATGGACTTGGCTCCCCGGGCCCCACTACTTGCTTAGTGTTCCCTTTCCTCACTAGACCATGTCTGTCCTGTTAACCACTGTGTTCCTAACACCCTGTGCAGGGCCCAGCACATGGTAGGTGCTTAATACATATCTAGAGTGAAGAGCAGTCCAGTGTTAGTGTGATCATCCTTACTTTATAACCAGAGAAACAGGAACTGTCTGCCGGAGACAATGCTTATGCCATTACAAAGGCCATATAGCCCACCCAGTTTATATATAAGGCGTGAGTCCAGAGAAGTGGCAAAGCTTGTCCAAGGCTCTGTGGCTCATAAGTAGTGGATCAGGGCTGACTCCAAAGCTTGTGCTTTAATATTTTTTTATACTGTTTATAGTATCTCCTTTGTTCTGTCTTGCTTTTATTATTTAGTATATCTTGGGAATCTTATAGTGCATATAGAGCTGACTTTTTCCCTACAGCTACAATCCATTTTATGGCTGTATTGTAATTTATTAGCTGGTCCCCTCTTGATGGGCACTTGGGTTGTTTCTCATCCACCACATTGCAGTGAACATCCTTGCCCTTATGACTTGTTCACATGCTTGAGTTTATCTGTAGGATAAATACCCTGAAGTACAATAGTTGACAAGTGCATATGTGCATTTAGAATTTTCTGCAGCCATAGTCAAAAAGCCAAAGTGGAGGAATCAGTTTAAACTTAGAACAATGAGAGAGCCTGTTTCCTCACACTACTCATTAACCCACCGTGCTAGCCGACTTTTACCTTTGCCATATGAATAGGTGGGAAAAACCAGAGCCGGGACTTTCGGACCGCACCTCCAGGTCCATGGTTTGGAGTGTACTGCTCTACGTGGGTGGCACCTTCCTTTACACAGAACAGCTGAGCAGAGCTCCTCTGCTACCTAGGTTTGAGCCCCGTCTGGGGTCGACCTCCCTGTAAGCCATCCCGAAGAGGCAAGTCTATACAGCATTTCTAAGCCACTTTATTGACCGGGGCTGGCGGCAGAGGGGGCCAGTGAGCCAAGGGCAGGGCTCACTGCCGCTCCCCCTGACTCTCAGCCGGGTGGTGGCTGCGTTGGTGAAGGAGCAGCTGGCGTCTCTGGCCAAAGGCCTGGCCACAGCTGGAGCAGCGATGCCGGGATGTGGCCTGGCTGCCCGGCGCTGTCGGCGGGTCGTGACATAGACGATGGGCGGCCAGTTTGGAGGGGAATGAAAAAGCCTTGGGGCAGTGCGGGCATGGATAGGGGCGAGATTCGGTGGCATGGTGCGTGTGGCGGTGGGCTGCGAGCTTGGAGGGGTAGCAGAAGGACTTGGAGCAGTCGGGGCACGGGTAGGGGCGGGCAGGGGCGTGGGTCCACAGGTGGGCTGCCAGCTTGGAGCGGTGGCCGAAGGCCTTTGGGCAGTGCGGGCATGGGTGTGGGCGGGCGCCACTGTGCGTGAGGCGGTGGGCTGCCAGCTTGGAAGGGTAGGAGAAAGCCTTCGGGCAGTCGGGGCACGGGTGGGGGCGGGCGCCGCCGTGTGCCAACCGGTGCGTGGCCAGCTTGGACGGGTACGAGAAGGCCTTGTCACAGTCGGGACAGCGGTGCAGGCGCTGGGGCTGGGGCCGCCGGCGGAGTCGTGAAGGCGCCCCCGCGGAGGTAGTGGGCCCTGGAGCCGACTGGCCCGGCTTCTGCGGCGGGCCCTGGTGGGGAGCTTGGGCACAGGAGGGCTGGTGGGCTCCAGGAAGCAGCCAGCACCCTTGAATATAGGCCAGGCTCCCCCGAACTCGGTATTTGAGTGCATCTGAACACCTCAAGGGTCGTATTGAGATTCCTGCACCCCACCCGCTGCCATGCATCATCCTAAGGGGCTCCGAAGGGTTACTTAGCTGGAACCCTAAAACTAAAGCTTCCCCAAAGGTACTGAGGTGTCGTTTCTAGTATCTAATCAAACGATCACCCTGATATCCTGTATGTCATCTCCCCTGTCCCTCCTGTAATTTCCTGAGCCCTAGAAATGGTCACTGAGGTTCTCCAAAGCCAACGAGAAGGATTCTCCAGAACATCGCGTTTTCGGGAATCCCAAATGGTCATCACGATGTGCCCTCAAACTTTCATCCTGAGAGTCCCTCCGAATTTGATCCCCTTAGCCCCATTCCCTCAGGCGGGGCCGCTCTCACCTCCTCCCGTGGTCATCGGTTGCTTGCCAGGGGGACTAGGATTGGTGCCCCGGGCCGCGGACTCGGCATCTCGTTCCAGCATCTTGCTGGCCCAGGACCTAGAGGGAGAATCTAGGGTGGGGGAAGGGGCGACGCCGGTGATTATCAAGCTAATAGGCCTAAAATTGGCCATCAGTCTTGTAGAATTGGAGACTATTTTAGTCTGGGATACTTGAGTCAAGAGCGGGTTTTGCTGGATGGCGGAACCTAAGAGCATAATGGGCAGCGTTTATGCAAATCTGTTCCAGAAGCAGTCCCTTCATAATTTAGAACAAGGATTGGAGCCTCCGAGCCGAGTAGGCGGGGCCTCTACAATTTATATTCGGCGGCCGCCCTTAGAGCAGAGCGAGCGGGACGTCTGTCCAGAGTGGGCGGGGCCTTCCCCCTCAGAACCTCCCCGCCGCGGATTCTAAGACGGAATGGGCAGGGCTACACAAATAGACCCAAAGCCGCCCAGACCCGGGGGAGGGGCCTATTAGCTCAGTGGGCGGGGTTTCACGGCGAGCAGGTAGATTTACCCGGCTCTTGGCTTAGTCGCAGTCCATTGACACCTCCCGAACAGTTTTCTTCTGATGGCTAAATTTCATCCCCCTCATGGAGGTGCGTCCGTAGAGGGTAGAGGGGAGACCTGGAGAAAGACAGCCACAGATGGAACGTGGTGTGTGTTGCTATCTGAGACCACAAATGGCCTTCTCCCTCGGGGTCCCAACTGTCTGGGCCTCAATGCACCCCTCAGGATCATGGCATTTGGGCACCAGTGCACCCTCCCAAGGCTCAGGCCAATGCAGTCCCTTCAGGCATTATGCATCAGGACCCCAACCGATCCCTCTCCTGGAGATCCTGGCGTCCAGCCCCCAATCCAATTCCCGAAGACCCAGGCATCTGGGGTCGGACCCCTGTCCCCCCTCACCTAGGACGGCCCCTCCCCGGGGGCGGGGCTCTGGGCTTCTTCAGCGGTGGCCGCTGCAGCTGTTGCGCTGCCCTTGGTCGCAGCGGAGCTGCATCACCCGGCGCGCGCCCAGCGAGAAGAGGGGAGGGAAGGGGGCGCGTGCGAGCTGCTTGGCCCAACCTCATTTCCAGCCCCTTCTCCCACGCCGGGCCGGTGGGGGAGACAGTACTCATGCGCAGTCGCGTCCAGCGGAGGCTGCTTGCTGGGAAGACTGAGTAGGAGGGTGCGCACATCAGGCAGATTGTTGAGCAAGCGCGGAGCTACCGGCCGAAGGACAGCAGGAAAGTGTACAGAGGCTTGTGGGGCCTACGGTGGCTGACAGGAGTCAAGTACGTACGGGACCTAACACACCTAAACTGTGCTTAGAGAACACCGAGACAGCGCTCAGCACATGCATCTTCCCCTTTTCATGTCCCGCTTCTTTTTGAGAATTTCTCTGGGTGCCTGAGTTCCCTCTCCGGAGGCAGTTTCACCCGCTGTTCATTTCACCCATCAAGGCGTTTGCAAAAGGTCTGGCCAATTCTTCTGCACAGCGCGGGGCGGGACTCCCGGCTCTAGCTGAAGCCCAATAAAAGGCACGTTATTTGCATAGCGTCCCCGCACGTTCGCCATTGGGTAATTTAAGGTTTTCAGCCCCTCCTACCCCAGTGCTACGGCCCTTAGTGGGAGCCCGCGGTTCGCGAGGTGCCTGGCGGGTGTTCCCTGGATGGTCAGAGCTCCAGGTGCCAGGCCCAGGGTAGGGGTGGGGGGCATGCTTGGCATCCTTCCCGGGGCGGTGACGGTGCACTTTCCCTCCTAAACTGGAATGACCGTGAAGTGCCCATAAAAATCCCCTGCGTGGGTGGGTCTTTAGGCTGATAACTCACAAGGCCTGGCGAGCCCTCGAGCTATGGGTGTTATAAGGCAGGGGGTTATTTGGGCTCTGGAGCCAGACTGCCTGGCTAAGTGGTTTGGAATCCTAGCTCTGCCTCTTTATAGCTGTGTGACCTTGGCCAAGTCACGTCATCTTTCTAGGCCTCGGTTTCCTCATATATAAAAAGGAAGGTTTTTAGGATTTAATTCAATAATCAATGGGAAGAGTTTAGAACAGTGCCTAGAGTGCTCAATAAACGTTACCGAACCAATTTTTATTTTTATTGTTTATTGAACTAGGTCATGACGGGGTGAAGGTTGTCCCAGGAAAAGCAAGTGCAGAGACATCAAGGTGGGAAGGAGCATGCTGTGTTCAGAGGATCTCTGCTGTCCTTTCATGCCATGCTCCAAACTCACTGACCTAGTTTTTGTACTTGCCATGGGCAATCCTATCTCAGGGCCTTTGCACCTGCTGTCCCCAAGGCCCTTGCTTGCTGGATACCTTCCTCAGTCTCAGCTCTAACATTACCATTGCAAAAGGCTTCTCCTGCCCACCCTAGCTCATGGAGCCCCCTTCCTTCTATTACTCTGCTTCTCATCCCCCTTGTATGCGCTTAACACTGTATACTTGTTTTCTGGAGAATGTATGCTCTGTTAAGATGGACAACCTTCTATCTTGTTCATCTCTCTGTCCCCAGCATCCAGAACAGAGCTTAGAACACAGTAGGTGCTCAATAAATCTGTATCAAATGAATGCTTGAAAAAAATTAACAGCCAGAAGCTCTCTTGTGATGGATAGATAGAATGATGGGGGCAATATAGAACTTGAGTTCAAGGAGTTAGAAAGAAGCCTAAGCTGAGTGGGAAAACAAAGGAGGTTTTTTTTTAAAATCAAATAGTAGTTTAATAAAGCAAAGTACACCCTCAAGGAGAGAGTGTGGGCATGCTCTAGAGGTGAGCAGCCCAAGGGAGGGTTTTAAACAGAGGGTGACATGAAGTGGTTTAGGTTTTCATATACTCTCATTTTTAAAAACCTTTTTTTTTTTTTTTTAGATTATGGAAAATTTCAAACATACCTAAAGAAGAGGGAGGGAAAGATATAACTAACTCCCATATGCCCATCCCCCATGTTCAGTGTGGCCACTGTTGTTTCATTATCCCAACACCCCTTCTTGAGCCCCTTAAGTTATTTTGAAGCAAATTCCCCACATTTCATCCCAAAACACTTCAGTCTGTGTCTCTAATAAGAGGACTCTCTCTTTTAAACAATATCATTATCACACCATTCAAAATTTAGAGTCATTTTTAAAATATTACCACATTTCCTCCGTGGTCCCATATATATCATTTCTTTTTTTCCTTTCCAAGCACCTTTTGTTTTATTTCAAACATACAAAAAAGTCTACAGAGTAAAAGAATTGTTTTCTGCATTAATGATAGAATTACTGTTATCCATTCATGGCCAATGTTGTTTCAATTCCCCCATCCTCTCCTCCCAGGTAATTTTGAAGCTACATGCCAGACATCATAAAAATAAAAATCTTTTTGTTACACTTAGTTTGTTTGAATTGGGATCTCAACAAGATCCACACATTGCATATGTTTGTGTGACTCTTCAGTCTTTCTCGTTGACATTTTAAAAGGCTCAACTAGGTTGCTGCATGGAAAATGGATTGTAGGGAGGCAGAGTGAAAGCTAGAAGCCCAATGAGGTGGCTGTCATATGTTAATTATAATATTACCTTCCAGTGTTATTTAGCACTTATTATGTACCAGAAACTGTCCTGTTTTGTATGTATGCATTTCATCCTGACAGTACCTTTTAAGAGGAGGTCCTACTATTACCATTTTTGTACAGAAGAGGGAAATGAAGTACAGAGCAGAGGTCACTTATCCAAGGTCCCACAGCCAGGAGGTAGCAGAGCTAGGATTTGAACCTCTGCAGTCTGGCCCTGGAGTCCATGCAATCTGCATTTAAGCTTTGCTGCCTCTTGACTAGGGCAGAGGGCATGATAATGGGAAAAGTGGCCTTATTGGAGAGGCTGACTCAATAGGGCCTAGCCATGAATTGGGAGTAGGTGGCCAGAGGAGGCAGGAATCAAGGATGGTGGTGAAATGATAGTAGCTCTCCTGAGAGCTTGTCTGTACCAGACACTCTCCCAAACTACCTCCAATGAGTGAAGAACCCACTGGATCTTCACAAGGAGAGAGGAACTATTTTAACCTCATATTACAAATGAGAAAGCTGAAGCCCAGAAGATATGTTTTGAGCCTGAGGTTACACAGCTGTGAAGGGTAAGGACAAGGTTTCTAACGCTTCGGACATCTCACAGCTGACCCTATAAAAACTCCAGAGGGTGTGTGTTCTTTCAAGGGACAGGTGAACAGTCTAGCAATCCTGTGCAAGCAATAGGAATGGGCTCTAGGGGTGAGGAGGTCTTATTTGGGGGATGCTCACTGTAAAGAGGGCCTGAAAGTCCCCGTTTCCTTGGTCTCCCCCTCCCCAGAGCTCCTGGCAATCCCTGAACTTCCCCTTGTTCCAGCCCTGATGTCTGCATTGTTCTCTCTCACTAACCACATTGAGGACTCACCTCTGGGTGCCCAGCTTTGCCCACCTCACCTCAATAAGCGAGTAAAGTTCTCTTTTTGACTTTAAGCTTTCTCCACCTGTTTCTCTCCAATCTGAGGGTCTCCCAGATCTTAGAGATTCTCTCCCTCTTCCCACACATTTGTCCCTGCTCCAATGTCCCAACATCTATTCCCATCTTTCATAATTTAGAATCTCCACATATATCTCTGTAACCCATTTCAACTCTGCATCTTTCCCTGTATCTCTGAAAGTCTCTCTTTGGTATCTCTCTCAAGTCTCTGAGCATTTCCCTTGTCTGAGTGGCTCTCTGGGTCTGTTCCCTGGTAAAAACCACCAGGAACACACTAGGAGTCTGGCAAATTGGGTTCTATTGACTTGCTATAGCTAAGGAGGGAGGACCACAGAGGGAGCCTTGGCTGTCTCCCCAGACACAAGGAGAGAGGGAAATATGATAGGATTTTTAGGGAAGGGGGTATTTACATAAAATACAAATGAAACAGAATATCATAGGCTCAAGGCAATGCAGGCCTGAGGATCCCACTCAGGGCCCTGTTCCTTAGAAACTCCAGAGTTAAGATAAATGTTGGATATTGTTGCCAGAAACCCCTCTTCAGAAGTCCTGCACCTCGGCTGGAAATCAAGGCTGCTTCTTCTAAGTGACAAAGTGACTTAGATCCTCCAGACAAGAGTGGGATGCCCTGTTCTCATTGTTGATTCCAAAGAGCAAACCTTCTGACAGTCTATGGCTTTAGGTAACCGTTTTTCAACTCTAGGTCCTTGATGTAAAGGAACAAAAGCTGTTTCTAGAGGTTCACAACCAAAAGAAGCCAAATGGTCTCCAGCCTGATTTTTCAAGATAAAATGCAAATTATTTTTTTGAAAGGATTTCTCCCAGGGAAGAAATAAACATACCTGATAAAATACATAAACATTTTTAAAATGAACTTTAATAGGATAAAATACTGTTCTGGGAATCAGGCACCCACCTAGCAGTCCCTCAGGACACTAGCGACCTTGAACCAAACATTATTTTCTTTCTAACAGTGAAGAGCCAATAACCATGTGCTTCCCTATGAAATGGCACCGGGGCTATGAGCGTATTGGGGCCCCTTATTCGCTTCCTTGATCTTCCCTATCTGTGCTTTTCCCGGGGTCCCGCCTTTGCCCTTGAGCGTCTCCCGGTCCCGGGTCTCACCGGGTCTCACCGCGCTCCGGCTGCGAAGGCAAACCCCCTGCGCCCGCGGCCCCTTTAAGGCGGGCTCCGCCCCCTCCCGCCCCCGGGTCGGCCCCGGTGCACCGAGCTTCCGCAGGCTTTCCGCCTCGGCTCCGTCCCCACCCCGCCGCGGGCGCGATGGCTGTGGCTGCCCTGAGGGTCGCCGGGCGGCGGCTCAGCCAGCACAGCGGGTCAGGAACCCCCATCCTCCTACGGCAGGTGCGAGGTGGCTGGACCGGGGAGCGGGAACTACTGGGGCCTGGGCGGCGGCAGGGGCGGAACTCCGGGGTCTTTTAAATCGGGAGAGGTCCCGGGACCCCGACGCCTGGGTTTGAGGAAAAGGGCTTGGGGCTGGACACTTGGGTCATTTAAAGCGGAGAGATCTGGGAGCGCCTGGGCTTGGGGTCGGGTCCTTGGGTCCTTTACAGAAGAGGGTGATGGGGAACCTGATCTGAGGGCTATTTTAAAGTTGGAACTCGTTGGTTCAGACAGAGTAAGGTGCTGGGGCTCCAGACTCCTGGTTCTAGGGGAAAGAAGGGGTTAGGGTTTCTGCTTCTGGATCTTAGAGAGAGAATCGGGTTGAGGCTTGGACTTCTGGGTCCCCAGTTAGTGGTGCTGTGCTCTCACTTGTCCCATGCCCGCTTCTCAGATGTTTGAGCCCAAAAGCTGCACCTACACGTACCTTCTGGGTGACAGAGAGTCCCGAGAGGCCATTCTGATCGACCCGGTTCTGGAGACAGCGCCTCGGGATGCAAATTTGATCAAGGAACTGGGCCTGAGGCTGCTGTATGCTGGTCAGTGTGGGGTGGGTGCCCGGACTCCTGGGTCAGCTAGCAGAGGGGGCTGGCGGCTGGGAATCCTGCGTTCTCCCTGTGCGCCCCTGGACTTGGCCCTCCTCTCTCCCCCAGTGAATACCCACTGCCACGCGGACCACATTACGGGCTCGGGGCTGCTCCGGTCCCTACTCCCCGGCTGCCAGTCCATCATCTCCCGCCTTAGTGGGGCCCAGGCTGACTTGCACCTCGAGGATGGAGACTCCATCCACTTCGGGCGCTTCGTGAGTTGGGTGCTGGGTCCCCGAGAGGGTGGTGGCGTGGACTTCTTAGACTTAAGGGAAGAGGGGACTGGAGGCCTGGACTCCCGCGTCCTGGGAGAGAGGGGCCTGAGGCCTGTGTTACTGATCCCTGAGTTTCTGCCTCTGGGAGGAGGATGCTATAAACCCAGGCGGGCCACTGGGACAAGAGGCTCTGGGGAGCAGTGTCTCTGGCCGAGCCCCTTAAATCAACAGCATTTGTGGAGTTTCTTAGGGCTTTGGGCCGCTCCTTTGGCCTGGCTTCTCCATAAAAGTTGATTGGGGGCTGGAATTCCAAGGCCAAGGCTGAGGGAAGGACCCAGCCCTGTCCTCTAGAGCACTGTTGGCGTAAGGAGCCTCCTGGCGCTCGGGCGCCTGGGGCGCAATATTTAAAGAGGCGCCTGCTCTTGGGGTCGTGCGAGGGGAGGATCAGCGCCGCCGTGCGAGCGCTTCCGTAAATGTTGCCTACCGGGTTCCCGCTTGCCTCACCCTGGCCCCAGCGCTGCCGTTGCTTCACCCCAGACTGGTCTGAGGATTCCTACCTCCACTCCTTTCTTTGCCACAGGCACGGGCTGCTGGTTTCCAGCCAGAATTTCAACCCAGGCAACGGGTTGGGGAGGGCGCTGAGGGGAGTTGCCCTCAGAGTAGTTACCCACTTTCACCTATTAACGAATAACGTTGCTGTGAAGATTCTTGTACAGATCTCTTGGTGGACTTGCTGGGTCATAGAGCTGACATGTTTAACTTTAGTAGAAATTACCAGTGTTTTGAGCATTTTACACTCACAGTGGGCCAAATTTGTATGCATTTTGATTTAATACACGACGACTAAGACTTGAGTTTTTTTTCTGATCAGCCTTGCTAACAATGTAGAGTTTGGCTAATTTGGCGATGGAATGTCTGGTTGAGTCAGGACTCAGCCTCCAGGTTAGAGGGTTTTGCTAAATGGAGACAGTTTATCTAAGTCAGAGCATTTAGTGGAAACGAGGGATTAGTGTGTGGGATCAGCCTTTATTTCAAGCCTTTTCTTCTGAAAGCAGGTAAAAATATGCATTATATATTTATGTACATTGTGCATAATAGTCAGGTGCTAACAAGCTATCTTGGGTCAGGAAGCCCTAGAAGAGCCTGTGTTGCATTGAATGAGGGATTTTTTCAGTGAATGGTGAAGGGTTTAGCTCTGATCAACTTACCTTCAGTGTTCAGTTTTTTTAAACAGCTTTACTGATATAATTCACAGACCTTCCAATTCACCTGTTTAATAAAGTGTACAGCTCAATGACTTCATATATTCCCAGAGTTGGACATCCATCACAATTAACTTTAGAATATTTTCATCACTCTAAAAAGAGGCCTGTCACCCAACCCTCCACTCCCCAACTTTCAGCCCTAACCACTCATCTACTTTCTGTCTCTG